TTAATAGAATACCGTTTAAAAGGTCTTCTACAGACAGGTCTGCTATGGGCCACAAACATTTAAAAGGGTTTCTCTTTTTAAGATGTTTCCCAAATTGTAGATATAATACAGGCCCTCAATGCCTTAAACGGCAGAATCGAAGAGTTCTTAAATTTCATTCTTAGATTGGCTATCTTTAGATAATCAGTGAAAAGAGGAATTTTTGTAATGCCTTCTTCTTTTTTCGATATTTAACAAATAGAAGGTATTGGATAGACACTCAATACAGAGAAGATCTTTCAAAGTCCTTCCAAATCCCTTCTGTGGCTGAGGACCTTTGGGAAGTCTTCTAACCGTAGAGATCTTTCTACAGCATCGAAGAGCTTCTTAATTTATTTCCCAGTTTTGCCGGCATTTTGTTAATTTTCAAGTCTACAATTCTTCCTAACGGCATTCCATTGACTGTAGATATTCTAAATATCCTCTATAGACAGAAGACCTTCCTCTATAAACACAGGACATATTAAAATTCTTCCTAAATTTATTTGATTTCCAAAGATTTGGTAATTTTCTCTAAAATTCCTGTTTTAAATTTTTGTTTTCTCCTCCCAAATTCCTTAATCCTTTAACTGCCAGCGATGTTATCCTGTCCACAATTTACTTACTTGCCATCTGTAGAACACTTAACTTTGCTATCAAAATATCACCAAGTAACATCTTTCCCTTCTTTTTTCTTTCTTCCAAATAGAAGCGGACGAAGGTGTTCATTCTCCAAAAAAAAAAAAAACGAAGGAAGATCCCACTTGGTTTTAGAATTGATATCCTGTTTAAGCCTCTCAGACAAATCAGCAGCCATCATCTGGAGTGCTTATTTCCTTAGGAACAGCCGAAGAAAGGAGTACCTACCTGCCAACGAGGAATGGGTGCTTTTTTTGGCAAATCGTTTTGGGAGTCCTTTTGTTGAAGGAATTCATGCCAACAACAACAACAATGATGATGATGATGATCGTGTTGTTCAAGTCATAGTTAAAGGATAAATATTATCATGAACGGCTGGAGAGGAAAACAGTTGTTGTTTTTGTTAATCGGCTTTGGAGAGCCGAGATTTGTTGTTGCTGTTTATGTTTTGTCCGTTATTATCCAACGTTAGGTGATGATGGATAAGGTGAGGCCGGTATGTTGTTCTTGTGATTTGAATATGTTTCTGTTGTTGTTGTTGCTGCTGCTCTTGTTAATTGTCAGTTCAAGCTGTCAGTTACTCATCCTTGACTGGTTTTTGTTGTAGTTGTTGTTTATGATGTAGATATGATAAAGCTGATGATGAAAGGCCAATGATATGGTGGCTGCTGCTCTTGTTTATTTAAGCCGTGAGCGATCTGTCGGAGAACAATAATTGCCAACAATCAGATGTGTTGTAGTCCGCCTGCTTTGGTTACGTTTGGTTTGGTTTGGCACAACAAAAGGATGCACCCTTGAGTTGAGCGCCCATTTGCCACAAATACAACTGTTCTGTTACTCGGGTCGAGTCTGGGCTTTGCTTTGCTTACTTTGTTGTGAGCGTTTCCTTTTTGGGCCGCCGTCATTGCATTGTTTTCTTTGGCGTTTTCCATTCCTTTTTGCGTAATCAGAAAAACTAAAAAACAAAACAAAAACACACAAATGTTGAATTCGAAATGGAAATGGAAATGGTAACAGTTGAACAGCACTTACTATTGTTGCTGTTTATGTTGTTGTTGTTGTTGTTATTGTAGTACAGCTCATTGTGTTTGATTTATTTATGCAATTCCTATTTCGCTGGCCTCTGAAATCTCCGAGCAGAGATAAACAAAATATCGCTGACAGGCATTGCCAAAGACATCAAACTAGGATTTTTGTATTCGCAGCTGTTCAGAGGGGAGCCGAACATAATGAAAGTCCTTGAATGAACAATGAATCAATTTCATATCAAATAAATTGAATCATTATTACAAATGGTGGCATGTCAATTGTTATTTGGCTAATGATTGCTAAGAGCTGAAAATAGTTCTGGGCGAAGGTACAATTTTATTTATTTCACTGGGGAAGAAAGTGCTCCCACAAGAAAACTCCAACTATTTCTATAATTGCATAATTTTTTTCAATTTCATGGAATGTCCTTTCAATGTTTTCAATACATTCGGCAGCATAGGATTTTTAACCAGGCCCCTGGAGAGACTGCCTCCGTCCTCTAGTTTTGCCCAGGAATATAGTTTTCGATACAGGACCTTTTGTATTGTAGGATTTGAAGTATTGTAGAAGGCCTTCCAAATATAGAAAAACAAATGTTTTCTAAATATATTTAAATTTCCAAATTATAATTGGTCTATTCTGCAAGAATTGACAAGTTTTAGTGCGCTAAACGATTTTGAATTTATGATATCGAAAAAAAAATTGCAAAACTAGTACATTCTTGCAGGTGCTTGAGCAGAGACAATATATATTTTATATTCAAGCTCTCAATCTCTAAATGGCCGGTGGAAAATCCCTGATACTTGTTTTCCTTCTCTAAATAATTTACTTGTTATACTTTAAACGCCAGCATCCCCTGGCGTTAAAAACATTGAACTGTTAGATTTGTGCCCAAGATGGGAACATCATGCATGGTGAATGCCTAAATACAGAGGCGACATCTAGTTTTCACATAAATATATAATATTTATAATTGCAAAGACATATAATATAATAAGATGGGACAATACATTGTTACTTTTCTGCAATAGATGGCGTTTAACAGAGCTGACACTTTTAAGGGTTGTTGTTGATTTTTATCGACTCAATAAACAAGGCATGTCTATCATACCTGATTTTTTCCGCGTTTTCCGCCATTTTTCGGCGATATCGGAATAACATATTATTCTAAAAATTCCAATGCATTTCTGTTATGTCGCCTGCCGTCTAATAACTTATAGAAAAATTAAATCCTATATGCCAAAGACATATAATATAATAAGATGTGACATCACACCTTTTTAAAAAAAAAATTATGTTATGTCACGATATCGTGACATAGCATTATGTTATAATTTAACAGAGCTGACACTTTTTAAGGGTTGTTGTTGATTTTATCGATTCAATGTACAAGGAAATGCTCTGGAATAAATTTTTGAGAGCATGTCTATCATACCTGATATTTTTTTCTGCGTATTTCCGCCATTTTTCGGCGATATCGGACTAACATATTTTTCTAAAATTGCCAATGCATTTCTGTTATGTTGCCTGCCATCTATTACCTGAGAGAAAAATTAAAGCTCATATGCATTTTGTCCAGTCTTTATAGTTTTATGTCTTTGTATATGCATTTTGACCAGTCTTTATAGTTTTATGTCTTTGATAATTGTATTATTCGATGATTTATTTTGCTAAGCGCCATCTACATTTCACATTGTGTTTTCACATTGAGTGGTGAACCCTACATCAAGTCGCTTTTCGATCTTTAGAACCCTGGTCAGCCATCACTCATTTCGCTTTGTTTGCTATAACTCAAAGAAAGTGAAAATACAGATAAAAACAGCAGTTTAAATTTGGATTTTGAATTAAAGAATAGGGAGTTTGCGTAAACTAAAAGTCCATGGAGGCCAAATATCATTTAAAAAAAAAAAAAAAACGACGAGAAGAAACATACCATTACAAAAATTCTGGTAGCTTCAAGTCTTCACTTAATGCCGGCATTGTAGAATCGTTCTTTATGCCCAGAGGTATCAATAACAATTATTTTTCACGGCTTAACTCTAGTTTAGCAAAAACTCTTCAATTTATTTGAATTTTTTTTCCAGAGGTAGGTATTTTTACCCTTGATTATGGAAAACTATTTTTTTCTTGGGGACGGATCCGGGACCCCAGGTTTTTTTGATCCGAAAGTCCAGGTTCAAGGCCCGGATTCACTTACACGATATAGACAAACATAATTTTAATTTTTAGTGTGTAATACCTTTTTTTGGTATTAGCACAAATTTTAGCATTTTGGAAAGGTAAGGTGAAAAGGTATTAGCTATAATTTGGCATTAATTTTCTTGACCCCCATAATGGACTCTTTTTTCGTCTTTTTAAGGGTTTTTATAAAAAACAGGGTCCAAAGAATCAATAATTTTACTATATCTTCCGAACCGCTTTAAATAACCCCATTATGTAACCACTTGTTGGATAGTACATTGTTGAAAAATACATATCATAACTACATCGGATTGGCGTCGTATAAAAAAACATATAAAAATCAGCTTAAAAAAAAAACTCACATTTTTTGACATATTAATATTCCCAAGATTTGTTGCATCTACCTGCATTCTTCTACCATGGGTGGATCCTACAGACTACTTTATTTTCCTACCTAATTTTTTGGCAAATTTCTTAAATTACCGAAATTATAAATATTTGAAAAATGGATGTTATCGATAATTGCCTTCTATCAAAATCAGGTGAACTTTAATACCAAAAATATGATTAAATTACCAAGATCCGGATGTGTAATTAAACTGAAATCTGTCAAATGTTTTGTCTCCAAATTCGAAAAGACCTGTTTACACATTATGTCAAATTCATGTGTATAGTGAATTTTTTTATATATTATATTTTAAATGTTCGTAGCATACTTTTAGGGGCTCCCAACTTAAAAGAAACACACAACATAATTTCATGTCAGAATTGAAGTAATCCCCACAATATTTGAATTCTGTTTCTATAACCGACTATTATATATTCCGATCTTTATAAAAATACATTTTTTATAAATATTTCCCACAAAAATCTATCTAATTTGAATTTGTAAATTTATTATGCATAGGAAGCAAACATAAAAAACATGACACGATCAAATGTCTGCCTAGACGTCTTTTCGAACTTCGAACAGTTAAAAATAACCGAGTCCTTTAACGTACGCTTTTCCCCTCTTACTTTACGATAATAAATGAAACCTGTCCGCGATGAAACCACTTAAATGCGCATGTCCTTTGATAACATCTGTCAAACAAAAGGACGAAAAAAAAACACAACTAGACATTTGAAGTTTAGCTTCGTAAACGTCAAAAACGAACATCAACGAAAAGACGCAATTAGAAAATATTGCCTAATCGTCGCCTTCGTCGTCGTCGTCGTTGTAGAAAGAAAAAAGGACATAGAGCCACAAGACATCAGAGCACAAAACTAAAATAAGTATAAAAATTGCTAAAGCAACACAAATTCTCGGTGATAGTGTGCCACATAGAAACGAAATCCTTTAACGAATAAAATTTAGAAAAACCCATAGAAATCCGGTGATTTTTTCTACTACTTTCGACAACGAGACAGTGTAATTCGATTGATTGATTGGTCGGTTGTACGGTCGAACGGTCACTGACTAAGCAAGGAAGTATGTCATTTTCCGTTTTTGCCTTGCTGGAATAAAAAAAATGAGGCTACGTGAACTGGCCGCTGGACAAGTCCTCCATGTTTCATGCTAAAGGATTACATAAAAACAACAATAACTTTGCAACGACTCTGCGACACGGCTACAAAGAAGCAACGCTCCATTCCCATACCAGTTGAAGCAGCTCCCCTCCAGTCACCACCCACGGTGAAGCCACTACAGTCATTTATTGGTGTTAAGTATTGGAAAAATCGAAATCGAAGGTAATTAAAAAAAAAGAAGAATCTGAAAAAGTGAATCACAAAGGACATGCTGTCGTCGATGACAATGATGATTACTCATTTAACAAATGCCTAGGTTTGTTGGCCTTAAAACGGATGTGGGTGTGTTCGACAAAAAGAAAAAAGTTCGCCTTTCCTTTGTTGGAATTATTATAAACAGATGTTCGGTGAATAATTGGCTGGGATTTGATTATGGCCCTCTGGGGTCCAAATGTTAAGTGCCAGCAGGATAACAATTTTGAAACAATTATGTAACACTTGACATTTGTTGTCGTTTCCGTTGTGGATGTTGTTGTTGTTGTTGCTCTCCTTTTTTTATTACAACTCCAATTTGTGAGGTGTTAAATTTGTTGTTTTTAGTGTTATTGTTGTATGTTGTTTTTTTCTTCGATTTCTTCTACAAAAGCAACAACACAACATAGAGGAAAGTATATAAAGGATGTCATATACACTGGTATATGTGCACATATATGTGAGCGTGTTTGTGCATGATGTGCCCAGAGAAAGGGGGCAAAACAAAAATTTCAAGTCTTGTGAACTTGGACCAGAAGTTAATGAAAATCCATAGACAAGTTATATATGTGTGACGATGTGTGTGTGTGTAACATATATGTAATATTTCACGAACACACACACACACATATATGTACATATACTTCCTTATGTATAAATAGATTTTTCATTTTGTCGTCTATATATAAACAAATTGGGTATTTTTTTAAGAACGTCTGAATTTATTTTTTGGCTGCACATCATTAACCTCACAGTTAGTGGGGGTTGCCATTTTGGGGGCTTGGGAAGGGGATTGGAAGGAGACACTTTAAAATGTTTTTTAATTAAATAATTTTTATACACAGTTTCCTTATAATTTAAATGTGGAAAAATTCTGTAGAGAAGTTTGGCTTTCAAGCCGTGTTTTTACAATTCAGGTTTCTACTGAAACAACTTCGAATTCTCCTTAAATCGCCATTAGAAAAAAAGGAATCACATGGCTGATAAAAACACACCAACTCTTGCTCTTTTCCAGAACTGCAAGAATTTACAAAATGCACATAATTTCACAGGACTTTCCTTTATGATATTGGAAAAAATTGGATATTGGAATCAAAGCTGGTAAATTCTTGCAGATTCTGGAACAGAGTATATTTGAAAAACCGGCAACTATTACAATACTAAAGATTTCTATCCCTAAATTTTAACATTGAGTGGGAATATTAGGCAATTTGTGGTTCTGGGTGCCCTACACGCGAATCTTCAACATTTCTGCAGAAAAAGTTCTTCTTAAATCCCAGGTTTCCCGTTGGACAGTCTTAGCCCTACTTTTATGGTTACAATGACTCGGAAAGGGCTCTAAACTTAGTTAGTACTGGTCAGGACTAGATGAGTTAAAAAGCTCTTTAGAGGGCCTTCTATCTTGAAAATTCTTTCAAAGATCTTCAAATAAGGGTCAATCTAATATATTTAAAAAAGCTGTGCATACTTTTGGGCGCAATATCGTCAGGACATGATTTTAAGAAGTCCTTTAGAGGGCCTTTTATCTTGAAAATTCTTTCAAAAGATCTTCGGAAATGTTTCAATTTTGGTATTTGAAGTTCATAATGGATACTACAGCATATGTAAAAAATTATCTGCGCAGGTCCACGTTTTGGTATAGCCCCCATATAATGGTACCTCCCTATTTTCCGTATTTTAATGATTTTAGCTATATTATTTACTGGTTTTTTTCAAGTTTCGCATTTGAATATTGTAATGCCTTTTGACAAAAGTTGCCTATGCAGGTCCACGTCGTCGTATACAACCTAATATAACGGCTACATTCGGTATTTTTTTAATATTTTTACAAAATTTTTAACGGAATTTATTTATTTATTTATTTATTTAATTATTTTTTTTTTTGAGAATTGTCAAATTCGTTCCAAATGGTGAATGGTATTAAAAGTTCGTCCCGGCCATATTTTCACATTTTTTTGTTCATTACAAAACGGAGACAAAGTGTTCGGTATTTTTTAAACCACGAAATCCGGTTTTATTTCATTTTTTATGGTTTTTAAAGAGCCTATCTTGTTTATAGCTGCCCTTATCACTTTTTGCGATCGAATGCCTATTTTTTAGATTTATTTGCTGTGCCCTTCAGAGATCATTTATAAATTCACAATTCTAGAAAGCTCTTTATTTTGGGGTTACTTTGGTATCTTTAGAACGAGGTCCATTACACATAACCACTTCCACAAGAATTTTTTAGCGTTTTTGGTCGTAAAAATCCCTTAAACAGTAATCATGTCCTTTTTTAATACCTTTGGGAAAAGTGTGCATATGTATGCACGCACACATATGTCTTTCTATTTATATTTCTTATCGACTATGCCTAAAAATATAAAAAGCTCGTTTTATACGTAACACGTTGTTCACAAAATTAATTAGAAGTTTTGTAAGCCATTCAAAATTTAACACCCCCCATAATAAGGAATTCAACAAATTACACAGAGCGACAAAAGATTTGAGAGCATTTTTTTTGGGAAATTATTAACAAGTTCAAATATCATCTGGACCTGTATCTATAATTTTGAGAAGGATATTTTACCAACCACCCTGAATAAAAAACCCCGAAAATAACCCAAACAATATTTGTAATTCTTATCTAACCACATCCAATTCTAAATGATTCCCTAATAAATAAATTCCTTCAAAGCTGGTCATTGAAAATTATTTTTGGGAACATAACCTAATTTTTTCATAATTCATAATTTTTGGCAATATTTTTCATTTTTTATTACATTAAGAAAATTATTTACTAATAAAAAAATTTACAAAAACTTCATATTTTCGTTTCTAACCTCACATTCTAGGGGCAATGCTCATAGCCCCGTTGAAATCAACAAAAGAGAGAAAGCGAGAGAGAAAGATTGGCTTCATTCTACATGCAACAGGGACTATTGTTTGGTTTTTGTTGTCTTTTCACAGCCCTGATGTAGAATGGGGCTGGACGACATTGTCTGCAGTTTTTTTTCTTTTTTTTTGGCTGGAGCCCAGTGTAATGGGGACAAATAATAATAAAAAAAAAACAAATCGATATAAAAATTCTTGCCAACGCACAAAAACTATTCTTCCTCCACACACTCTTTTATTTCGACTCACATAACTACAAACACACACATACGCGTCCTCACAAAAAACGGCAGTAAAACAGGAAAAAACTTGAAAGGACTGTGGCCTGTCTTCGTCATCGTGTCCGTGCATGACCCCAACAATGCCTAAACAAACAAAGGCTGGTGTCATTTTATCAAGGGGTGCTCGTCTGCTGCTGATGGTGGTGGTGGTGTGAAGTTTCCAAATAGTCATTCATACCCAACTCCAAGACAAGAACAAAAAAGCACTGTTACTTAGTGACAGCTGCTAAAATTAGCCAACCACCACCCTGGGCTGCCAGCAAATTGCATTTAATAATGGAAACGGAAATATCAAAAACGGAAATGGCCCAAAGAACCCCCCCTGGCCATTCGGCAGGAAAAAAACTCATTTACATTATCACTCAAGCAAATTTTCAGTTCTTTTAACAGCAATAATCAAGTTCCCCATTCACTCCCTCACCTTCTCTCGTTGCAGCACAATGTCTCAGGATAATGGAAAATCAGGCGGTGGATTGCTGCTTTCAAGTCTGCTAATAGTAAGCCTACAGTTATTAATTTTGCCACATGTTGCCGACGCCCTAAATTCAGGTACAGCCGCCACACCCGTGGAGCTTAACTTAGCAACGAGTCCAACTTCGAATAATTCTCTGGTCAATGCAGTGACAACGAATGCACCCGCCTCGGTGGCGTCAGCAGCAGCATCGGCCACAGCTGTTTCCCTGCAAACAGCCCAGGTGGATTCGGCCGAGACCAGCAGCGAACAGCCAGCAACTACATCTTCGCCAACAACAACATCAGCACCAGTTCATGAAATCATTGGTTCGGCTGGACCCGACAAAAGTGAACAGGAAGCCATTCTAAAAGCTCTGGCTTGGTTGAAGAAAAAACGTGCAGCCGATTTTGGTTGGGGCAATGACACTCATGTTGTCATTCTGGCCAAGGAGCTGTCCGGTGCCCAAGATCCCTCAGATCCTGATGATCATCTGCAAAAAATCCAAGAACTTGAAGATACCCTGTCGGTGAAGGAGATGGAAATTGAAATACTCTCAATGCTGGACAGGCATCACACCTTGCCGAAACCACTGAACTTGGAACGTTTGGCCCGTTATGTTTTGGCCTTGGGTTCGCTGTGTAAGGATCCCAAACATTTCCATGGTCACGATTTGGTGGCCACCCTGCAGCATCACGAACCGACACAGGATATTGAATTTGCTCTGACCACACTGGCGGCGTGCAGTTCGGCGGCTCATGTCCGTAAGAGGCAGATACGTAGGCTCTTGGATATAGCCAGTGGGGTGGCAGATCAAAATGTCGATACAAATGCTATGGTAAGTGAATAATATTTTCCTCCTAACCTCATTTCCCATTGTTTTCATTAAAATTCCTTCTTCGTGCCTAGGTCATTTTGGCTCTACGCTGCATTGTCACTGATCATCGACACCGTCATTTGCAACACTTTGTAAGGCGGCCCGCTCGTGGTTTGGCCAGCCTACAAGATCCTCGCGGCAGTTTTGGTTCACTGCGCAGCACCGCCTTGGCCATGCAAGCCCTGCAAGATCTGGAGAACGATCCAGCCGGTAGCTGGAATAGAACGGCAGCATCTCGTTGGATTCTTAGCAGACAAGGTGCCGAGGGCGGTTGGACCGAACAACCCCTACAGGATGGTCAAGATCCCGATATTGGTGTTGGCCTTACTGCAGATATTATTTTAGCTTTGGGCTGGAAAGGTTTGGGTGCCGTTCGTGCGCTACAATGTGATCATGTTATACGAGAAAATAGCGATACCGCCTCAGGTAAGTGAGAAGGTTTTGGTTTGGTTTGCGATTTTTTGTTGCTATACATATTTGCCATATCCACGAATCACTACTAGAAAATGGCGAACAAAAATTAGCATTACCCTATGGACTGACTGGCTCATCGGCGGAGGAATCGGATTCGAAGAATGTCTCGTACACATATACCCTGTGGGTGGGTACGAATGTGTCGCAAATTCTTACACTGAATATGGTGTCGCCCAAAAATACCAGTTTCTTTAAGGCCATGACCCAGGCGGCCGAAATAGATCCAAGGTAAGGATTGCGGAGAGGTGGTCGTTAAATATGGAAATAAATAATTAATTTTTTGTTTTTTCAGGTTTGCTTTTGAGGCAAGAGAATGGCCAAATGGACATTATGTACACACACTGGCTGGCATGAAAGAGGAACCAAGGGGGTAAGTAGCAATTGAAGTAAAGAATGAACGAAAAAATCCAAAGGAACGGCGAATTAAGGTAGAACTTTCTTAATTCCCGATGGTTCAGAAGTTTATAGACCCTTATTTTGAGGAACATATTTTCAAGTTTTTGATTTAACGCTTATTTGGATTAGTATTTTTCTTTCCTATTCACTTTTGCACCCTCAGACTGCCTTCAAGGTCTTCGAGGACGATTTTAAGGTTAATATATGGTTATGAGGGAGGAGTATTTATACACCAACTCCTCAGAAAGGAGTATTTATACACTTTTTATGGCTATAACTAATTATTAACCTTAACACTTGTTCTCGGAAACTTTTTTCAGTCGTCCTTAAAGACTTGCTTTCACTTACCCACGAAAAACTTGCTTCCAAATTTCTATTAAAAGTTAGGACTTGTTTCAGTTTAAGAAAACGAAAGAGGATGAGAATGCAAAACACTATTCAAATTAAGCTTTATTTAATTCAATATAATTAAAAATTTGAAAACTCAATTTTAAATAGTTTCGTATCGTAATACAGAAACAGGTTTTTAATTTTGGATGCGCCGAAAAATTTCCTTTCAGCGTCATCTGAGGCCTATCAATTACCTCTATCTCGAAGTCTATAAAAACATTTCTTCCGTTGCGATTGAAGACTGTAATTATTCAAGAAATTCTTTATATCAATATTCTTTAAATATTGGCCTCGATTCACCCATAAACAATTCCTTTCAATAGTCCAAACTCTCTCTCTCTCTCTCTTGGTCGTCGTCCGTAAGTCACTTTCCAACGTCAATTCTAATAAATTCTCCTATCTCTCCGACTGTAAAGATTTGGATGCATCCTCAATTAATTGTCTGCATGTCTACATTTCGTTCAAGTCTCAAAATTATGAAAATGTTCGTCTGTAAAGATTTTGTTTTATAACACTCATGACTTTTACAATTCACTTAAAAAATGTCTTCTTCGGTAGTTAAAAAATGGATTTCGTCTAAGTCCCTAAATGAGAAAAGATCTAGGATTGTTTATAAACTATTTCCTCTATATATTCAATACTAAGTTTGCAATACTATCATCCAGATCTGTGGGATGAAGAATATAATTTAGATTTCCCTCTTTTTTCCCTTTTTAATTTTTTTAATTTCTTTTGTCTTCCATTTTCCAGCTATAACTATTGGTTACTCTATCGCTTGCCTGAGATTCCAGATAAAGATAACACACCCGGAAATCAGCTAATTGCCCCAGTTGGTAAGTATTTCTTCTGAAAATGTACGATTCTTTTGAAAATTCTAAACAAATTCTGCAATATTTTCCCTAGGCGTTGATGAACTGATGGTCGAGGATGGTGAACACTATCTGTATTGGTATAAGAAACTTTAAATGCAGCCTTTCCGCAACAAGGAAACTCCGTCTATAACCTATTGAAAAAGAAAAACTCCACACACTCACACACACCGACACACAAATGCAAATTTTCCAACATTATCTCTTAAACTCCTTTAACTATGACTCCTATTCTGTAATTCTTTATTTCTTCTGTTCCCCTTTGTTTGGTTTAAATCAGAATTTTGAAAGGCATTTCTAGTTATCAACATCTTAGCAGCCGTTGTCGTCGTTGAAAAAAATCAAAACCAATATATATATATGTACATCTCGATCAATAATACGACCCATGGTGATACAACAACCATTACTCAACATTGTTTTCAATGGACGCTTGCATTCCTTAAGATATTGGAACAAAAAAAAAGAATAACCGATACCAATTTTAAAAACACTGTAGTTAACCGAAAAACAAAAAAACAACAACATATGTGATGGCCAGCAACAACAACTAAAATAAAAACAAAAAATTGAAAACCGCTTAAACATAAATCCAAAACCAAGTATAAATCTAAATATTAAAAAAAGGAAAACAAATAAAGAAATTTAAAAAAAAAAATACAAACTGCAGCTAAACATTGACTATTGGTCTACCAACAATAGCCTTAGGGCAAAGTTTCCAACGCAAGCATCGAACTAATGACAAGGGAATACCAGCAGAACAAAAGGAGGAGCTCTCACCAAAGATCGTCATCGTTTTCACTTTCTCCAAACTGACGACTTCCATACACATACACACACACAAGACGTACCCGACAGAAGCATGATTTTGCAAAACTATTACTCGGCAGACAAAGCTAAGAGAAAATTCCATAACAGGATTTTTTTTTTCATGAGGCCTTTTCTCTGTTTGCGAATGAATGCCGAATTAGACAAACCCCAAGATTTATTTAGACCGTCAGACACCGTTCGTAACAATAAGTGATTATAAATCATACTCTAAAAAAGAACTAAAAAAACAAAGAACAAGACAGAAAATAACAATTCATAAATATTTACATTCATTATATATTCATTAACGTACATACTACCATCATCATAGCATCATATAACTAACATACGATACCATAGTACATACATACATACAATGTAGATATTTTTTGCGACTAAATCAAATATTATTTTGATATACGAAAAAAGAAAACCAAAAAAATAAAAATATTATTATTAATAATAATAATGAAAATATTGAAAATAAATATACAAAAAGCAACAAGCAAAGCGAATATGATGTATGCTCTACTAAAAAAAAAACTAAAAGAAATTGCAACAATACGAACAAAAATATAAAACCACAAGAAAATAGAAAACAAAAAACAAACTTATATTAAATATTGGTTCCAAAACAAACAAACAAAAGAAAAAGGAAAAACCAAATATCTATCATATGCTCTATTTAATCTCCAGTAAATTATAGCTATCACTTTCTTCTCCGCCCATCTAGATGACACCACCCAGCCGCCCACCCACTTGTTCCCAAAAAAAAAAACTTCCATTTCATTTCGTTTTTTCTTCTTCTTCCATTTAGTCCCTTTTCTCTCCCAAATTCCATTTCAAAATTGTAAAATTCTTTTCTCCTTAATTCAGTTTCCACAACAAAAAGTCTCCACTCAATCTATGTATGTATTTATTATTATTATTATGCTTAACTATTGCAGTATTTGTTTATTGATAAAAACTGCTTCAAAAAAGAGAATAAAGAATCATAATATGCGTTTGCCTGGACTTTTTGTGGGAGGGAGGGTGGTGGAGTTGTTGTTTTTATAAATGAATTCATCTATTGAGATTTGAACACGGATAGGCAGAGTTCCTGTGGCCTAACAAAAATATTTATAAGAGTTCTAACAAGTAAAAGAGTTGTAAGTTCAGCCGGGCCGAACTTTTAATACCCTATAACATTTGGAACGAAATTGAGAATTCTCAAAACAATGAAATCCGTTAAAAATTCTGTTAAAATCTTAAAAAAAACCGAGTTTAGACAGACAATTTTCTGTTATAGGCTGTAGTATCCATTACGAACTGCAAATACCAAATTTGAAAGAATTCCGGTTAATGATATCGCCAAAATCATTAAAATGCCGAATATCGAGAGGTACCGTTATATGGGGGCTATATGAAGACGTGGACCTGCACAGGCAATTTTCTGTCTTAGGCTGAAGTATCCATTAGGAACTTTAAATGACAAATTTGAAACAATTCTGGTGAATAATGTCGCAAAAATCGTCAAAATACCAAATATCGGGAGATACCGATATATGGTGGCCATACGAAGATGTGGACCTGCACAGACAATTTTCTGTCTTAGGCTGTAGTATCCATTACGAACTTCAAATACCAAATTTGAAACATTTCCGGTGAATAATGTCGCTAAAATCACCAAAATACCGAATATCGGGAGGTACCGTTATATGGGAGCCATAGCAAAACGTGGACCTACATGGCCCATTTTGAATACCAAAAGTCCTACAAACATAATATGCATTTGAGTAAAATCTTATTAATCTACTACATTTCGTTCGGAAGCTAGAGTGATTTCCACAAACGGATAGACGGACGGACATCGCTAAATCGACATAGAATTTTATACTGATCAAGAATATATATACTTTGTGCGGTCTAAAATGTATAAAAACGAAAATTCTATTATTCATGCAATTCTCAAATTTATTTTAGAACAAGTAAAAAAACATTAAGTTCGGCCGGGCCAAACTTTTAATACCCTCCACCCTAGGGTAAAAGAACATTAGAAGAAATGTGGCAAAAAACATTAAAATGCCGAATATCGGGAGGTACCGTTATATGGGGACTATACCAGAACGTGGACCTATACATGCAATGTTTTGCTACACGCTCAGGGACCCGTTGTGACCTACAAATACCAATTTTCAGACAAATCCGTGAAAAAATGTGGCATAAATCATCAAAATACCGAATATCGGTAGGTACCGTTATATGGGGGCTATACCAAAACGTGGACCTATACATGCAATGTTTTGCCACACGCTCAGGGACCCGTCATGACCTACAAATACCAATTTTCAGACAAATCCGTGAAAAAATGTGGCATAAATCATCAAAATACCGAATATCGGTAGGTACCGTTATATGGGAGCTATACCAAAACGTGGACCTATACATGCAATGTTTTGCCACACGCTCAGGGACCCGTCATGATCTACAAATACCAATTTTCAGATAAATCCGTGAAAAAATGTGGCATAAATCATCAAAATACCGAATATCGGGAGGTACCGTTATATGGGGACTATACCAGAACGTGGACCGATATATCTCATTTTCAATACCAACCATCCTAGGGACAATACACACACTTGTGCCAAATTTCAAAGGTCTACGTCAAATAATGTGGGCTCTATCGTGATTTCAACAGACAGACAGACAGACGGACAGACAGACAGACAGACAGACAGACGGACATCGCTAAATCGTCTTAGAATTTTATGCTGATTATGAATATATATACTTTATGGGGTCTACGACGAATATTTAGAGGTGTTGCAAACGGAATGACAAAGTTAATATACCCTCCTACCCATGGTGGAGGGTATAAAAATTAAAAGTAGTCGTAGGCTACAAGAGTCTAAAACCTTGTTACAACGATAACCCATTTTTCCCCTTATGATATCGAAGAAATGTGCAAAACTAATAGATTCTTGTAGTTTCCAGTACAGTACTTTATTCTCCCATTCGATTCCGAACAAAATTCTATCGGAATGAAATTTGTATGTATTATAGAGTGACTAACTCCAACCCTTCTGCATTTAGCTATTTCTGCCGAATTTTTTAATTTAATCAAGCTAAAATTGAATATTTTTTGATACCGAATACGAGAATTGGAACCCTGAGTACTGACAAACCTACCCAAAAAGTAACAATACCGCAATATATCCTTTTCGGAGTTTTCTCTTTTTTTCTTTATTAAATATTAATGGTTTTTATCAGATATTTTTGTTTTACTTTTTGTTTTTTTTTTTTAATGAATTACATAAAAAAATTGCTTCTCCTAGTTTACAATGAGGGGACAACAATGACGCGTTTTGAATGTGCAACAGCATCTTTTAAGTCTTTGCCATTGCTTCTTACAATCTTCCTTTACAGCTTTGTTTCATATATAAAAAAACGAATAAACAAATTATTATAAATTACAAATAAAAAATATATTTTTTATTTGCCCCCGGCCACAATGCAACGGGCTGAGAGAAGTCACGACACATTGTGACCGGGAGCTAATCGACAAAGATTGCAATAAACATTATAGCCTAAATAGTCCATAATACAATTCCCCCGGAGGAATAGATTTTGTTGCTGGTGTTGCTGGTGGTGGTAGTGGTAATAAACGCGTTTCTTTTCTCCTTCTCTCCCTCCTCCTCTTCCGTCTCTTTCTTGCGATATCGACCCCAAACGAGGATTTACTCCTCTTCGACGACTTGTTGCAGGGGTTGTTCGTGTTGTTGCTGTTGCTGCTGCTGTTGTTGCTGCTGTTGATGGTGCTGCTGTTGTTGTTGCTGCTTATGATGATGTTGGTTGCGCTGATTACGATTGCGCTGATTGCGATTGTCGCGACGTTGACCACCCCAGTTGCCACCACCTTGATTGTTTTGATTGCGGTTATAGCCACGATCACGGTTACCCATATTGCCACGTTGGAAGAAGTTACCCTGTTTCATATCGAATATCTTTTCATTGACATCCACCAAATTGGTGACCTTATCAACAAACTGCATTGCCAAAGCCTGTAGACGTGAGGGTTCCGAACGATGCATAACCACCGTTTCGCTGGGGTCATCCAAACTAGCCATCAACTCTTCATTGATGATCATTTTACTTATCAATGAATGAACCTTTTGTACAGGCAACTCGTACATCTGAGCCAAGGAAGGAATGCTCAACGAAGTATAGACATTCGAATAGGTAAACAAATAGGTGCGCAACGATTCCTCCTTGATGAACTTCACCAACATTTCACGCACACGATCCGATTCGTAGAAAAGATCCCAGACCTTGGTGTTCATTTTCTTGTTGACAATGAAGTTGACACATGCCTGCCAGTTGCCGCAGCGCATTGCCTTGGCAGCAGCCACAACGTGTTCACGCATAGACTCAGGAGGACCGACGAGGGATTGACGCTCCGACGAACGCAATTGTTGATAGAATGTCTTGCTGATCATGCGACGACGAGCATCGAACTCATGGGCAGCAATGTAGGGAATTTCAATGAGCATGGCCGACACAAGGTACACACATTCCAACAATTCCAAATTAATGTGCATATGGAAGGGCATTTGACGTTGTTTCTCAATTTTTTCCTGCTCGGCGGAACGTTCATGTTGGCGTTGAGCCAACAAGCCTTGGGCCAACAATTCTTTGGGTTTGCCAGTGACCATTAGGTCGACCAAACAGTGATGGGCATCCTTGATGTTTTCCTGACGGAAGGCACACAATCCCAAATTGGCCATCATGCGATTGTACAGGATCTTGGTGGAAGGATCGGCAGAATCAATGCTATCCTGCAAGTGGGACATGAGTACCAAATCACGGGCCTGGAACCAGTTATCATGCAGAGCATGGTGGTAGATATGGGCCAAAATGGCACGAGTACGAATACGATCGGTATCATCCTTGGCATAAATGAATTTACACAGGCGATCCATAACCTGGACGGAAGTAACAGTGCCGGCAGGAAGCTCCTTGCGTTTCTGTTTCAATACCTCAGGATCGAATTTGTAGTACAAATGTTCAATCTTTCTCAAATAGATGCGGCAACGCTCATTGTTGTTGCCAATCTTTTCGAAATATTGCAAAACACTTTCAATGATCTTGGTCACGGTCACCTCATCCTTGAGACGCACCACATAATCATTGGAATGGGGATCACACTCCTTGAGCAACTTGGTGAACTCATCGTCCAAACGTTCTACAGCAGCCAAAGGACAGCCACGAATATGGAACGGCGCTTCCACGAATTCCTCATTCTCCTCGGAAACGCTTTCGCTCATGACAATGTTCTCATTGGCCAACAATAATTTCATCATGCTCTGCATAACATCCAACAATTTGCCCCAATGTTCCAATTTCATTGGTTCCGAAATCTTTTGGTTGTAGTCATAGATGGCAGAGATAATGTTGAAGTGGATTTTAACGGCCACAGCAACACCCAAGTTGTGTTGTTCGGAAATTTCCAATAGCTCGAAAAGCATATCGATCTGCATACGGCGATCGGTACGTTTCTTGCCACGGGCAGACATGATTTCCAACAACTTGGCCAATACCAAGGGTACATCAATTTCGGCATCTTGTTCGAACATTTTGGGCTTCTCCACAACCGGGCCCTTGACAACAATTTCCCATACACCCTCATCGTCGCCCTCTTCTTGCTTGCGGCGCATTTTTGGTTCCTTGGTACGCTTTTCCTTTTTACGGTCCTCCCGTTCGTCCTTATCTTCCTTGCCAGTGGCCGCCTTCTTCAAGAAACGATCACGAATGTTGACATATTGATTGTCATCATCTGAAGACTCTGATTCCGATTCAGAATCGGAATCCCAATCAATGGAATCATCGGACTCATCATCAGCCTGATCAATTTTGGAGGGAGCAGACTTTGAGCTTTTTTGATCCGCCGACATTTGTTGTTTCAAATCGCGATTGGCGCCAGCGCTGCCAAAATCATCATCCTTATCTTGATCGGATTCTTCGGCGGCCTCTTCATCTTCGGCCTCGCTTTCTTGATCAGGATTTTCACGGAACTTGGCCAAATCATCTTCGAAATCTTTGATGTATTTGCGCACCTTCTGACGCAATGTACCCAAAGACTTGGCACTGTTCTTGGACAAGTTTTTGCGGCTTTCCCTATCCTCCCACACCTCATTGATGAAGTCTTCTAATTCGGCCAGACAGCGCACATAGAAACGGGGTGTAATACCGTTTTCTTCCTTGGATATAACCGGCAATGCCTTTTGATAGGCCCTGGTCAGATCTTCAAATGTAGTTAATATGCTAGCCATGTCTTTAATTTTCTTATGATTTCGTATGGTTTTGATGAGGGCAGTAATGTTCTCATAACGTTTTTCCTTGGTGGAGCGTACAACACGCTTGACCTCCTCCTCATCGTCACTGAAGGCCTGTCCAAAATAGGGGGATGAACTATGGTCAGTAATTGAAATGGGTGGTATTGTCATTTGTACTTACGTAGGCTGTGGCTTTAGCTTGGGTTGGGATCTGAACCTCCTCATCCCCGGAATCGGTTTCCGAGTCAGAACCATTTGCGAAAAATCTTGACATGTTGGCGACTTTAGCTTACTCTTTTGCACCCCTGTTGTTTGTTAGTTAATCTGGAATTTCAAAAATAAGACATTAATTTACTCATTCACTACTTTCTTTGAGGTTATGTTGTTTTTGCATAGAAAAATTTTCGGCCAACATGGCTCTGTTTGTTGAGACACTCTGCCACACAACATTTTTGCAAAGCCTCGCTGCTCATCGTTTCAGAGGAGTGGGCAAGAAAACCACTATGGCATATTGTGGGGCTTAACTTTGTGCCGAAGTTTGATATGATTTTATGGCTAATTTTGTTTAAATATTTAACAAAAAAAGCGAAAACTTACAGAACGAATAAAATATTCGACGGCTAAATCGCACAATCGCGTATAAAAAGGGTACTGCCAGACTGAAAATTGTTAAATGTCAAAATGTTAACAAGACCAATGGTATTGCCAGACTGGAAATGTGTTTTACGCTTTGGTGGCAATGTAGACGCTGGGCGTAAATTTTTTAGAGGATTAATAACAGCATTAGAATAGCAGATGTTGATTTTGCAGCTGGCTATTTGGAATGCCTTGAATTTGTTTTCATTAACTTAGTTTTCGGAATGATACAAAGACAACACGCAGGAAATTAATTATAAAGTTCAAAAAACGTCCTTACGCCACGATTTAAGATAACAACAGTGTTTTCATACCTTGGCAGCGTTGCCATACTTAACCATCAACAGTAGCAAAATAGACATCTGGCAAATTTGTATGACGCTGAAAATATACTTTCTTTGGCTCGATATACGATCCAGAAAAATTATTTAATATACAATTAATTTACAACTACCGTTAGCATTTGGGATATCATTTAATTGTACAACCATTTGTCTCAGGTACGTTGTTTATTTCATTCATAAAGCCAGCGGATAAATACCGGTAAAAATCGGTCTTCATCCATTGATAAGAATTCATGTGGCTGGCTGCGAGTTTTTTTTTCGGTATTCACTCTTTGGGCGCATAATTTTTGTTTATTGCAAAAAATTCCAGAAAACACGGAACTGTGGTTGTGGACATAGAGGTGTAACTGTAAACAACAGAGCACTGTTTAAATAGTAGCTAGGAAGCGTAACACACACACAACCATGGCTGATCCGGCAATTGAAACTGATCCAGACGCTGGTGAATATTCCGTAGAACGTATTGAAGACAAGCGGGTCATAAATGGCAAGGTAAGAAATGATCAAGCTTATTTCGAAAACAAACATAAAAGTCATTTATTTTCCCGCTTGTTTTTAGACTGAATACTATCTAAAGTGGAAGGGTTATCCTCGTAGTGAAAACACATGGGAACCGGAAGAGAATCTCGACTGCCCTGATCTAATTGCAGCTTATGAAGAATCAATAAAACCCAAGAAACGTAAGTACATGTACATGCGATTTCCCAAATTCTAATTGGATTTATTTTAATTTTGCAGCCGATGCAAAGAAACGCTCTTCTACGGCCCCAGCCGGTGAGCCCAAAACTAAACGGAAATTAGCCGAAGAGGAAAAGGATAATCGAAAAACAGTGGGTTTTGATCGTGGTCTTGAGCCATCGAAAATTCTGGGTGCCACAGATTCTTCGGGCGAACTAATGTTCCTTATGAAATGGAAGGGCAGCGATGAGGCAGATTTGGTTCCCGCGAAACAAGCCAATGTACGCTGTCCACAAATTGTCATACAGTTCTACGAAGAGCGACTAACTTGGCACACACCCAGTACCGACGATGACAAAAACTCCACCAGCAAGGAGAATTCAGCAGCTGATTAGGCCGGCCGTGTCACAAAATAGGCATATAAAACCCCTAGATATTAAGCATCGTATTAAGTGCATATTTTCTTGCAATACAAACAAACGAACTCAAGACACACACACACAAATAAAACATTCGACTTTTCCCAAATGTGAAATTTAAAGTAACTCTACTTGTCCAAAACATATTACTCTGAATTGATTTATTTTTTTTTTTCTTTATCGTACACAAATTGCTATAATGGCACCCCATAACTTAGCGATCAACAATGTCTTGTCGCAGACGAAAGTACCTCCTTTTTCTGTTCAACAATAAATCGTTCGTTTATAGTTTTACAAATTAACTTCATTTCTTCGATTACATAGAAATGTATATTTTTTGTTTACTTTTTTGATAAATACACAACATATATTAATTTTTAATTGTCCGCATTGCGGCAAGTGAATTCTGATATATCATAAAGCTGATCTTTTGGAATATAAAACAATTTGAATTTTCAATGGTGTGTTCGCTTATAATTATTAAAATGATAATTATAAAATAAATTTAAATAACATTGTCTTAATTAAAAATAAAATAGAATTCGAATTTTTGTTTGGCCGGCCAGTTGTTAAATGGGCGGTTTATTTGTGGTGGAGACGTGTCGACCCTTCACAATCAGATTTTTGCTCAAAGCTTATATTTAGATGTGATGTTTTTATGTTTGGGACCTTGTTATCACATTGCATTTGTAGTAAAGTAAGAACTTAATCCAAACTCTGTTTGCATTTACAAAAGGAAAAGAACTAGGCATGATCACGTTGTTTACATCAACCCAATTCCAAAAGTCATTTGTCGTGAAGGGAAGTGATCCAAACAGCAAAGAACTTACCTTCAAATAATTCCCTTTCTTAAAAAACGTGAATGGAACACGATGCAGCTCCTGCACATTTTGTGAGATTTTTCAAAGCCAGACTGTAGAGAGCCCGTTCTATGGCCAGCATTTGTTTTGCCATATTTCGCAGCTGTTGCGGATCATCGTACATGTCATAGAATTCAGCAAAGTCCTTTAAGGGGAAGCATTAAATGAAATCCCCCCTAACATATATCATGTTCAACGCAATCCTCCTCTTACCTCATCATCCTGAAATTCACAGTACAAATGATTTATGCCATAGGCGAAATTTCTAACACAGGCATAGGTATTATTCCATGAATCCTGGCAATGACAAGCTGACTCTCGAGTACATTCTGCTAAACGATCTTCCGGCTTCCACATGGGACATTCAGACCGATATGTTCTCAAATTACCCTCGCCCTTGTGTTGCACCAAGAGACCACGATTATAGTACATATCGGCTGCAGCATCATAGCTATCAGCATTTACCAGAAATGGATGCAAGGATTGGCCATCCATTTGGGGATCCAATGGCAGGTGGATCCACTCCAATATGGTTGGCAATAAATCAATTAGCAACGTTGGAGTTGTTACTGTAACACCAGGTTTTATGCTGGGACCCCTAATCAGTAGAGGCACTTGGATATCGGTTTCATAGGGCTGGCGTTTGTCAAACGGTTGGGCAAATTGTCCAATGTGATAACCATTATCTGAGGTATAAATGACATAGGTGTTTTCTAGCTCTCCCGATTGCTGTAATTTGTGAATAACACTGGCCACCAATTCGTCCACGGCCAACAGGGACTCCCAACGTTTTTCAAAATAGCTATCCATTAAACTTAGGGTTTCTTCGGGTATTTCTTTTGATGTGGCCAACAGCCAATGTTTTTCTAATGAATTGGTTTAATTAAATGGTTAAATGGTCTAATGTTTCTGTCTAGGTTTTGCTTACCTTTATCGACCTTGTTAAAACTAGGGGTCCTCTTGGCCTTGGTGTTGTTAAACGCACCCCTGTGCCTATCAGCCGGTGTAAATGGTTGATGGGGTGCTGGTGGTGCAACGAAAGCCAAGAATGGCTCTTCCTTGTCTCGCTGATCCAGAAACTCCAGGGTCTTATCACGCAACAGATCGGTTAGATAAACATTGTTGTAACTTACATTGTGATCATTCTCCCTCAAGGTAAAATTGTAATAAACCGAATTACCATGCAGACCAAAGAAGTGCTGCCAACCCGGAGGTACTTCCAAACCATGATAAGCATTCAAATATTTGCCAGCATAAAATGTGCTATAACCTGCATTCCCAAGTATTGTGGCCAAGGTGTGTTTTTCATCCTTGGCACGCCAATGACTGCCGTAACAACCACCACTCATGGAATTATTAAACGTTAGATGGTTATGGGCATATTTCCCAGTCAATATGCTTGCTCTTGAGGGACAGCACAATGGTGAGGAGGTATACTAGAGAAGATGTAAGTTATTTGAAAATGAAAATGTAATATTTTCACATGACTTACGGCATTTTCAAATGTAGCTCCCGCAGAACCGATTAAATTCTTTACATTTCTCATGGGATGCATGCCATCGAGGACCACATCTTGATCGTCGGTCAAAATGATCAAAACATTAGGTTGCTTGGCTCCAATTGCCTTATCAATGGCAAACAGCAAAGAGATCAGTATCCAGCAACAACACTTCATGCTTCCCAAGTCTCCGCCTATTCGCAATCCACACAAAACAAATCGGTTTTGTTTATTGTGGCAAAAATATGACTAAAGACCGTGCCTACCTACGTTTGTCTTCAGTTGATACTGATTCAATTACTACTGCACTGGTGATGACATTGATTAATGTACCCATACACATACACCACAATTCCCATACATGCGAATCTACGTTGCCATGGAGAAAGTGACCAAGTGCTCAAAATTGAATTGAGTTAAGCGTATTTTCGGCACATCTACTTTTAAAAATAATTATTATTTAAAAATGTATTATTTAAAATGTTTGCTGTCTTGTGCACGGAAAAGTCTCAAATAGTTGCTGTTTTAAATTTACAAATCTTTTCTCGAACTGAGCTCAAAAGCATTGAAGGAATTTATCTTCATTGGCATGAGATTCTCAAAAATGGATTTATACAGTTTCATAATTTTAATGGCAATTTTACGATCATATATTTATTGGATACTGTATTGAAAGAGTTCTTTTCGAATGTAGCTAATATAAACAAAACCAAAATAGGTTCCTTAAAGTTCCTTTTCCTTTTGAGAATTTTAATTATCAAATGATCAAAAGCGCCTACGTTTCAGGAGAAAATAAAGAAGTAGGTATGGAAAGATTTTTCTATAAAAAAAAGAAAACATTATCAAATATATATTTTTTTTAATTTTCAGTGGCAATTTTTCTTTTCACTGAAATAAAATTTATAGAAAAACAACTTTCCCATTTAAACTTAAGACATTTTCTACGAAGCATAGCTCCATGGAAACCATTTAGAGTGACCCTTAAGTTAGAAAAGTGAGTGAAAAGATAAGCTCAGAAGGAATTTCTTTGGCAATATTTTTTTCGTGAAGTAGTAGGCCTGTTCTAAAAATCATGATGGCTAGTATCAGATATATTACATCAAGACGAGAAAACAGTGTTACTGACTGACTGTAATTGCTCTGATCCAGTACCTGCAAGAATATACTACTTTTTGAATTTTCTTCGATGTCTAAAAGGGAAAATCGGCTATCGTAGTAACAACTTTTACATTCTTGCAGTTCTGGAACAGACCATATGTGAATAGGAAGTACAAGGTGAGATAAACAATCTGCAACAAAGTCAAACGCCATAGTTTTTACATTTTTTTTTAATCTTATTGAATGAAAGCAAAAAAATGTCGGAAATAGCATCAAATTTTAGAATAAGTTTAGATTTGTTCGAATTGGTCACCTTTGGCACGAATTATGGCCTTCAAACGGCCAATGAAACCGTCACACGCTGCACGAATATTGCTCTGCGGTATTTTGGCCCATTCCCGGCGAAGTTGGTTGCAGTTTTTTCCTCTCACCCTTTATACAAGACTTCTGCAGGATTTCTGACTACTGGAGGCTAGGTGAAGATTAAGAAGAGGTTAGAGACGATTGAACATCTACTTTGCAGATGTTTCAGGTTATCCAACAAGATACATAGGCTATTTGGCAGGTGGGAGATTGAAATTCTAACATTTTTCTCAGACATAGATTCCATCATCATTTACAAGTTTCCCAAAAGCATTCCCTGGGTAGGCAGACCACAATGTTAACTATACTTCTCTCTATAAATCATTTCTTCTTCTCTCTTCTATATCCCCAATAATTTTTATTTCTTACTAAGATGAACACAAGGGTCCAAAGGTCTCCCGTCCATCCCACCATCATTCAAACACCGAGCGGAGTATATTTTCTAATAAGAAACACAATTTCTTATGGTTTAGTGAAGACATTTCTCCGAGAAAAGGTTGCCATAGAATGTTTTTCTTTATGTTTTAAATATGCCCCAAGAAAAATAATTATTAAAATAACTAACCGGGACATTTTTTTATTAAAAATGTGTCGAATAGTTTTTTTTTTTTTTTCATAAAATGCCTTTAGAAAACTTTAATAGAGCTCGATCACACATCACCTTAAAAGGTAACCTTGCTAATTGCTGAAAACTACTCTAAGGGCAGAGTTCTTGGCTATCATTATGGTGGATAAATTGGTGGGATCATTGTATGCCCAAATCGCTCAGAATGCTAAATGCTTAGAAGGTCATCCGCAACTGGTGTCTTTCTAAAATGCACAAGGAAATGTCATAACTGACAAAGAGAAAATAGACATTTAAAAATTTTCTATCTTATTCTCCAACTTACCTTCCAATCCATCCACAAAAGAAACACGTTCATAATATATCCATGTTTTTGGCATATTTCGATAAATTGTTATTTTTCCTTTATTTTAACATTCGTTAGTTAAGAAAAATTGATTTTCGTTTTATTTTTACTTTATTTTAGTGATGTTTGTGTGTGTTTGTTTTAGTTTGGATTTTACACACATGCAATTTGTTTTTTGTGTACTATGGATATTTTCTTTTCCAATACTGTATGTCTTTGGAAGATTTCCAATTTCAATGGGGGTGGGTTGTTTTTCCAGAAAACGGGACACAACAACACATCCGTTTTGACTTGTTTTCCAGGGAACCCCTTTAGAATCTCTCCATCCAATTAATGTTGTTTTTTTTATCTAAAAATGTTTTGTATTTTTTTTTCTAATTTTGGGTAAAAAAGTTTTCTTTTTGTTTTTGTAATGTAGTTTTAACTTGGGGAATGGACAACGTTTTAGCATATTAGTCGTTTGGAGGGGTCTACCAAAGTCCGACTGAGATTATCACAAGATACAAAATTGATTGAAACAAACAATAAAATAAAACAGGCATTTTGCATACTCAAAACCAAAAAGCTGAATTTCCCTTAAAGTATGCTCTACTTTTTTGCGTTTTTCATTTATTGCCCAGAAAGGGAAATTTTAAGAATGCCTTCCATGGGAATCCAAGATTTCTTTTTCAACACAAAATACCAAACCAAAAAATACATAGAAATTTGTTTGGACCAATCAGATCTAGATATAGTATCCAAGTATTTAATTGCTTAGTTTGAACCTACGTTCCATTCGGTCCCACTTCTGTGGAAGATCTTAAATAACATTTTCTAGTTCTTTCTTTCATTCAAACATAAGTAGTTCAAAACGGCTTGTTGTCTTCTTTTTTTGTATATTTTACGCTTTTTTTAGGTTAGTTATAACGTTTTGTTTCGTTTGCAAACTTGTTGTAGTTTTTTGTTTGTTGTTGCTTTGTTTCATATATATTATCCCGTTACGCTGATTGTGATTAAAATGAATACTTATTGTTCTACTTTATATTAAAGATTTTATTTTGTTTTTATTTTGTATATTCTTATGGGCGTTTGGATGGATCCATTCGAAAATGTGGCCATCTATGTTGCTTAGGACTATAAACCACAGGCCCTTTTTCAAAACAAAATTCACTGACCCACCACCGTACCGTACACGTATGTATGTATGGGGGTCAGATAACTGAAAAAGGACCTGTTACCGTGTGTGTATGTGTGTGTTTGTGTATGGGTGTATGTGTATACTACAGCTATCACTACTATTTGCTAAGGGACTACAAAACAATTTACAAAATTTAGATCATATATCGCAGTTTGACATCTATGATCGTCACATGGCTTATAAAAAAGGACATGCATAAATCTTAATAAATATCGGAGTTGAAGAACAACATATTTGTCATTGAATTACGTGTATGTATGTGCAGGACTGGAAAACATCTACACTTCTCTGTAGTAGTAATGCTAGCTATGATCCTAGAAACTGCAGTTGTTGTGCATTGTACTTGCTGGTTGACTCTTTATTTTTGCTAGGTGGCCGACTAAGTAGGCCACCACCATTGCTCATTGACTTTGACCTATATTGCTTTTTCGCCAAAGACCAAGAGTAAGCAAACCCGCAAATAACTGTGCACACATACCACAAATTAGGTTCCATTTAAATAACGGCCATATCTGGTACGTTAAACGTACCCATTGACAAGTTCTCTTTGAGGAACATTGAATCTGCAATTATTACTTCTTAGACATACACACACATACACAATATGTTGTCATCGTAACTACCGGATACATAAATAATAGATATGCACAACATATATTTATAAATACACAAAAGGATAAAACAAACAAATAAAATACGAAAACATACATACAATTTAGAATATTACATACAGATCATAACATACATAAATTAGCCCTACATATACAATTAATTTTTTATATTCTATGGATATTAAATATTTTTGTTGTTTTCTTCTCTCTTTTGCATTAAGACTAAAATTATTTATAATTTATTATTCCAATATTTACAATATTGATTATATGCAGCCACTTGTGTCAAGGTGGTGGCGGCGGCGGGGGTGATTGGTTACTGCCAATTGCAGTTGACCACAAAAAAGACAATTTTGTTGTTGCATTAGGTGTGTATGTAGGTCGTCATAGGTAACATATCTCTCCAGCCACATCAGGATGTGGATGCAAGGAGCCTCTTACACAACACACATGCACAAGAGTTGATTTTTTTTATTTACTGGTTCTCGAATAAATTATTAATAACTAATGGGATGGCATTTGGTTGTTTCTCTGAATGCAAATCACACCAACGGACCAGCTCATATCTGTCCAAGAGGTTTCAAAATTGTTCAAGGGGTTTTCTTTTGAAAAGATGTTGTTGTTATAACTTGTTGCAAGGAACTCAAATTGGACTTGCATTTGCAGAGAACCTCAGCAGCATCCGCATTGAAAAAATAGTTATTTTTTTGGGGGGGAGGAATTATAGGTTTAGTATTTTTCCAAAGCTCGCCTCAGCTTTTTGCAATAAAATGGACATTAAGACTCCCGTTCCTTCTTCACCTTAATCTCTTCTCCTAGAATTGTGGTAATTTCACCCTGCATAAAGGCCCAGGGTATTGTTGAATTTGCCAACGGACAGCGATCACCGCTTGGACAATATACCTCATTGCCAAGACCCTGAAAAATAGAACATTAGAAACATTAGATAAAAAACGACCAACAAGGACAACAACAACTTTGACTTACATTCTGCCTCTTGATGCTTTCTCTGCTGCATGGGAAACAGAATTTATGGTGATTCACCGAAGGGCATTGTACAAAGTGAGTATCTTCGAGTCGTTCCTGGCAAAGGGTACACTTCAGTGTGGTATTTTGTGCTGCATTAGGTGGCGGTGCTGTTGTGCCAGGTGGTGCAGTTCCTGCTGTACTGGTGGTGAGGCCAGTTGTTGGCTGACCTGTAGGATTTGCACCTGCTGGTCCTGTTGCACCATCAGGTCCGCCCTGCGCACCCGGTGCTGACGCTGTCAGTGGACCATTTGCTGGGCCATTGCCAACACCACCCGGTCCACCTGGGCCTACTGGGGGTGCATTTGTTGGTTGTTGTTGCTGCTGATTGCCCGTAGCTTCGGAGCTAGTAACTGTTGTACTGGACACATGACGTGATCCTGATGAACGACGGCTCGAAGAGGAGCCAGCTGAAATAAAACCGACAGAAAAACCACATAAGTTTTTTTTTTGTTTTCACAATGCTACCATAAGAGACAACTTACCTGAACTATTCGGTGAATGCTGGCTGCCCCGAGATGCCGTACGTGGGGGTGGTGGTCCGGGTGGACTGGGTCCATTGCGTGGGCTGCCTGGTGGCAATGTCTCTGTAATAGACATTAAATTAGCCATCGGACTTGCTAATTGGGTTACTGAGGAGGCTGTTGTTGATAATTGTGGCATAGATGGTGGTGCTATTGACTGTGGTGGAAGAGGTTGTGGTTGAGATGTTGGTAACGCTGGTGGCGTCGAAGTGCCCAGCGAAACGGCCGAATGAGGCAATGTTGGAAAAACTATAAAAATGCGATGTAGAGGATATGACCCCACCGCGAAGAAGGGAAAAAATCAAAGATTATACACATTTTTCAAGCAGAAACACAAATAGAACACATACTGAACATGTGACAGAAAGAGAATGTGATATAAAAAATATCGCTAAAACTAGAGACATGACTGAGTCAACATTGAGGTTGGGGGTGGGGGGACATAGTTCGCACAGACCCTGCGTACGTGTTCAAAAAAAAATCCTATAGGGATTTCTTAGTTCTACCAGGTATATACAGTTTTCGTTTCTAACGAGTGAGTACGTTTAAAGCATTATATGAGAAAGGTCAAATATTTACAGGAGCTACTTAAGTTCCTACAATTCAAGTTTACTGATCCAAATGACAAGATTTTTACTTAAAAATACAACTCCCAGGTTCCCTTAATATTCATCATCCATCTTATGAATGAATGAGTGAACAGAATGCAAACATACTTATTCAAAACTTTGTTGGGCGGTGTTGGAATACAAAAAATAAAACTGAAATGTTCATTCTAAATTGTTGGCTATATTTAGACGATGTGGTCGTGTAATCATCAGTTGTTGTTATTGCTTTCTGTGTCGTTTTCATTTTCTCTCTGACGAACACTGTTTATTTTTCTTTTCCTTCCTTCCACGTATTGTATATTCTACCACAGTATATACAAATTTATAAATAAATAAATATTTGTATGTAAAGCATATATACATATCTATATGTATATACACTCTGTGTAGGTTATGTGACGAATAGTTCATTAAATACATACTTCTTAATTAAAAAAAATCAGTGGCAGAGAGAAGGGTTAAAGTTAAGGAAGTGATTGAGAGTAACACATTTCTTCCATAAACAAAGTTAATAAATTGAACAAATCAATGTCAACGAATGGAAGGTTTTAAATTGATTTTCGGCACCCACTGTGATACACGTTCATTTCAACAGCTGTAAAATATTTCAACAATCCATTCACAATAGCACAATTGTGGAATTGTGTGCGGTACACATACACAAATGAAATGAATGTTTTGATATGTATATTTCTGTTGTTCTATTATTATTTTTATTTGTATGACGACAGCACATCAGCCGGTCTAGGGCAGGGGGAAGTGCAAAGAAACGACATTTAGCACAGTGGTTTGTTAGTATTTCGATTGAGATCTGCTTCCTCACCTTTGTATTAACTGGCATTCACTGTAAAATGGTACACCCCATATATATTGAGCTATTTTTACATTAACCATATTTAAGTAATATATTCACGTACGATTGTACTTCAAATAAATAGTGAATCTTCTAATTCAACGAGTAATTTAAGTGCCAGTGTGTTGAACAAATTCGTTATATTATCCATATAATAATTCAACGTAACAGTAGCAAAGATCTTCCTTGTAAATGCTGTGTTCTTCCTCTTTGTAATATTTTCATCCTCAGTAAAATGATATCCTACCATCTACATCAGTTGTTTTATTCCTTTAATAATCTGTTATATAATTTATTGGAACAAAAATTATTGCTAATATAGTTCAATGAAAAAATATTGCCTGAAAGATACTTCTTCTTCCCTTGAGATAATGATACTTACGGGGAAATGATATTTGACATATCTTTATCACCGAAGTGTGTAAAATGTCTTATAAATACATTTTGTGAGCTTAAATCTTTAAAAATTCTGTTTTCTTTTACCAAATCGTAATCGTACATTTTTATTACAGAAACACAAACTTTTTCAGTAATGGTTCTAAATCCCCTGTGAAACCCCTCACTCAAATAATAAAAAAAAAAACAGGTATTGATGACTAGCGGGAAACACGCAAAGGGGCTTGTGCCTGTTCTCGGTTGAATGTGTGGGACCATGCTTTATACGTTATAGTATAAAAAATATATGTATATTTGTTGGCCGGCTGTTTTTTCGTTTTATATATTTATTTCTGTCTGTCCGTCCGCCCGTCTAAATTGACTAAATAACAGCAGCATGATTTTTCATTCAACTTAGTACGCATACATACGTCACTTTCAGAGTGGTGGTACAAAAAAGTAATAATGGTGATGGTGTCAGCAATTGTGTGCCTTGGTCAGGGTGGGGGAAGAACGTGGAGACGGTGTGTTTGGTGATGGTGGTGGCGGGTAAATTGTCGTTGGCATGCAAACGTGCATGTACGAGTACAAGTTCATTTTCTTCTTCTTCTTCGTCGTCGTCTACTTGTTCATGTCGTCGTAGTATTATAGTCAGCCATTCCCCAACTCTCTCTCCACTCCCCAATGGTTTTGTGGGCAATGACGACGTTAGCATTTGCCAAAGTCTATTTGTGGATTTGGCAGTGGAGGGACGTGTTTGTTGTTATACACAACAATCCAACGGATGCTTGGAAATTATGAGGCTGGTCTTCGTGTTTTTGGCATACATATTTGCAACAACATACACATACATACATACATGCAAACCAGCCACACAACAATGTGCACCATAAAGTCATGGAATCAACATACATACAGGACATGTCTCGAACATACACATGCACAGTATGCACGTAGATGGGTAAGAAATATTTGAGCGGTTCGAGAAAAAACAAAATAAAACATTTAATGCGAATAAAAATATATTCAAGTATTCACTTGTAAAACCAGTTCTGTTCCCTACTCACACAGTGTCTGTCGTCCATAGTCATAATGGCCTTAAATTTTCAAAAAAAAAAAAAAAATCAACAACAATAAAACCAGTTGTCCAATGCAAACAGTCAAATGAACCGGACAAGTTATAAAAGTGGCTGGCAGTCACGTTCAGTTTGTCCGTTTAACCATTCCAAACCCAACACCAGTACTCATCAATGCTGACGACCGACTACTACTTATACCTCCCCTGCTATATATTCGTAAAATTTAAATGTCTCCCAGCCACAGTGCTGGACTGGACTACAGCTGAACGTGTTTGGCATAAATTCAAACTCCCGCGCACTAACTCATTACTAATGCTATTGGCTAGCGTATGTGACCGGAATGTTTGATTAAAGCAATAACTTCAGACAAACACACGCTCAACGCGCTATACCTTTCGCACAAGCATATTAGTATTCCCCAGGCCAACACAACGTTGTTCAGTTCGTGCATTCAGTAATCATCATTACGGCAATTCGATGCTGTCCTGAATTCTAACAAGCATTTCTTCATATCAATAAGTATATTGGCAAAATTACACCCTACATTCTACGATATGAGCGGCATTCATTAACACATCTTGAAGAAGTATACCAAAAATGTTATATACAGTTGGTCCTGTAAATTGATTTTTCGCATGGAATACAAATCTGCCTGTTGTCGTCGTGCATTGAACGCATAGTATCATAACCACCCATGATAGAATAATATAGGTAGATGCATCAACGCTTGGGATATGTCAAAAGTTTTTAAATGTTTTTCAAAAATAAGTATAATTTTATATGTTTTATTATACGACGCCAATCGGAGATTGTTATGATATTAATTTTTCAACATTATTTTTACGAATTTACATAACTTTTCATTCAAAATTTTCAATTTTAAAATTGTTTTGACAGTTTATTGTCCCAGCAGCTGTGTCAATGCGAAAACCTGTTTTCTTCTACCCATTTGGAAGTGTTGCCACATGTGAATTGTGTTTTTAAAGTGGCCTAACCACACATCAACTCAAGGGTTGTATTATACATAGTCATACGATCTACATCACATGGCAGATCGTTTAAATAATATATTTAGATATTAATTAACTCTAATCTAAATACAAATAAAAACATATGTTCATAAAATGCGTACGTTGGCAGGTGTGAATGGTCGGACGATTTTCTACAGAAAAATTCTTGCGATAGCAAATGTATCTAGTAACTTATCTTATCTATAATTGCTTTCATTATATATCTAATCAAAACTTTGTTTTTTTATCAAACGACCTTATCTATGAGAACAACTTTTCATTGCTTCTTATCTCCTATTGACACTTATCCATACGCAGCGCTCTTTTTGATAGTCAGCAATAATTTTTAACCCAAAATGTTTGATTTTGAACTCAGCTGCATGATTTTGTTTTGTTCAATCGAGCAATTTCGTTTTAATCAATACCCAGACCAAGTTAAAAAAATAAAAACAATGACTGATTAACAAATCTAACATACTTTCTTTGTGTCCCACGTCAATCTTATCTCAAAGCTCATAACGTCACAGATAGATATTCGACAAGGTTTTTCGTTAAATAATCATTAGCCTGATGTCAATAAATGCGCAGTTAAAGAAAGAGGATATATCGGCATGCAGCTGACTTCAAAATGTTTTAATTTTGGCAATAACTGAAACAGAGTTGCCATTTTAAATGAAATGTGCAGCATATATAACATCATCCTTGATCTTATGATACTTTCATTGCTTATTTTATATTTTCCATTTGTTAGGTTTTGCGATCAATACTTTCGCCATGAAAACCCACATTTCTATATAAATAATGTATATACATAGATATGGCGGGGCATTATGCGTTTACTCAGAATCAACGAGACTTTGTATGACTGGCTTGCTTGTCAACTGGTGGTGATAACACGACATTCTGTATAAAGCGATAGTGGCTTTCTTATCCTTCTCCGCCTCCCTCTCTCTCTCCCCCTGTCTTTCTTGCTCATAAAACTTTGCACACAATACGTACGTGTATCAACACTCACTGATGATTGTATAGAGAGTAATTCAAATCTTTATGGCATTTGTGGTGGTAATTGAACGCGATAAGATTTCTCGTTATCAGTTCAAATAAACAAATATGTATAAGAAGTCGAAAAAAAAAACACCACAGTCATCTGTAGAGAATTATTTGTACATTGATATTGTGTCCCTCCGCGTCCGTCCGTCCACCTATCTGTCCATTTGTATTCTGATCCATATCGGTGCGGAGATACAATGTGGAGAGGTATCAAAAGTAAATACCATTTGTAAATTAACATTTAAAAGGCGGAGAATTCAGAAACAGCAACTGTTGATAAGAAACAGCAACACGTCCCACCAAACGGTTTTCCATTCTTATCACATTTTTTTTGCCTTTGCTGCCGCTGCCTGGTCTTATCAGCCAAATTTTCCGTTTGTGATAAGATAAGTGCGATTCTAGCAGAGTATGGGTTTTCATTGGACGTATACAATTATTTCTTTTGATTTAGCAACAGTATGTAAATACTTGCAGACAGATAAGTTTTCTTTTGTAGGCGCAAAAAAAGAATGTCTATGCCGTATGACATGCATTTTTAGTTTGGTCATGCACTTGGAATGTGGCATGATCACCAAGCAATTTTAAAAACTAAAAACTGGGATATGATCGGCAACGTCTAGGAATATTCTCCCTGTTTTGTTTAAGTGGGGCATATTAGTTATATCTTTTTATCATAATTTCTTGCCAGAAAATTACAAAAGAAATGGTTGTGTTTGAGCATTTTATGAACAAGATTGATAGTGTGTACACCACTTAAGTGCTATTAATCTCTAAACATTTCTGAATAAAAACAAATTATTTGCATCTACTCATTCATCAATTTCACTCATGAACATAACATAGTTTTGAGATTTTAATACCTCATTCTAGAATTTGCAAACATAAAGTAAGGCATTATTGATTCAGGAGTGTCCCTATAGGGGTGTTCACATTACAGAATTTTTGGTTTGTTAATCTAAAACCATCTGGCCAGCCATGAGCAAATAAATCAATATTTCTTCACATGTTTGGGAGCACCATATTTTAAAGAATTTAAATTTGAAAAAAATGCCACTTGTCACAAATCTTCATAGGAGCAACACTTTAGAACATTAGTAAATTATAAACGTAACAGAGTTTATTTATTTTTTTTTTTTTTTTTCAATAACACTAATGAACAAACAATGTAGTCCATGGAACCAAAACAATTGTTACATAACATAGTTTTGAGATTTTAATACCTCATTCTAGAATTTGCAAACATAAAGTAAGGCATTATTGATTCAGGAGTGTCCCTATAGGGGTGTTCACATTACAGAATTTTTGGTTTGTTAATCTAAAACCATCTGGCCAGCCATGAGCAAATAAATCAATATTTCTTCACATGTTTGGGAGCACCATATTTTAAAGAATTTAAATTTGAAAAAAAAAAAGCCACTTGTCACAAATCTTCATAGGAGCAACACTTTAGAACATTAGTAAATTATAAACGTAACAGAGTTTCTTTTTTTCATTTTTTTTTTCTGTTCAATAACACTAATGAACAAACAGTGTAGTCCATGGAACCAAAACAATTGTTAATTTATTTCATTGTACCTATTATTGTTTATTCTAATAAAATAAACATTGTTAAACTCATAACTACAACTACAGACAAGTTTTGCTAACAAATTATAACTGTCATACTAATTAAGTTTATAGTGTTTAGACTTGGTAGACATAGCACTCATGGTAACAGTTAATAAAAAAAAAACTATATACCCAATCCTTTTGGAAAAAAATTCTAACGCCATGGTAATACAATGTGTGCAAAATAGCTAAAATTTCCGTGAAATAATACCCTTTGAATGCACAATGCTTTTTCCATAATCCCAGAAATGTTCAATGCCCGATTTCCTAGTTAATATGTATATTTGCTCAATATAATCTAATACATGAACCTTAGTCAATATCTGCAAAAGAGACATTTACACACGAATATTACAACTCCTTGTTCCTAGACATTTTTTTTTCTTTTTTCATCATTTGCTTCGTAAAATGCACGCGCCAAAATTATTCCAAAAAGACCAATAAAAAAGACACGAATCAAAATTAGTTGTATATCTGGTTCTGTTGTTGCTTTCCTATCCTATTTTATTTTTGTACTCGTGCGAGTTCATGGTGCATCGTCAACTACTCTCACTCTCTTCTCACTTCCTGCAGAATGAAAAACGCATACATTATTCCCCGTTTGTTTGTCTAACTTGAGAAATTTTCCTCTTCTCCTCTCTTCTAGTACAGAGATGATTGTGGCATTTCAACAAAATTTTATTTAGAACATCACATAGCTTTGACGATGTAAAAATCATAGAGAGCGAGAGAGAGAGACTTTACTAGGTACACACATAATGAGAAAAATATTTTCGTGATTTCGAGTACGGAAGCCAGTTTGGTTATTTAAGAAGACAGAAAAACGTAGTTATCTTCTTCTTTTCCTTTTTCCGTTTCTTTGGCATTCCAGTTCCTGTGTGGGGCCTTGCACCAACTAAACAAGTCATTCTACCTATATAACTACCCAACAACTGTCCAGCGCTGGCGGGGAGTAAAGTATCTATACACTTGTACATACAATAATTTACTTGACACCTTCTCTTCCTGCCTTGCAGCACCACCCTTTCTCCATCGTTGAGAATACCAGTCTGACTGGGAACATGTTGTTTAAGAAGACAGACGGACAGACAACAGCAACAACGAGGCATAGTATGTAACCAATGTTGTTGTTACTCGTGACTCCGTGGTCCGTGTATATGTTACGTGTGTTACGTATCTGCATAGTTGTTTTGTTGGCTGGGCCAGTTAGCGAGACACGCTGGAGAGGATGGTAGATAGATGGGAATAGCGACCATCGTTCGTTCGTTCACTGTCGTCGCCTCGTCCAGTTAGAGCGAAACTGGTTTGGTGACGAATGCTTGGATCACACACAACATTCATACATACAGACAGACAGACATACGAACAACAAATAACAACAACAAAAAACAATAACATCGTATAAACTCGTTTTGGTAGTGTAGGTAGGGGTATTCTGTGTCTGCATGTGAATTGGTCTGGTTAGCGATTTTGGCACGTTAGCAAAATTCGATCATTGCGCATGACATGTTTTGCTTCTTCATGGCTTAGTTAGTGAACGAAGAACGCTCAATGTACTCTGAATTAGTATGGGGTTAGTTCACGGGTACTCGGCTCATACATGCACACCAATGTAAGCTTTATTTGATGAGTGTGTAAGTATGTACGTGTTTTATGTTAATATATACGACGATACATACCTAAATACAAGTACGCGCGCATATGGATTCGGATTTATAGTATTGTGTACCACAAACAACAACAAGAACGAAAAATGAACGCTTAGAGGATAACCGTTACAATTATGAGCCCTTGGTATACACAACAAATGCACAAATAAAAGCAAGAAGCAGCAGCAGCCATAAGGATGGAGAAGAAGAAGAAGCACCAGAAAAGCTTTTTTTCATTTCTTGTTGTGATGTACACGCCAATACCATTATGCCCAGGCCCAGATATGAGCATGTATGAGAGATTTGGGCCAAGCTCAACTCTCAACGCTTTCCAGGGTTTCCTTAGACCCCGAAAAATAAAACTCAAGTAAATAGGGTGTTTTGTGTATCACCCAAATTAAAGTGGTTACCTGCGGCCAGTAGTGCTTTTATCTTATCAATAACGATAAGTGTAAGCCCCACACCGATAACAACAAAGGCAGTTCCACAACGGAGTGTGAGTATGTAGGGTACATATCTCTCAAGTGTTGTTTTGATTTAATTTCTTATAGGCGATCGGGGGACCGACCGACCACACAATAATATCTTCCACGAAAAAAAAACGATAAGCCTATCTCGTCCCAAGATAACGAAAACCGACCAACCTCTAAAACTGTAAAGTAATTAGGAATTTTTTTAATGGCAAACATTTGAAATGTGATGGAAAAAATTATTTTTATCTTGTCATTATGATCTTCGTTAGCACTACCAACAATTATGACAACAACAACAACAACAAACGTGACATCGATAATAGCAACACTAGTGGAGTTATGCCTAGAATTGTAAAATGTAGCTTCTTTTGGGCTATACTCACCGCCAGGCTTAAAGGTGGAGGCATCAAACGAAGGTGCCCTGACGGGCTGATGTTTTTCCCGCATCCCCGATGAACGTTCCGATACAAATGAAACTGCTGCTGGCAATGATTCGCCCCTCGTTAGTGGCGGACGTGTTGAGGGATCATCCAAGGCCGGTCTTTTCATGCCCGATGGACCGCTACTGCCGTCTGTGTTACCATGATCATCTTCCTCTGAGGGGGATCTCTTAAGATTTACCGACAATACTGGTGGCACGGGCACGGGTAAATGCGAAGGATTGATATTGGAACCTGCTGCTGCAGCGGCCGCCGTCACAGCCCGACTGGACATGGACATGTGATGTGGCGCCATGTGTGATATACGCACGGGTCTAACATTGGCATCGTGCGGCTCCATTTTAACGGGGAAATCCATGAGTGTGGTCTGTGGCGGTCCAATTCGTTGAGCAGGATATGCGTGATGATGTTGCTGTTGTCCCACTACTCCCACACTAATGGGTCCACCGCCGGCCGCCGTGACCCTGTGTGTTTGACCTTGTGCGGGTGGTTGCACGGAGCTGGTTTGGACTTCGCCGTTTTCATGACTCCTCTTGGAGGCCTGATGCAGACGTTTCATTTGCCGGGCCGCATCGAGCACTAGTTCAATGCGATCCGCACCCTCATAGTTGACGCAGCCCCTGCACACAGCTTCTGAAAAATCATTGATCATGGCCCAGGGCATGCGGGGCAGATCGCACAAATAGCAATGCTGTCGTTTGGTTTGTAAGGACATGATGGAACACGTTTTCAATACTTAATCACTGGAATATTCCTTTTTCAAACATGAATTTTGTAAAATGTCGTTGGATTTCTCTGGAGGTCTTCTGCGTTATTGCAGAACACGACCTGTCCTCCTTTTTTTTTCTAGGTAGAACTACACCAGCCTACAGATTTACACAATACACAATTTTCAAAGGACCTCTTTTTTGCTTCCTGTTTCTTTTTGGCCTTGTATCAGATATTAGATTGTCCTTGGAATCCCCTAGGAAGGAGGATATTTATTTTTAGTTGGTGAAACACCTTTTTTCCAAATGTTTGCTTGTTTGAAATAATTTATTTTAATTCAATTGTTTAAAAATCTTTTCCTTAATGGAATTGGATTGATTGGTTGTTCTTCATCCGCATTATCCACAACGGCGAACATAAGCGAACACCATAATACACATCACAACTGCACTCATATAATGTCGCAAACGTACTAAACACCATCCATGAGGCCGTTGTCCGTTATAAGACCGTATCGAGCCGTGTACTGTGCTGGCTGGCTGACTGGCTGATTGTTGGTTCGTGAGAAGGAATAACGAATGGTTCGTTGGTTGGCTCGCGTTTTCTTCCTTTTCCCCTTCGATAGTCCTTTATTGATTTTTGTGTATTTGGCAAGACATGGAAAAGAAGGAAGGAAATCCTGCAAAGGCAATATGTAAACACACCACAAACTTCACTGTATCCGTATAGCAGTCTGACAGTCAATAGATTTTTCTCTATTTTCGATACGCGTTAGCGGAGTTCAAAACGCATGTCCTTCCTCATTTTTATTCAAATTCTTTTTTAGGGGATATTTTCGGGTGTCAGGTATTACAATCCATTTTTGTTTTTCATAAAAATCGCAATAAATATCCAAATTTCTTAAAAAAATTATGATGTTCTGAATTCAATTCTTATTTTATTTGTTATTCTCTCAAAACTGTAACCACCGCGCCGTTGGTTTTTTTTACCGTAGACGAGAAAATGCGACAATACGATAGTGATACATATAAATTTTGTGTATGTATGTAATCGAAAAAAATAAATACACAAATTTTATGTGATTGTTAGGTAGGTAGGTAGGAATCCGTTAAATCGACGACAAGACGCGCGCTCTACCTTTGTATCCAACAGTCTGCAACCGAATAAAACGGAATAGACGCAAACGGCACTCTAAAGTGATTCACTCGAGAAATTCACACTCCTCGCGCTCGTGTGTGTATACCATTCACAAACGTCGTATTACCCTGCCATGCCCAACCTACCATCCCCGTGCCCAAAGTCTTATCGCTGTAATCAACATCATTAGCCGGCAATGTAGTTGGAGAGGCCGCTTAAGTAAAGGGGCCCCGTATATAGAATTAGCACAAAAAATTCACATTTTCCCCAAACTGTCAGACTTGTTTTTCGGTAAGTATGCGAGGGGTGGACAAAAGAAATCTAATGGGTATAAAGAAAGCCCTTTTACAAAAATAAATGACTACTATTTTGAGAAACGAAATTTTAGATACATTCATGGTACAATGCATTCCCAATTCTGCATTTTCTGTAAATTACTTTGTCAAAGTTTAAGGCATAAAAAACAGTTCCCATCTCTGATTTTGTGCGTATACAATGTTGCCAAATGTATAAATTTAAAAAAAGTAAACATATGTTTACATGACTTTACCTTCTTAGTTCTACTAAGGATACATCATGTAGAAATATTTTTTTCTTGTGGGAAATATCCGCCAATGGGGCCCCAACTGAGGGCCTGCACCTCACCCACATCCGTTGTATTATTGTTGGCATATTAAAAAAAATCATCATTCTCAACAACCATCACCTACCAACACATATTCAGTTGTGTGTTTGGTGCCCTATTCAATATTTACTTAAGATACACATCACATTGTTGTTGTTGTTGCTGGTGGTGGCGTGTGAGAACCTCACGTCTGTGTGTTGAGCACGGCAGTGTGTGTGCGTGCGGTTTTTGCTGATAAACACATAGATACTGTACCCGAATCGTCATCTACGTGTACATACACAAACTAGAGAGAATGGAATGCGCATGACAAAGTACAGTTTTTTGGAACAGTGGGTTGCGGGGTGAATACCAATGATTTTTTTACAATAACCTCAATATCTCTAAAGTCAGATTATAGCTAAAGTGGCTGGTGTAAATGATAGCCGTTTAACTTAGAAACAAACAGGGTCTAAGAAGTTTGATTGTCTGAACAATATAGAATTTATAACTATCAATAATAAGAATCAACTGCAATGACGTGGATATATGTCATGGTCCAATAAGGAGGTAGAACCGCTTCGTAAATGAATTAAATGCCTAGATTTTCTTTGAAGAATATGATCTAAACAGCCCTGAGACTATGTCCGTTTCCTGTCAAATTTCCATGCAACAGGTTCTTTTCATTTATTCAGTATTTTTCTCATTTTTAAAATCAGTAACACTGGGGGAAAATTGTATTCAATGCCTGGATTTTCTTTTAAAAATATACAGTTCTATTTTTCAATTACATGGCAAAACTGGCGAATAGCTTTAATGTTCGTCTCGCAATGTACGCGTTTTCCACTCATTGATTTTGATAATATTCTGTTTTTATTTTTCAAAACAATAAAAACATACACAAAATTAGCAGGAGTCGGGCATACTTAGAAAAAACAAAAAGTAGTCAGCTGATAGCTCTACCTTACTCTCTAATCTACCTTTCCCAACCTAGGGCATTTACAAATACTATATTAAATCCATATCTAAGGAACCCTATTAAATCCTTAACCAAAGATGTGAAGAGACAGAGTTAAAATATGGCAACCCTGTGAAAATACATCTATTGTTATGATATCATAAGAACAGAGTTATCTATTTTAACTGATTTAATCGCTAAGGCAGAATGCAAATTTTTGGAAAAGTCAATGGAATAGATTTTTGAAACCACATTTTTGGATTTTCAAAACTTTTATTTGTCAATAGTTTCTGTAATTGAGGTTTTTAACATGCATCAATCAATTTCTCAATTTCATTCACTGTAAATGATAGCTCATCATTGTGTTTTACAATATAAAAGTCATTACTATTCGCCTCACAAAAATTGCAACGAATTCACATCAGCCTTTAAACCACTGTGCCATGAAACAAATTAATGTGATGATTTTTCGAATGTGACGTCACATAATAGTACAACTAGGAAATATTTGGCTCGGACATTGCTGAAACCAGAGAACAAAAAAAAACAACGTACAGGTATAACAGCAATCGTAGCTATTGCCACAAACACGAAACAGTAATAAGGGATCATTTTCAAATGAGTTCTTTGGCACAGAGGTTAGAGAGCGTAGCGCAAAACAAAACATAAAAACTTGGACATAATGCCAATCTTTGAAAAACGGGGATAAAACATGAATATGGACAAAAATCAACCCTTAACAAAGTAGTTTTTGCATCTTGACTTAATTGCACGTACATCATTTTCGGGGATGCACATTCCCCCACTGCCGTCAACCCCCTTTGGGTTACGCCAGTAAAGTCCTGCCAACAGATACATACCGGATTGCGTCGTCGAACAAGGTGTATTGTGTATACATAATGCTGGGGATAAATGTACGAAAAAAATGTGTATACAAAAACAAGTTTTACTTGTATTCACTACCCACTTTCATGTCTCGTGCTTCCCTCACTCGCGCTCAGTCACTGTGTGTTGCAAAGCAAACGTATGTTTGCGTGTGTGTGTAGGCCTGTTTGGATGAGTTAATTTAAAAGCAAAAAAACAAAAAGGAAAAAATCCAAACGAGGCGCGTCATAGTCACTAACCAATACTCTCACAATGACAACAAGAAGAAAAAACAACAGAAACCGAGAAAAACCATAATCGATAGAAATAAAAATGTAAACATACCACATTGTTCTTCTCATGTAGGTATGCAGTACCTTGACACATGTGTAAGTGCAGCTGTGTGTGATCGCAAAACACCCAGAGAAAAAATGGGGGGTTGAAGGAAGCGCAAAAGAGAGTGCGCGAGTATAGAAGTAATAAATTTATTTTTTTATTGTTTTTGTTGTGAGAGAATCACTGATAAGTTGCATATTCAAATCCCACCACATGTACATATAAAAGAAAATGCTGTAATATTATGTATTGCCGTTGTGTCATTTCCCGACCAATAATCATGAGAAATTTGGTCGATTTGGTTCTACTTCGAAAATTGATAATATATTCCATCTCGGGTTTAAGGAGTGTAAGAAGAGTATTTATAAGAAATTTACATGGTGAAATAAGGAAGGTAAAGTCATCTCAAATAAGCATTCCCATCTGCATTTTCTGAAACTTGACTTGTCAAACAGGTTCCCATCTCTGATATTTGTATGTACAATTTGTTTATAAATATATATTTTGACAATGAGATGTTGTCAAATGAAAGAATGTAAACATATGTGATTGCATGACTTGACGTTCTTAATTCTACCATGGAAAGTTACTTCCACAACTCAAAAAGCTAAAACATTGATGATCTTATGCATTATATGTCTTATAAATATTTAATAAAATCGAACCGAAATAGAAATTTTTAAGGTGTATATCATGGTAGAATTAAGAAGGTAAAGTCATGCAGTCATTTTTTTCGAAATTATTCATTTGACATCTCATTGTAAAAAATTATATCTATGCTGTGAAAGAGCTTTTTTTTTTTGATATTAGGATACCTTCATTTTATTGTACCATGGGAAAATAGTAAAATGATTAAAAATAGCTACTTATTCGAAGGTATTACAAAATGTCGAATGCTTATTTAAAAAAAAAATAGTTAAAATATTTAAATTATTGCCTAAATTTGTATAAAATTTTCACATCGGCTGATTTTCTCTAAGATGGTGATACTAGATCATTCTTTCTGAGATGTTTTTTAGTGTCAGAATTGCAAACCCTAAGTAACTCTTCTGTCAAAATGCTCTCTTCACTCACTCTCTACTACTCGAATTTTTTTAATAATTTGTACGATTTATTATAAGGTTCATTTTGACCCTTTTTTTTTCTGGGATAATTTTGGTAGAAAATCAACAACAACTGCACTGGCAATAATGTGCCTATCTGCAATGTACGTGGTGTATAGATACGAAATAAACACGAATCAAAAGTAAACAAAAACAAAACAAAAAACACTTCACCAACACATATTTGAATTACCCACAAATACTCTCAACTATTTGGATCTGGTTTACGCTGGCCGCGACTGTATGTGAATCGTACGTCTGAATGTGATGAATAGTGTAGAGAAGAATTTGCAAAAAAAAAAAATAATAATAAAAACAGAGAAAACAAAACAAACCGCTGCAAAATCACTAGAAAGAAGAGTGCGCGGGCAGAGAGAGAAGGAAAAGACTTGAACTGGAATGTGGTTAGTGTCGTTGTTGTTGTTGTATTCAACGGATCTCTCTCTCTCTGTGTGATGCAAAAAATTCCTATTCGTGAATCTCGTTCTTGCTCTTGTTAATCGTGTTCCCAAAGTGTATACATTTGTGGTTGTTTTTCGTTTTGAATTTGTTGACCGGGCTGGGGTGGCGGCAAAGGTGTGGGGGATATGTTTAAACTATTTTTGGTTTATTGCCAAGTGATGTTTCTCTACTTGTTTTGAACACTCACACACATAAACGTATATTTTATTTATTTTTTTAGTATGTCTGTCGTTTTGTCAATTTGTACTATGCCTGCCATCAATTGTTCTGTGTTGCCTGCATTTGCCCATAGAGATACTAACATCGAGACGTAGTAGTATACATCATGCCAATAATTACGTGAACCCATGTACTCTAAACAATTGCGCTCATGGCGATGGTATTGAGACCACCTTTCTCTTCTCAAAAATGATTGCCAGGCCTGTGAAGAGCTATAACAGGCATGAGCTATTTTGCTTTCATTCATAATTTAATGGTGTTTTGCATCCAACAAATGTTGACATATCAGAACCGATCTTAAATTTGATATAGGTACCTCAGTAGTAGACGCTTACATTTTATCCTTTGGATTTTGTTTAACCTAATTAAAAGCTCTGGTGTAAATAAGATCTGGAACAAGAGAACTTATTTGCTACTCCTCCTCCTCCGTCTTCCTTACTCCTTTCATAACACCTAGGACAAGTACCAAGTAATTTAGTAAAAAAATAGTTATTCATTCGTTAATAATTTTTTTGACAATCCCTCAATTTCGCCTTGAAGTGGGGGAGAAAATGTATATCCAGGATGGCGCAAACATTGATATTAGTAAATATCCGAAAAGCCTGCGACCGATTTATTTACCAAGATATCTTTATATCTTTTTAGAAATGCCAAAATACATATCCAAGTTTTCTCTAAGACCCGCAAAATGTTGTCCTATAAATTGAGAATTTTGCTATTATTAGAAAAAAAACAACAAAATATTTTCCCCATTATTTCCATTTTTGGTATTAATCTAACTGTTCTTAACGTTCGCACGTAAACCAGCTAGCTCAGTGATGATTTGCAAATGTTAAACAGATGTGTTCAAATAGGTATTTTCATAAATGCTGTTTGAAGACGAGAATGACAACAATAAAATAGCTATGAACAATACCGCCGTGGTGTTGTGGACCTTGAATACGTAACGGCTATTTAAAAATGATCCTACTTCTTCTGTGTCTCATGCCATGCCGTCGTCATAAATAAACCTGTTTCAAAATGCACACACACACACACTCACAAAGTACACTCAAATTGTTGTTGTTGTTTGTTTACCGAGCTGCTTAGCAGGAGTAGTTTAATGAAATTCAAACAAGTTCATACACGAATGAATAGGAACCTGCTGTCAACAGATTATTTGATATTTCTCAGTCAGTATGGCATGTCTGTTAATGATCATTATCTTTCGAAGCAACACAAACTCTCTCGTTCTCTTCTCATTTTACAAATGTGTATTTTTTGCATGTGAACAGACACACACACACACACCCATTGCTGCTCTCTGTTAAATACATGTTACTTTGTGACGTCAGTTCAGAAAAAAGAAACACAAAAACAAACATTAAAATGCAAAAACAACAGCAACAATAATTGAATAAAAGATATTTTATTATATTTTGTAAAAAAACACAAACAATTAAACAGTGTTGCCCACAAAATTTCAAGCATAATATGTATGTATAAATCTGTACTTTTTGTGCTCATGCTACACGATTTTAAAGCGAGAGAGAGAGAGAGAGAGAGAGAGAGCTATTACTCTTTTACACGAAAGTAGATATCTAGAAATAAGAAACAGTTTTTTTAACACGATTCTTGGCATGTATTCAGTTCATGAGTAGCATTGAAACACGGAATATTTTGCGCATGAAAATAAAGTGACGTTAGGTAGTATTTGCTGACAAACTTTCTTGTTGATTCGAATAAAAAACAGTAGTTTTTCAGAGTCTTTTACAATGTCCAGTAATTCACCCGAAGTAAAACCAAAGAGAAAGGCAATAAGTTTAGATACCAAAATCAAAGTTTTAAACTTACTTGCCTTGGGAAAACGTGCCACAGCGGTTGGAAGACATTTTGGCATTTCTGAAGCTACCGTACGAACGATAAAGAAAAAGGAGAGTGCAATCAGACGATCGGTACGTTTCGGAACAGAAGAAAGTGTTAAAACCACGTTGCACACCAGGAACAGTGCCAAAGAAAAGATGGAAAAGATATTGGTAATGTGCATTGAAAAGATGGTGCAACAAGGAAAGCCCGTAAAATCAGGAATCATCAAGAAAACAGCCATTGACATATACAATCGTCTGAATGAAGCTGAGGCAGACAATCCCACCCACTCGAAAAATTGTGTATTTGCGGCCAGTAATGGCTGGCTAAAGAGATTTCGTGAACGTCATAATATTAAATTGAGGCCAGGCGACAAGTCTGATGATGAGGATGGAGATGAAAATCCGCTTTTAAATACAAACAATGGCCTTGAAGTACTTCATAGTGATTTTCTAAATCACGGTCTAGAACTTGCACGACAATTGGGTGAACATTTTCAACAATGTGATCCTGATAAGGAACGTGCTGCAAATTTTCGCCGGCAACTGGAATTACTAATGGCTCCCTATAAAGATATGTATAGAAATATATCACTAAATCAAACAGAATATTCAGAATTTTCTTCTATTAACGATTTCGATCCAGTATCTGTAAAAGAGGAGGCTAATGATTATAAAGAAGAAGAAGAGGAACGAGAGCTAATAGAAATACAAGAAATAAAACTTGAGCCAACAAAATAAATCTGTCCTGGTTCCGCAAGGAATTTATTGATATAAATTAAACTAACCATGAAATGGACTAATAGAGTAATTTAAGGTTCTCATTATCTAACACTCGGAGCACACACCACAGTTGAACAGTACTTACCGGTATAAAATGTATATATAGGCATATAAAATATACAAAATATGTTGTGTTTTGTTGAAGAAACTCACATCATAACAACTGCTATGAGAATATAGTAAAAATTAATTTATTTCTGTATTTTTTTTTTAATATTTTACACATATTAATGTCAACAAGTGCTGATGCATCTACCGGTATTATTCTAGCATGTTTTTCACAATTGCCTTTGTGTCAATGTGTAAAAGGAAGGCGGAGAGAGTTGCTTTGACTGAGAACACATTTGAGCAGTGTTGCCGTTTAATATTTTTCGCCTAAAATAATGGTAAAAATTTTGAAGTTGAAAGAGTATACTCTGAAATTATAAAAAATTACACTATTTTGCAGAATAAAATTGTTTGCGAAAAAAAAAACTTTTTGTTATTCTCTCAAAAGCATTTTTAAAATGTTAGTAAGAATAACAAAAATGCAGTTAAAAAACCTTAATACTTTTTATCATGAGATAAAGAAAACCTTTATACATAAAAGTACTTCGATTCATTTTACGAAGAAGTTCCATATTAAACTACAAAATCCAGTGAATTAAATTAAAATAACATTAAATGGGCCAATACGGGAAAGTAGATTAATACTCCCTCCTTTCCATGATGGAGGGCATAAAAATACAAAAAAGACAAAAATGACACAAGTAAAACCAAAAATGCCCAAAATCCGCCCAACTAAAAATTGTACATATTTTATGAACTCTTTTGGTCATAAATGCCCACTTTCGGCAACACTGTATGCGAGGGCTCTCTCCCTCTCTCTTTGTGAGCGAGAGAAAAAGTTATCCACCAAGACGAATATGTTTTGTTTTAGTACGATTCCGAACATTCACATTTTCGCATTCACGACATTGGGAACACTGTTATCGACGTCTGGGTCTTAACCATTTGCTATTTCTTTTATTAGCTTCATTTGTAGTATGTTTAAATTTGCCTACTTACCATCATTAAATAATTCATTTAAAAGTTAAATATCTTAGGCATCTGTATTTAGCTTAGAGTTCTCTTCCACGATGTCCAAAACTTCATCGGACATAAAATTAACGCGAAAGAAAATTAGTTTAGAAACAAAACTTAAAGTTTTGGATCTACTTGCCACGGGAAGAGGCACTTCGGAAGTGGGTAGACATTTTGACCTCCATGAATCAACCATACGAAATATCAGAATAAGGGAAAAATCCATTAGAAAATTGGCAAGTTTTTCAACGGAAAGTAGCGTTAAATCCATTTCTTACACCAGAGACATTGTCGAAAGCAAAATGGAGAAGATTTTGGCAATGAGTATTGAAAAGATGATGCAACAGGGAAAGCCTATCAAGACCAGTACAATTAAGCAAACTGCTGTAGATATTTATAACCGGCTGAAAGACCAGGAACCTGCCTCAAATCGATCGAGAAGCAGAGGGTTTAAGGCCAGTAATGGATGGCTATACAGGTTTCGTCGTCGGCATAACATTCAAGTCAAGCCAGAGGCTGAGTCTGACGAGGACATGGTGGACAGTGAGTACTGTGAAGGAAATGAAACGATTAAAGAAGAACCAGAGTCTGATTTGAATACTCAACTTATTAAAGGTCTTCATCTTGCCCAGAAATTGGGCAATTATTTTGAACAAAATGATCCGGAAAAAGATCGTGCTGTAAAATTTCACCGACAATTGGAATTGTTGATGGCACCGTATCGTGAATTTTGTAAAGATTTATCAAAAAATGCTACCAACTCTTCGTTAAGGAATGATATCTCATCAAAATCTACATCGGAACAGACTGTTAGTGCTATACCAGAATCAAATTTGCTAGAACTTAAGCCTAATTCAAATGCGAGCTACATTTGTGAGCAAAAAATAATAAAAATAGAATCAAACTGCTAAAATACCTATACCAACATAAAATGTTTTTTGAAACAACTCTAGTTTAGTAAAAAATGCGGGTTTAATACCCGGCCTGGATCCGGACCCAATTACCCGATATAGGCAATATAGGTATCGTTGGAAAGCTTATGAAAATACCAACAAGTGGTCACATTATGGGGTAAGTGGATCGGAAGTTTTAGTCAAATTTTTGGACCCGGATTTTTTATAAAATCCCCAAAAAGTCCAAAAAGGGCCCATTATGGCGGTAAACAAAATTGATACCAAATTATAGCTGACACTCTTGCCTTTCCAAAATGCTACAATTTGTGCTGATACCTTTTCCGGGTCCAGAGATTTGGGTCTTTCCATCCGCATAACCCGATTCTAACCAGTTCATTGAAATTATGTTTTCAGTAAAAAAAGGTTTATTTCGCGTAGCCGTCGTTGGAATTACAAAATTTTTATAAATTTCGCATCACCCAAGAATGGTTACAAAATGAGGTTCCTCGCTTCATTTCCAGCGCACAATGACCACCAAAATCTCCGGATACCAATCCGTTGGACTACTGTGTGTGGAGTATTTTGGAAAGCAAGGTTGGCACTAAAAAATACCAAAGTGACGATCACCTCCAGCAAGCGCTTCGCCGGGAACGTTTTTGTAGAGTGGATTTGCATTTTTAGAGTAGATATAGGTACGGAAAATGCAAGACGGCTCAGGAAAGATTTTTTTAAAACAAATAATATTTTCAGGCCTGATTTTCATTATTGAAAATAGTCGCGTGTCCTTTGAACTAATTTATTCCTAAAAAAGGTGTTTTATATAAGTAAAACATTATCTGCCTCCCGAATTATTGGCTTCTTTTTAAGCCTTTTTTGTGAACAACTCCCAAAATACTCACTACATTTTACCACACATTTATGTAGATAGGTATGTATGTACCTTTTTGAAACAGGTATCGTTAAAAGAAAAAGGGGTCAGGTTCGCAAAAGCAAATTTAGTTTATCTGCACATGCAATTTTTCTTTGCACTCCGTTTTCTGTATAGTATTCTGGGAAATATATGAAAAATAAGTAAATATGTACGTATTACACACGCATATTATCATATAGGTACATGTCCTATTCTTCATATACTCGTATGTAGTATACAATATACAGTATTTCCTTGTCTCCTTTCCTGCTCCTGCATAAAACGCAGCAAAGCCCGAAGGGGAGTTTTCTAGAAATAAGTGAAATTGCGCCAAAAATATGGGAAAGGGTTGGCAGTAATGTTTGTATACTCATGCAATATCTAGTATACAGTGCTTTTCGTGCATGCAGGATATAAATGTTGCTGTCTTTTTATACTTGACGTTACAAGTTCAACCACCTCGCTACACATTTGGTTTGTTTGCTTCTATAGTTTAGCAGAATTGTCAATTTAGGACACAGTTCAAAATCCTGCTGCTGCAGTCTCTATTGAATATCTCATCTCATTGTTGTTGGCACTCACAAGCCTCTGTGGGTATAGAAGAGTGTGTGCGCACTTGCTCTACTTAAAATATACACACAGAGAGAGAAGGATTAACCTTAAAAAATACAATTTTTGCTACATTCATTCTCTCGTCGAGAATTGTCAATTGTCCTTTACGAACAGTTTCATGTGTGTGTCTCCTGAAAGTGTTGGTATGTAGGTACACACGGAAAAAGAAAGCAGGAATTAAATCCTGCGCATGTCCCTTTTGTTGTTGTGCATACACATTTGTTGCTGGGTTAAATATTGATTTACAGGGGTAAGCAAAAACAGCATTGGTCATGGTCTTCAACGATAGCAGAGAAGGAAGCCTGGCGCTGTTAATCTTACAGAGCCATATTTAGCAAGGTGATGAAATCAAATGCCTACATACATATAAAATAGGGATAACGATCCCAAGTTTATTTTGATTTGGAGATTTGCTCCTACCAATGGTATTTACCATAACAGCCTGTAATTCAAACACATTTGAAGAGCATAACTTGCTTGCAGTAAAAATATATTTAAATTGTTACATATATCATATATATATTTGTATAATAAAGACAGTCAGTCAGTTAATTCTATTAATTGATTAGAAATTTCTGTTTTCTTTTTTGTTGTTAACAAAAACTTATAATTTACAATCCAAGGACACTTTCTAAAATATCAATTCTGTTTTTGAATTTCGATTCAAATTTGCTTTTTTCTTGTTATCTCTAAATATCAAGGAGCAATGGCAACAATAACATTTTAATATTGGAGGACTCTTTTGACACAATTGCCATTTCTTTTCAAAATAAAATAATGAGATTATTTTCTTACCTTTTTTAAATGCCAATTTTGGAGACCAATTATTTTCAATAAATTACAAAACAACACAAATAATACAACAACAATGGGTTAATAAAAATAAATATCATGATTCGTTGTTTGAGCTAAGCATTTTATGCCTGAGGCTTTGTAACGAAGGACAACAAATCTGCCTGATCGGGTTTGTCGCGTGTTGCATGATAGGCTTCACGTTCTTTGTCGGGGAATTTGGTGGGTAAATTGGGTGAATGTAAATTCACCTTGGCCTCAAAACGCATGCCAGCCACCTCCACTTCATAGTGGCCCGACAGAACATAATCATTGGTGACTGGCAATTCATTGCCCTGCTCATCTACGTTACGTACAAAACCCAAACAAACTTGTTTCTTAAAGGTGTAGCCATAGCCGGTGGTTGTGGTCATTCCACAATATTTTCCATCTCTGTAGATCGGTTCATTGCCCCAACACCACACATCCACCTCGTGATCGTGGTCATTGAGCAATAGCTGAACATACATGCGCTTTACTCCCTCTTCGCGTTGCTTTTCCAATGCTTTGCGGCCAATAAAATCAATGGGTTTCTGAAAAAAAAAAAAAAAAAAAACCAAAAAAAGCCAGTTAATTTTATTTTTCCTTGGGATACCATGCTTACATTAAACTTAACACGCCAACTACGTCCACACTCTAAGGGTGTTGTATTGGTATCCAAATCCTGACCCCAGAAGGCATAGAATTTTTCAATGCGCAATGCTCTGGTAGCATAATAACCAGCATGTTGGATATTATACTTCTGACCAGCTTGGAAAATACGCTCATATACATGCAGGGCGTATTCATTTGGTATATACAAAACATAACCCAGTTCGCCAGTGTGTGTTATATTGAGGGCCCGTATGCCGTTGGCCAAACCAACATCCAATTCTTTGTACGTGAAAAATGGGAAATTGCTAGGTGTCAAATCGGTATCGGTCAGCTCGGAGAGAAGTACACGAGTATATGGTCCCAATATACAAATAGCTGTATACATGGAAGTTACATCGGCCACATTGACGCCTGAGCGCAAATGATTCGGCATTTTCTTGCGTATCCAACTCATGGAACGTGTTTGTTGTATGGTGGGTGCTATCATCATGTAGCTACGGATAAAAACACCACTATTGTCATATCACAAAATCTAAACATTCGGAACTCACTGTTTCTCAGAAAGTCGTGCCAGAGAGCAATCATTTTCATAGCCTCCCCTTTCATTTTGCATTCCTGTGTGTATGATGGAGCCCACGGGTACATCAACATCATTGGAGCATAAGTACTGCAACAAATCCACAACTTCAGTGCCCTTTGACCATAAATCGTACTTTGTAAATGAGCTGTAGTCAGCTAAACCAATTCGTTCCCGACAGGCATTATATTCGGAAGATACCAAATCAAACCAATGGGGTTTGCCAAATGTTTTCGTTTCGGCAATGCGAAAACGAGGTATGCCAAATTCATCTGTTAAATATACACACACATAAAAATCTGTAATATGAAAAATGAGTTCAAAATTACCCTTCTTATCATGCTGATCAAAATAATTGGGCCGTTCGTAACCCATTGTCTGGCCAAATACCGCGCCCGCTTCTTTGAGTGATGGATATATGGGAGACATACGCAGATTACGGCCCGTCTTGAATTCATCAAATGGATAGTTTATTTGGTAGTGCTTTCCAGGAACTTCTTTAACGCGATCGGTGAGAAATTTGCGGTTATTATGCAGACCTAGGAAGCGATTAATATCCAGTATATGTATATCCAGTTCGGTGGATCCCTTGACGATTACATCGGCCAGAGCACGACCAATACCACCTGCCGCCGAGACACCAATTGTTTTCATGCCAGCCGAAACATAATAATTTTGTATTTCAGGGGCTTCACCCATTATCCATTTGCAATCTGGGGAGAAGGCTTGCAAGGCATTTGTTAAGCGATCTAGACGAGCTGATCTTAAGGCGGGCACCCTCTTCAGTAGTTCATCCAAAAGATCATGGAAATGATCCCAATCGGGTGGTAATACTCGTTCCTTTTGAGACAAAGGTATGAATCCATCTTCAAAGGCCACTTTAGCCTCTTTTTCAAAGCCACCTAAAAATAAATTTATTTTATTAAATTCCGCCAAGGTTGCACAAGACTACCTTACCTGCCAATATGCATCCATCTTTCTCTCGGAAATATATGCCTCCATCAAAGTCTCGGACAAAAGGAGTCAACGGATTCAATCCTTCGACCTCTTTCGTATAAAGATAATGGTGTTCCACAGCTTTCAAAGGTACCTTTACTGCTGGCTTCGACAGAGTACCTACCTCCCTCGCCCAGAATCCAGTGCAATTGACAAAGAATTCACATTTCACATCACCTGATGTTGTATCGACCTGGGTAACCTTGCCACGTTCTGAGCGAATCTTCTTCACGGCACAATGTTCCACAACTCGCACATCCATGCGTTTAGCCTCTTCAATGAGAGTTTGGCACACTAAATGTGGATCACATACACCGTCGTCTGGTATCCACAGACCACCCAACAAATCATTAACTTCTATAATCGGACATTTTTCCTTGCACTGTTCGGGACTTAATATTTCGCACGGTATGTTCCAGGAGACTCCACAAGATTTCATGCGATTGAATGAAATCATACGATCAAAAGTTCGGCCCAAATTTAAACTCCCCACTTGCTTCCAACCAGTGGGCAATCCTTTATTGGTAAAATCCTTTATTAGCTGAACAGAATATTCGGCTAGTTTCAATTCGGTGTAACTAGGCTCAAAACGTCCCGCCAGGCCACTTGCACACCAAGGACTATCACCCGCAACTGTGTCTTGTTCCAGCACTAGTGTTTGTTTACCCCATCCCAGTAGGGCTAAGTGATAAGCCACAGAAGCCCCGACTATTCCACCGCCACAAATAACCACTCTCGCCTCCTGTGGCAGATCGCAGGCAGCCTTCTGCTCAGGTTTTTGTGGTATGAATTTGCGTTTGCGGAAGACATTTGTTGGTTCGTTTCCTGCACTCGCCGCTCCTGATCCAGTCTGAAGATTTCTGCTCGCCAAAATGCTTCGCACATGTAGGCTGACATTTAAATTTGTTTGATTCAACAGACTACCACTTAATTTTCCTCCATATTTATACATTGTTCCCGATGATATAAGTTTATATGAGTACAATCATAATTTCTTGTGTATCGGAGAAACCAAACAAATGCAGAACTGCAATTATATATATGATTCAAATATATATATGCGGGATATTTATTTAATAAATTGGCGCACGACCACCGACCTCTTTGGGCACTAAATTACCAAAGTGAAAGAAGAAAGTAAATGGACAATAAAAATCGCGAGTAAGGCGAGCGAGAGTAACAGCTGTTGATTAGGGATCTGTAAATCGACAATAAGAAATTCAAGAACTATAGGATTATGAAATCGTTTGTGTCTTTGAAAAATACATGATAGAAGAACTGTCAAACAAAATTTGAAATGGAAAATCATGAATGAAAAGTTATTAAAATTCGTAAAAATTTCTGAAAAATGAATATCATAACAATCTCCGATTGGCGTCGTATAACAAAATATATAAAAATGTACTTATTTTTGAAAAAAAAAACATTTCTAAGCATTTAAACATGTCAATGTCATTTAAAAATTTTTGAATTACAAAACATTTATGAAAGAAAACAAATTAAATTTGGGTAGACACGAAAGATAAAGACAAACAATGATATTATCATGGCTCAATAAGAAAGGTTACTTAACTTCAAAGAAACTAGAAAAATGCAACTCTGTGCTGGAGTCTTATAGTGTCAAATAAATTTTTTATTATGCAACAGTTGGTTTTATTTATTTTTCATTTTTTTTAACAAAATTCTTGTATTGGGAAAATCTGCGAAACAGAAATAGAATTTGAAATAGATTGAATCTAGAATAGTAGGACAATACAGTTTCATCCCAAAATTTTACAATGTTTTGCCTATCAACTTCGAAAACAATACACACTCATTCACAAAATGTGTTTATGTTTTGACAGAATAAGGGCACAAAAATACCTTCTGTTCTTATGCCATAGATATATTTAAAAAACTACAATTATTAAAATTTCATTCATATTTTAGTGATTCTTTTTTGCAACTGCTAGCATATAGTTATATTCCCTTTTGTGAACGTGGGAACAATTCAAAGTGAAAGCATGTCAGCTGTTTTGCGTTGGTGGCAGGTCGTGACATTTTGACGCCGTTAAGAATATTAAACTCAGTACACACTATGGATCATGTGATCAGCTGTTGATGTTATTGTTGTCTTGGAATTTATTGCCGGAATACCAACACCAGAGACGCCCCTTATCCTCTTCCAAATGGCCACAAAACAATTAACTTTAAGCGTACTAAAGCACAGTAGAGAGCTTTGGCAGGGAAATGTAAGGAACCTTTTGGTATCAAGAGTTTCGACGTCTGGAAATTGGCGCCATTTGTGTTCTAAACCGCAGCAGGAATTGAGGCGTATGTAATGTTTCGTAACGTGTAGTAATTTTTGTCCTTTAAAAGAAATGCATGGCTAAATTTCAGCAAATGACACCAATCTATTGGAATTCAAGGGTGAATGGTCTGCGGCAAATAAGGATAAATTTATACGTGACATGAGAGTTGTAGTGGATTTCATTACCGAAGACGAAGAAGCAAAACTGCTGGAAGAGATTGAACCTTATATGAAACGTTTACGATACGAATATGATCATTGGGATGATGTAGGTGTTTCGAGTGATGTGGAATTTTTAAAAAGTTATTAATTTATTTACATTTTCGTAGGCCATTCACGGTTTTCGAGAAACCGAACGTAAACATTGGTATCCACACAATCGTCAAGTACTGGAAAGAGTGCGTGTGAAAGGTTTCCAAGAAGAAATCATGCCGTATGTGCACATATTAGATTTAGCTGCCGAGGGTGTAATTAAACCGCATATTGACAGTACAAGGGTAATTGTATTTAGATTTAATCCGTAATGTATTTGAGTTGACAAACAAATCTGAGTTTTGGATATAAAGAGGAAAATGGGACAGAAACGATGTGCTATGTGCATTTGGAATATAAATTGTTTCTGAAACTGAAACGAGCTCTTTTATTGACTTTTTTTCTAAAAGTCAATGCTTTTTTAGATTATTCAGTATAATTCAAGGAAATTCACAACTAATCTAAAATTATCGATTTTCTAAACTATTTATTTTATTGATATTTTATTTGGTAATTCAAGTATTGCGGCCACACAATTGCCGGCATTAGTTTGCTTTCGGATTCTGTAATGCGACTAGTGTATGCCATCAATAAAACTGAATCTGGTGCCTCGGAAGATTATCGCAGCCAACCAAAGGCCATTTTAGAAAATAATTATTATGTTGATATTTTGCTACCACGTCGCTCCCTATACATTATGAGGTAAATTCTTTGTCATATACTTTTCGATTACAAATAAGTAACAACAAACATTTTTTATTAAAGCCATTATGCCCGCTACGATTTTACCCATGAAATATTGGCCAATAAGGAGTCCAGTTTTATGGGCCAACCAATTAAAAAGGATCGACGTATATCAATTATCTGTCGAAATGAACCATAACAGAGAACGGTTTGAGTGGCGCCAAATTGGGATTTGAAAACTCCCTGCTATCCAGAATTTTTAGTCTTATCGAGTTGTTATATTAGTATTAGCATTTTTAATTTGTTTAAAATTATACTTTTTTTGTAAATATAGTGCACCAATTGTCTTTGGTTACAATGAACTCCTATTCTTTTCCATCTCATTCATAAACCCAAAACTTACTCATATGTTTCACAGTTTTACAAAGATCTGTATGAATTCGGAAAAGCACACTATGACAACATACCTACTGTCTGGCGAGTTTATTTGCCCCATTTCTTATTGTTCTCCTTTTGAACTTGCCTCCCTCCAATTATGAATTTTATAGTTCATCATTGCTTTTCCTGTAGTTGTTATTCATAATTTTGTAGTAAAATAAGAACACAGAACGAATTGCCAATTCTAGCAATTTTTTGCCATTCTACGTTTTACGCCTAACATAAATTCACACAAAAGAGCTCCGCCATTCCATATTAAACCCCATTTTTTAAATTCATTTTTTTTTTATTTATTTCGACATTTTCAGTTGTTTTTGAAATACATATTCTGTTTTTTTTTGTACAATTCTAAAATATTTACTAATTTTTTAAGTTCATTTTCTAATATTTGGTTTTAATCTTCTTAACAATTTTCTTCAATATTTGGTTATATAGGTTAATTTTTTTGGTTTCTGTTTTTGCAATTTCTTGCTTTTGCCTAATTAAACAATTTTCTTGGTATTTTGTTACTAAACTAAAAAATATTAAATTAATTATATTAATACAACGTTTCTTTTGCGCTATTTTAGTAAAATGTTTAATTTTGTTTTTTTTTGGTTTTTTTTTTATTGGTGAATTAGTTTTTTCTATGGTTTTATTTTGAAGAGTTTTTTGAATTATTTTTTTTTTGAATTATTATTAATCCTAATAAATAATCAACAAGACTAATGAAATAATGACGTTAGGAGGGGCATGCTAGAGTTGTGTGTGTTTATGAATTTGAAGGTTTAGGATTGGAAAGTGTTGCAATGTTTTTAGTACAGAAATGGAAGTTTAATCCTAACATTAACTAAGAGAAGAAGGTCGGCGTAACTTAAAACAAGGTACCATTTTTTGATGCCTTTAACGGAAATAGTCCTATGTAATTATTTTTTAACTTTTGTTTTGAGTTATAAATTAACAAAATTTAGTAACCTTATGAAGTAGCTAACAAAAAAGCGCGGTATTAGAGTCCTATGAATAGTAAAAATGAGCGTTTTTTATGATAGTTTATAAATTGTATGATAAGGAAAAGAAGGCACAGAAGAAATTTTCCTATTATATACAAGTGTTTATTATTTATATGAAATGGTTGTAGTTAGATGGAAGTTGTAGTTATTTTTACGAAAAAAAAAACGAAAACAAAAACCAACTACATTTTTAGGCTTTTGGTTTTATTCTTCTTCCAATTTTAAGAAAATTGTTTTAAGTTTTTCTTTTTATAGAAAGGAATTGACTTTTGTGTAATAGTTAGTTAAGACTTGTAGATAAGGAGTATTAAGTTCACAATTCGTTGATGATTATTTTGTTATCTTGGCTTAAAAAGAGTGTTTTTGCGAACATTATGTCGCCAACAGCTATAATTTATACAATATTGTTGTTGTATTTTTTCTTTTTATTTTTTGTTTGGGATAAAGAAATCTTCTTTGAGACAGAAAATTTGCTTTATTTATAGATCACAGACAAAGCACCTGCTTTATTTGAATTTAGACATACATAGTTATTTTTTTGGTTTGTGTGAATGTATGTATGTATGTTTTGTTAGGTAGCTTGGTTTTGGTTATGAATGTATGAGGATCCAGGTAATGTATGTAAGTAAAAGTATTAATACTAATCTTTTGCTTATTGTTAATAATTCTAGCTTAACACTACTTTAATAGTTATTTATTTATATAATTTTGTGTTTTGGGTGGCGATTTTATAAACACTTCTTGGTTTGGGTTTCATTTCTTTAGCTGAGTCATGCAAATTTTGTTAAATTTAGTTTTTGTTTTGGGGGAGGGGGTCATAACTTTATCATTCTGGAACATTGGTTTTATTTACAATTCCACATTTGAGGTTATGTTTTAAAATGACATTATTTTAAGACTTCCAGAAATCCCCGCAAAAATTACTATAAATGCTTTTTTGTTGTAGTTTTTTTTTAAACATTTTTTTCTCTACAATTAATATGTATATAATATATGTCGGTATATAAATCCGTTTAATAACAACTATATGCAGGTGTTTTTTTTAACAATTTAGTAGGGTTTTTGCACAATTTTTGGGTACATGATTTTGATTGTAAAAGAAGCTTTTAACAAATATTTTTACAGTAGATAAATAATACAATCGAAATAGGACAAAGAGTGCTAAATATATAAATAGCCATTTTGGTATAGGACTATAGTTTTACAGCAAAATATTTTAATTAAAAAAAGAGTAATTTCAAAGAAATATTAAAACAACAAATCTGGAATAGCCACAGAGCTTTGAAACAAATCCTCACTGAAATGATTATAAGTAAAGCTATGTTATTAATATAAATTTGTTAAAATTTAGCTTTTATTTCTCATTTTAGCCTTTTAAGCCTTTTACTCAACCTTGCCATCCAAATTTAATAAACTGCAACTTTAGATTGTGATTACCAATCTTGTGCTAGGACTTTACATTTTCAAACAATCCGACAAGGACGCTGTGGGCAGGATAAAAAAATTAAGCTTAAATGTATGCTAATATGTTAAATTTTACATTAACTTTGCATGGAATATTGTATAATTAACTGTTAATTGTTTTAGAATTACAAGAAAGAACAATGTGTTATCATTTCAAATGGCATGACATCATTCCTCATTGCAAAAGAAGAAGCAGACTTCATTTGATGGGCAGAGATGGGATTTTAATATTAACCATTGTTAATATATATTTAGCACTCATTTGTTAACAAAATATCTTGTTTTCCTTACTTAATTTATTACAAATAAATCTAAAGCATATATCTTATAAATAAATTATATTTCCAGGGGCAATTGTTTGTGTCTTACTCGATCTGCAATAGACAGAATCAACTAATGTATTATTGCACTCAATCTGTTAAAGGTAGCAAAAGTCAATTAATTATCGAAAAAATTAGTTAATTAAGATGTCACTCTGGAAGCAGAGTTCCTTCTCTTTGCTTTTTACCGCTTTAACAGGTTTTGTGGATTTCAACAATACTAAAGTTGCAATATCTTGTTTAGACCGAAAGTAAGGAGAAATAATTTAGTAAAAGTTAATGCAAGTGGCACATATAGATTTATTGGTTTTTTGCAGGCATTGTCTTAACAATTCACCACACTGACCAAAGCTAGCAAAAGTCAACTAACCTAAAAGGTTAATCAATTAAGTTGCCACTATTCGAAAATAGTTTGTTCTCCTTGCTTTTTACTGATTTGGAAAGATGGCGATTTGATAAGTCAAATGTGGACCTTTTAAACCAAAATAAATCTGATTTATTTGACAAAATGGCATATTAGTGGTGTTGGGTTTTCGTTAAGAGTTTGGCTTTTCAAAAAGTTAAATTTCAAATAGAGTTTTACATATAAATTTTTGTTCATTAAATAAAAAATTGAAAAGATTCATTTTAAATAAACCACTTTGAAATTTGTCCATAAAAAGATTGGTTCAAGAGTTTTTAAAGGAAAAATATATGTATTTGTTTACATACAATATAAGTTCACCTTAAACCGTTTTCAGTAAAGCCAATCATTTATTTGCCACATTTTCACTGAAATTGACAACTTAAATGACAGATTTGTTAAAACTAGTTTAATGTAAACACTGCCTAATATTTAGTTATCGAATGTGAGCTTTTATGGACATTATTATTTTTGCTGTTCTGAAATGCAATTTCGACAAAAGTAGGTAAATTGAAATGTGCTCAGGTATAAAATCATAGTTTAATGTTTGTTTACATTGAAGAAGAAGAAGAAGAAGCTTAAACACAATAACAGGAAAAATCATGTTTGTGCAAAATCTTTTCTTTTTCGATGCATTTTATATAAATGATACTGACAACATAAATGACGCGCTTTATTAAAACGTGATTGATGTAAACGATATCTAAATGTTCCTATACAAAACAAGGAGTCACATCAATTTACAAATCTAAAGTTTGCGTCAAAAATAATGCAACTTATAACCTAAACAAAAAAAATATCTATCTGAAATTAACATTTCTTATGAAAAACTTTATCCAGCCGTTTTTAGAAATTGGTTTGGATTTATTCACAAAATAAGGGGTTTTTTCTTGTTTCAAGCGGGCTGGTCACACATCAATTTCACTTAAATATATTTTTTATGGAACTGGAAATTGTATTTGAAAAAAAGCTTACGTACAAATTAAACTAGTATAAACTGTATGAAAACGTACGATTAGATATAATATAAGTAGAACTCCCTTTATCAGAGGAGACGATGAGTTTCTTTTTTTTTTGTTGAATTAGTGCAACGAAATACAGGCTTTAAATTGAACAAAGACTGCACCTGGGGTTTATGCCAAAACAATAGTTGCCTCTCTCTTTATCGTGATGATCTGAAGGGAATGGTTTCTATTGAACTCAACAAGAACCGAAAAAAACATTTCGACATTATTACAACTGAATTATGTATATGGGGACATTTACAACATATGTTGGGAGTTCAGGAAGAATTTGGAAAATTAATCAATTGAGAACTCAAAAAATTTCAACATTTGCAATTAAAAAATATACAAAACCATGTCATGTAAAGCAATTCCGTTCCATTTTCTTTAAAAGAAATATTGAACAAGAATATAAAACAGTTAACTTGAATTCTAAAACAACATGCAGTAGGAAAAAGGGGTCCGAACAGAATGAAGACATTGGCTTCTAGAAGCGTCAAAAACAAAACTTGGAATGAAAGCAGACACAATGAAATCCTTTTTTTATGGAGCTTAATACAGGCTTCTTCTCACCTCTTTTTTATTTTATTTATGGCAGGCTTCTTGCCTTGCCAATAATTGAGAAAAATCTTCTAAGTAGCTTTCCATTGTAGAATTAAGAAGGTAAGCCAGTAAAAACAGTGCTTACATAATTTTAAAAATTATACATTTGGCAACATCTAATTTCCAAATCAGAGATGGGAACCTGTTTTCTATTCAGTTTATTTTGACAAGTTAAATTACAGAAAATGTATGGCTTATTTGAAATGTCTTAACCTTCTTAATTCTACCATGTAGCATTCATTCTGCTGAGGTCTTCAATTGAACTTTTCGCAAAACAGTGTTTATACAACAAAATGAAAAATAAAAAGAAAATGAAAATGTCTAAATTATGAATATATTTTATTTATGAAAATAACAATATTTTACAATTTATTGATAACAAAACAAAAAAAAAATGTTTATAAATAGTAAAAATAACAAACAATATATTTTAATAAACTTATGCTCTTTACATAACTATTCTCTTCTTGGCCTCAATTCTTGTTCTGTGAAAAGGTGAAACGAAAACTTTTATAAAGGAAATATATGTCAAATGAAAAATTTTACAAAGGATATATTTTTCACTTCATCTTTTCATAGAACAAGAATCCACTCCCATAATTATTCGAATAATTAGTTTTGATGTGTGGCCACACCGTTTTTGAAACATAATACTGTGAGGCCTGGCCACACATCAAGTCTTTGTGGCATGCTTTTTGTAATGCATCTAAACAAAATGATGTTGATGCAAAGTAGCTAAACGCATGTTTACACATACGAAATTAATCGAGTGTCGTTTATGTAAACCCTAAAGCTGTTATCAGACGATAAGGGTTGCCATATTTATTATCCACGTGTATTTCCGGGTATGTGTGTGTCAAATTTGACTCATAATTCTTGCTATCACATACTTGCATAAGCTTTTCTATTTCCTTTGGTGAAATTATGATTATATTGCATTTTCTAAAAAATTGTATTTTTTCTATGAAAATAGGGATCGCTGTGATTGAAAATGTACATATGTTCTTTACTCTTGTATTTCACAACTGAACACACGATGTGTATCACTTCTTCATTTATCATTATGTATGTACAAAATATACCGTCGGATAGAGCCTTAATGCATTTAAACCTCCTGCTTTTAACGCAAAGTCGATAAACGCAGGTTTACACATAGGAAATTCATCAAATGTCGTTTATGTAAATATTCAGTTTGTTAAGGCTGCTATCAGACGATAAGGGTTTTTCCTGTGTACTGTCACTTTTATTATCCGTGTGTATTTCCGTGTGTATGTCAAAATTGCCATTTTACATATGACATGAATTTTTGCCATCACACACTTGCATATGTTTTTTATATTTAATTTGGTTATATTGTGGTTATATTCATGGTACAATTAGAGAAGATAGAACAAAGCCTCCCCACAAATAAATTATTTTTCTTTTGGCGGCCTTATTTTGTCAAAAAATATACACATTTTGTGTATGTCTGTTTTTTTTTTTTTTGAATAAAAAATACAATTGGTCTGTTCCAGAACTGCAAAAATTTAAAAGTTTTTACTATAATAACCGATTTTCCCTTTATGATATCGAAAAAAAAAATTGCAAAACTAGGAGATTCTTGCAGGTTTGGTTGCAAAATAAATGCAATTTTTCGACGTAAATTGTTCAATTTTGTAATAAAACTGTATTACCCTACTATTTTAGATTGTTGAATAACCCCGAAACTCAATTCTTGTCACGCGGATTTTTCCCAATATAAGAATTTTGTTTAAAAAATAAAAATTAACAAAACCAACTGTTGCATATTTTAAAAGTCTATTTGACACTATAAGACTCCAGCACAGAGTTGCATTTTTCTAGTTTTTTTGAAGTTGGTCAACCTTTTTTATTGAGCCATGATTATATTATATTTTCTTGAAAGTTGACAATACTTTATGAATGACTTTTTACCGCAAATTAAAATTTATAAATTTTTACACAACAAACAAACAACACTTTGATTAAAGACTCTTCGATTTTTTCGTTGAAAATAGGGCTCGCTGTGATCGAAAAGTGCGTATATACCATGGAAGAAGAATACAGGTAGCCGCATTGACACAGCTGCTGGAACAATGAACTGTCAAACCAATTTTAAAATTGAAAATATTCAATGAAACATTATTGAAATTTGTAAAAATTTTTGAAAAGCGCATTTTATAATAACCCTCGATTGACTTCGTATAAGAAAAAAAAATAGAAATATATTTATATTTATATTTGAAAAAACATTTTAAGATTGTTGGCATATCAATGTTCCCAAGCGTTGAGGCATCTATCATGGGACAATGAACTGCTAAACCAATTTTTGAATTGAGTATTTTTAATAAAAAGTTATTCAAATTTGTGAAAATGTTTTAAAAATGCATGTCATAACAATCTCCCGTTGGCGTCGTATAAGAAAACATATAAAAATCTTCATATTTAAAAAAAATGTCATACATTTTGACATAACAATGTTTCCAAGCATTGATGCATCCACCTTTATTCTTCTACCATGGTATGTATTTGACAACTGAAATGTCGTCCATGTATCACACTATGTGTGCAACTTCTACATGTGGAAAATTTGACACTAGATATTTGAAAAACATATCGTCTGATATAGCCTTAAGTTTACTAAGCATGAGCTTCCGGATGCCCGAGTTGCCATCATTTGACATAAATCCACCAATTAACAAAAAAAATAATAATAAATAAATAAAAAATTGACCTTCCGAATATTTTTCAAAAAAAAAAAGGCATACATTTTGACATATCAATGTTTCCAAGCATTGATGCATCCACCTGTATTCTTCTACCATGGTATGTACTTTACTCATGTATTTGACAACTGAAATGTCATCCATGTATCACACGATGTGTGCATCTTTGACATATGGAAAATTTAAAAAACATATCGTCTGATAGAGCCTTAAGTTTGCTAAGCATGAGTTTCTGGCTGCCCGAGTTGCCACCATTTCATATATAGCCACCAATTAAAAAAAATAATTTAAAAAATTGACCTTCTCAATCCAACTGTAAAAGAAGAGAAAAGTTTTTTTCACTACAAAAACAAAGGATAAAACTAATAAAATATTAACAAATAATGTAAATGAAATAGAATGCACTACACTACATGTTTGGAGATAATTATAAAATGTACAAAACATACATATGTACATATTTCGATATACACACTAAGATCGTAGTCTCATCAATAGCTAATTTATGATATTTCGGAAATATTTCCGAAAATCTCGTCGTAATTCGTCATGAATGTTGGCGTGTAAGTCCTTCGTCACAAATTCAGTTTCTCTTATCATTACAGGTTTTAGGTTTCAATTGAAGTTCGTCATATTTGTTGACCTACTACTGATTAGAGTTATTTGTTGGCTAAAATTTCAATGGAGATTTTAAACAATATTTGTATATGTTTGTGTGTGTGTATGTGTAGTTTTTTAATTTTGTTTGTACATGGCGCTAAACACTTTTGAAAACCTTGGAGTTTTGTCAGTCCCTATGAATCGTATGAGGTGAAATATATAGGACCCGTCTTTAAATATCTTCCTTTCCTAACTTTTTTCTATTCTCTTTTGATCAAAACTAAGTATTTTTTCTTTTGTTCCGAAACTTTCTAAACCAATTAAACCTTGATATGGGCCATGGTGTAAAGTCACTTTCCTAACAGGATGATCAGATGGTACTTATTTAACAACATCGCATATAAACAGAGTTAGGTTAAAAGTATTTTCATGTAACGCTACTTACTTCTCTAATGTTTGTTTGTGTACAAATCTACATTTACATATAAATATACATACAAGGGGGGAGGGGAGGTTGGGGAAATCGTAACTATATTACTAAATTGGTTGTAGTTTGTGGCCATGATAACAGGTGGGTGGGTGGTTTGGTTGGTTGGTTGGATGTATATGTTTGTTTGTTGGTTGGTTTGTGTGTGTGTGTCTGAAGAAGGGCAACAGCTTTTAGCCATCCATCGAGGATTGTGGCGATTTCACCAGCAACAGTTCGTTGTAATCGGAATCTTCGTTGCCGCTATTATCTCGCTGCTCGACCCGCCTCCGTTCCGAAATGATGCGTAAGATTTCCGCAGAATCGGACTTGGACAGACCCTCGGCTATGACAATGTCCGCGGGGTCTGTCGCCGTTTTGTTGCCATTTTGTTTGCTGCCTGTTGTAAGAGAGCCACTTTCTACTACAACGGGCAACAACAAGGAACTCTCGTCCATATCTGGGTCTTCGTCTAGAGCCTGCTGTTTGAAGAGCTGCTTTGTGCTGCCGCTGCGGCTGCGTGGTGGCATGGAACGTGGCACTGACAAAAGGTTGGTGCGGGCAGGAGCCAAGAAACTGGGGTCTGTCGACATAGAACGGCCATAGGGTCGGCGCAACGCCGACCCACTGCTACTGCTGCTACAGGGCGCCACATTGAGGGGCTTTTCGCTGACCACTGCACTGACGATACTGGCCGTATCGGAAATGTTACGCGGCACCTCTTCACTGCGTATACTGTGCAGATCATAGGTGGAGGATGGACTGCCATCGGATTCGAGGCTTTCGAAAATTGTGCCGCTGCGGAATTCAGCGCCCTCGCCGCCACACCAGGGCAACGAATCTGAACTCATGCGTTTCGACTCAAGATTGCGACGACGTATCGCCTGTTCGTCGAGAGATCGTTCTTTCGTTAGAATGCCACGCTTGCGCAGCACAGTGGAACAGCGTCTGCCGCGTCTCATCGTGGGTGGAATTTGCAGTTTCGAATCGAAACTATTCTCCTCAGTGGCAGCCGGATCCGTGACCAGAGGCGTGAGAGTCTGCGTCTTGAATGCCCCACCAATTTCGGCCAGCCCCAGGCCGTTGTGTTGATTGAAATACTGGACTGTTTGACGGCGGTTACCCGCAACCGGCGGCACCAGACTGGGGAATTTCTTCTCCAGCGAGGGCGTATTGTAGGTGAAGTTCATTGGCAGTGATTTGACCTTGCCCAACTGGCGCTGGGCCGGAGCCGGCTTCTTCGCCTGCTGCAGCTGTTCGCAGAGCTTTTGTTCTTGCACAAACTCCTGTTCCCGCACCAATTCTCGTTCCAGTTCGACTTCCATGTCCATTTCATCTTCCATCTGTTTGTGGCTCTCCTCGAGGTGTTTCATCAGTACAGCCACGACGACGTTCACTAACACGAATTGCGCCATTAGCACGAATATCACAAAGAAAATGGGAGCTATAACTGAGCTAACGCAACAGTTGCGAACGCAATCCGCCGCGTCATCACAATTATCTCTCAACGTGTCCTTCATGATGCCGTTCCAATTATCGCCAGTCGCTACGCGAAACAATGTGAGGAAAGCCATTCCGAAATTGGCGAAATGTGCATGTTCCCCCAGGCCTTGGCAGGGAATCTCTTCGGAGCATTCGAGCCGTCCGAATAGTTCCACGCCAAGGGCAGCAAAGATGAAGAACAGCAGGAAGAAGAGCAGACCCAAGTTGCCCACTTGAGGCAATGCTTGCATTACAGTGTCCAATAAAGCCCGTATTCCTTTCGCCATTTTCAGCAGCTTCAAGACTCGTGCTATGCGCAAGACGCGCATCACACGAATGATGGTGGGATTGATGGGAATGACCTTGGTCTTCAGCTCCTCCAGGACGATGCCGATGATGGACAGCAGGACAATGCCCACGTCCAGTTGATTCCATTTGTCTTTCATGTAGAGACGCCATCCCAGAGCTACCAGCTTCATGTTGGCTTCGAGGATGAACACAGCCGTAAAGAAGTAGTTGAAGATTTTCAGGGCATACTGGAGGGGAGGGGAATGGAGATTAGTAAATTTGCTACTAGATTCTACCGGGTGGTCCTACCTGCAGTGATGCCGGCATCATGTAGTACTCCATGGCCATTGTCACCACATTCAAGCCGATGACAGCCGCAATCGCCAAATCAAAGTACTTCGAAGTGACCACATTGTGGACAAACATGCGCGAGGGCGAGTAGTTGATGTAGTAGGGCGGCTCATGCATTCGCCGACGTTTCTTCTCCATTTGCAGGGCCCTCTTGGCAGCTCGACGTATCTTCTCCTCCTTCTCCTGCTCCTCGCGACACCTATGGAAGTTCTCCACAACAACTCCCACGAACATGTTGAGGACAAAGAAGCCCACCAGCAGAATGAAGGCAATGAAGTACAGCAGCCGCCATTCGTTGTAGTTGACGATGGGCTGCTGGTCGACTCCGACCGCATCCAGGCCGGTGTACATGATATTTACCCAGCCGTCGCGGGAACTCAGCACAAACAAGGACATCAGGGCTTTGCCCAAATCGTCAAAGTTGTATTTGCGATTGACCCATGCATTGCCCGGAATGCTGAGGCATTCGGTCTTATTGCTGACGTTCTTAATGTTCTCACCCTCGCAGTAGTAGAAGGTGCCCTTGAACAGCTGGACACCCAAAATCCCGAAGATAATGAAGAAGGTGCAACAGATCAGAACGATATTGCCGATAGGTCGAAGGGACGATAAGAGCGTTTGCACGACTAATTTCAAACCCGGCGCTCGATTGATAACGCGCAAAGGCCGCAGGGAACGAAGTAGCCGAAACACCTTGGAAGAAATGGAAAGGGGAAACGGAATTTGTGTAGATCAATTCATGCGCTAGCTTCACGGATCTTGACATACCCTTAAAATCCCAAAAATTCTCGGACTCGATGCGCTAATCAGTGACATAAGCAGATCAATGATGGATATCGTCACCAAAGAACCGTCCATGATATTCCAGCCGGATGTAAAGTAGGCATCTTGACCATAAAACATACCAGCAGCAACAACCTTCAAAGGGGCATTGGTTTGGTGAGAGGGGGCGGAATAATGAGGGGGTGGGGGCGCACCACTTACCTTTACAAACATTTCCACAGTGAAGACTGCGGTGAACACATAATTGGCTGTTGACAGGAACAGACGTTCCGTACTGTCCGGTGGTATATTGGGTCGTTCCATTGCCAAGGTAATGCAGTTGAGAGCTATGAACAATAGAACCACATTGTCGAACCATTTCTGGTTGACAAACCATGAACAGATGCGTCGAAACCTGTAAATAAATGAAATTCAGAATTCGCGGAACAGCCACGTGCCGGCGGACGTCATTGCTTCCTACCTATTGTCTTCCGAGAATATGTACAGCGAATATGTTCTACGCTCATTTGTAAAGTCGTGCGGGATCAGGCGATCAATGAGCATCTTAACCTTGGAAAACCGATCCGATGATAGAAAATAGGAATGTTGTTGCTCCTTGGTATGTTCTTCCTTGCTGCTGCCACCATCCTCTTCATGCCGTTTCTTGGGAAACTGGCAGATGGAGTTTTTCCGTTTCTCACGTTCCTGGATGTACTGCTGCAACATGTCCGTCTCATTGGTGGTGTACATCTTTTGCCACTTGTCCAAGTCCAGTTTGGAGTTGGTGTAGGACAGAGATTTGCGCGATGGTTCCAGGTTGTGTAGATTCAGATGCGAAGTTTTGGTGAAGGCCAACTCAATGGAGGACATGCGTCGTTTGCTGGGATACGCATGCAACTTACTGGATTGATTGAGATTCTGATACATTTGCGAGTTGAAAAGGCAGGCTGAGGCTCGTCGACTGCCTGGTACTCCACTACCTATGCTCAGGGAGGCCGACAGACGTCGTATGGAATTCTGTGGACTGAGGCGATTGGTGTCTTTATTCTTTATGCCCATATTCGGTGTGCTGGGCTTGAGGAAAACATCGGAACGGGCCGGCGAGCAGTCGGTCAGTAGGCAGGAATTGTCACTGCCATTGTTGAGTTGATGTTCCAGATCTTCTGGTGTCATCAGCTCCTGTTTTTTTCTCTTGGAACTTGTGCGACGAAAACGTTTAATGCTGGGCAAACGCTGTAGTGGTTCATTTGTTTCGGGTAGATTGGAACTCAACGAGGTGGCACTGTTCGATGTGACGCTTGACTCGGGTCGACCAAAGCTGGGCAATTGCAATTTGGCAGCTGTCGAGGATATGGTGGGTACATAAATTGGACCCGATGTTGCAGTGGTGGGATCTTTCGATATATAATCGATAACAACACTGTGATGTATGCTGCCGCCGGCACCGGCCACCGAACTCGAGCCGTTGAGGCCAGTGGGTAGCAGAGAACAACTTGAGGTCGTGGCTGTGACGGCTGTTGTATTGCTTTCTAATTGGCTGGGATTTAAGATATTTATTGCAGATTTGTGGGGCAAGACAGGAGATGGTGGAATTAGGTCTATTGAAGGGATGCCTTCATCCAGCGACCGTTGACCACTGCTGAATATGGTTGGTGGTCGAAGTAACGAGGGCGAGCCGGGACTCTGAAAAGGGAAATGCTAGTGAGAGGTGGGGCGTTTAAAGGCGATACAAATTTAAAGGGGGTAAGCGAGTAAAAGGCTACATATTGGGCGCCACTTATAATATGAACGCAAACAAATATTCCTAGGTTAAATTTTATATAGACAACGGAAAATTGGTTTGGTCTTTTAATCCAGAGGACTTTCGGCACGCTTTTCAAAAACACATTTAGACGTTATAACCGAATTGTCCTGGATTATCGTAAAATAAAAAAGAAAGTTTAGACTGACTTAATTCAATTTCGGTCCTCAATCTATACTTGCTCACCCTACACTCCTTTGCTCTTTTGCGAAGAAACGAGACGATGACTTAAGGCAGTAAAATAGGGCTCGCTGTGATCGAAAAAGTACCATTGTAGAAAAATACAGGTAACCGCATCGGCACAGCTGATGGGACAATGAACTGCCAAACCATTTTTAAAATTGAAAATTTTTAATGAAAAATTATTCCAATTTGTAAAAGTCTGTGAGAACTCGTATCGTTATAACCCCCGATTGGTGTCGCATAAGAAAACTTAAGCAAATCTGCTTATTTTTGAAAAAAAAAAATGCGTCATATTAATGTTCTCAAGCGTTGTTGCATCTACCTGTATTTTTTCTACCATGGCATGTACTTTACTCATGAATTTCACAAATGAAATGTCGTCCATGTATCACACGGTATGTGTAACTTCTACATATTGAAACTTTGACACTACATATGTAAAAAATATATATCGTCTGGTAGAGCCTTAAATTTAAAGAGAGCCAAATAACAATAGTGCGTAGGCCTTGAATGAGTTGTTGTCTAAAGTACAATTTTGGGAATAATTATAAAAATGTGATTGCGCAAGGCCACCTTTTTAATTAGAAGTAAAAAGCCTCCGATTCAGTCTATTGTTCAAATTACTTACGAACATGGTATAAGTAAGAAGACAACCATGTGTAAACATATGTTTACAATTTTTGTTTACAATTTTACCTTTGACAATTCGGCTTTAACAATTGAGAGGGTAAGAAGAGAACTTAAAGACAATAGACAACCGACCTACTTTCTCTTAAAGAAAGAAAAACTTAGTACGCTTAGTGAATTATATTGCCCAACTGGCTTAAGTCATCAGCTGGCTTCTTCGGAAAAGAACAATGGAGCCTAGGGCCGAAATCGAACTAAGTCAACCTAAAACCCCTTTCTTTCTTTACGAAGAAGCCAGCTGATGACTTAAGCCAGTCAAAAAAGCTTTTTATGTACTTTCACCATAAGCAGCTTGAAGTCTTCGCATGGCATATTTTTTGAAGAATCATAAAGGGATGCCGAAGCCGCACTCGAATCCTGCCGTCGTCTTATAATTTGAGAGTACATAAACGGCTTTTTTGATTGGCTCATCAGCTGGCTTTTTCGTAAAGGAACAAAGGTGTTTTAGGTTGACGTAGTTCGATTTTGGCCCTACGCTTTTTTGCTCTTTTCCGAAGAAGTCAGCCAGTCAGTCTTTTCCGAAGAAGCCAGCGTTAAAAAAATTTCTAAAGGTGAGAATACATACTCACCTTTAGACATTTATTTTAATTACGCGTGGTGTCCATGGTAGAATTAAGAAGGTAAAGGCATGCATTCATATGTTTACATATTTTTTTAAGAATTATTCAGAAATCAGAGATGGGAATCTGCTTTCCATCCAGTGAAATTTGACAAGTTGAATTATAGAAAATGCAAAGATGGGAATGCTTTTTTGAAATGACTTTACCTTCCTAATTTTACCATGGATCAATTCTAAGTTTTAAAAAATTCCAAATAGAACAGGGAATATATATTTGCAATAGTTTGTATTACCTCAACCTTATCGTCGTCTGCTTGGCCCCAATTACGGAAACTCGTACCAGACTCCATTGTCGTATTTGGCGAATCTTGCGGCGTAGCGGCTGTTGTGGTGATAATGGGCGGCTCACGCATGGGTCGTATTTTGGCAAGGCGTGGTACATCAGCTCGTCGATCACGTATCGAATATGTCTTCCGAACGAAGGAAATAGAAAAAAGAAATGCGATGAGTATATCTACAACTCCAATTATTTGCCTTCTTACCTTTTTCAAGGGCTTTCTTTCTTCTTCGGATTTACTGAAATCCTTTTCTGAAAATTTTCTATTCAAACCGTTTAAAGGAACACTGCCTGGTTGGGTACTTATAGCATTGTTATCCTTTAGCTGATGCTCACCACGACTGCCAGTGCCAGTGCCAGGTGGTAGCATTCGTTGTTTTTGTATATTGCTTTTTGCGTTTTCAACAAACATTTCAGCGGAATCCTGTAGCTAAGCACATGAGGCATCAAAATCCAAGCACACATTGATAAAAAAAAACAACAAGCAACAAATGGAATACAAAAAATGTTGTTGTAAGGTGGGGGAACAAGTGCAAAAATAAACAAAATCAATAAAAAAAAGTCAAATAAAATATTCAAATATGTTGTGGCAATTTCAGGAAATTCGGCCTGGCTTTTTTGGCGTTGCGTCACTTACCTTTCGTATGTCTTCGGCGCTGTGCCAACGATTACGCACTTCATAGTAACTTTCATTGGTCGAAGATGAATCAATTTCACTGTGCGATTCATCGTACATAGCATCGCTATAGTTTTCGGCCAATGTTTCCTCGCGCAGTTTCTTAACCAACTCGCGCTGTTCCCGTTCACGACGTTCATTTCGCTGAGGGAATCAAAATTTCAAAATTAGACTTTTTTCGTTGAACAGGTAATAGATCCTGTTTGGAAATTACAGTAAGTGAATAGAAACCAATTCTCAGCTCAAGCCGAGCTGCTGTGAAGGCAAAGAATAATTTTTGTCCATCCATAAAATGAGTATCATACATACGTTAACGTTGCGTTTGAGTAACTGTGCAGGTGCTGGCTCTAAATCATTTGCTCTCAGTGCACTCCCAAGAGAGAGAAAAAAAAAACGAAACAAACAAACAAAATAAACAAGAGGATAACTCATTTTATGGCTTGGCTGGGGAGCAAATATTCTTCTTTGCCAGTTCAAGTTTTTGTTTTTTTGGATAAAAAAGAGAACTTTTTCTTAGTATTAAAGTTGTTTTTTTTTTTGATTTGATAATAAAACTCTACCTCTGAACTGAATCCCTCAACCAAAATGGCAACCAACAAGTTAAAGAGGACGTAGTTGCCGAACGTCATTAGGGCCACAAAGTACAGTGCAGCCCAATGACTGGTCTTTTCCATGCCGTTGAACAGGACAACATTCCAGTCTTCCTGCGTCAGAATCTAGAAAATGTTTTCGCAGAGTAAGTGATGAACACTGTCACAAGCAAACAAATGAACGAACACAAAGGCAAAACAAAACAAAAGATGAGAAACGAAACAAAACAAACAACCAGACAACACATAAAGTGCTAAGAACAAAAAAACTGGCCTGCCAAAACAATGACAGGAACAAGGGAGTGTAGAACGCAGGGATAAAATTGATCGGTTGCCTTGGTCCCATCAGTGCCAGGGGCGGGCGGGCAGGAATCAATCATAATAGAAACATACATTAAACAAGCAACAAAGCAAAATCAAACAAATTTAAAAAACAAAAGTAAAATGAAATAAAAAGAAAAAACAAAACAAAAACTTCAAAATATAAGGTAGAAAGGCAATTTGGCCGACTTGCGGTGTCAGAGGGACTTTGGAAGTGAGGGTGAAAATACATAAAGCCCATATTTGGCTGGCTTCTTCGTAGATGAACAAAGGAGTTTTAGGTTGACTTAGTTCGATTTTGGCCCTAGGCTCCTTTATTCATTTCCAAAGCCTTCTCACCTTAAAGGTGAGAGTACATGAGTAGCTTTAAGTCTTCGCATGGCATATTTGTTGACATATCATAAAGGAATGCTAGAGAAACACTAGAATCCTGTCGTCGTTTGAAAATAATATGCCTAGCTATGATGCCAAGCTGCTTATGTTCTCACACCTTAAAGGTGAGAATACATAAAACGCTTTTTTGATTGGCTTAAGTAATCGGCTGACTTCTTCGTGAAACTCCCTTGTTCCTCTACGAAGGGATGCTAGAGAAACACTAGAATCCTGCCGGCTTTTGACAATAATATGCCTAGCTATGATGCCAAGCTGCTTATGTTATCACACCTTAAAGGCGAGAATACATAAAATGCTTTTTTATTTGGCTTATGTCATCGACTTGCTACGTCGGAAAAGAGCAAAGGAGCGTAGGGTCAAAATCGAACTAAGTTAACCTAAAACTCCCAGAGGAACAACCTCTACGAAGAAGCCAGTCGATGATTTAAGCGAGTCAAACTAACATTTTATATTTTATGCCTTGCGAATTAGTGCCCTATTAAATTTTAGTAATTTTTTCACTTTTAAGGCTACGCCACGATAGAATCAAAAAGGTAAAGTCATGCAAACATATGTTTCAATTTTTTTCAAATCTCATTGTCAAAATATGTATTTATAAATTTATTGTAAATACACAAAGCAGAGATGGAAACTTAGTTTTTATGAAGTGATATTTTACAAGGTAGATTACAGAAAATCCAGAGATGGGTATGCTTATTTGAAATGACTTTACCTTCCTAATTTTACAATGGGCTACGTTTGAATTAGCTTTCCGAAACTTGATAATTGACCAACCATTGAGAACATTTGTATACAAATCTTGCTGATAATTGTTCAATTACAATAGATTTGGCAAAGCAAAACATTCATTGAATTTATTGTGATTGGTCAATTTTCAAAGTGTTTCTATGTAAACGTGCTATAAATGGCGGTCATTCAAACGTAGCCAAAGATGGGAAACCTAATATATTTTTTAAAAATGATTGCATGTCGACTTCTTGAATTGCTACCTTAATTCTGAATTAAGAATATAACTAAATAAAATGAAAATGAAACGCAACTAACATAAAACAGAAACAGCAAAAGTAACGCAATAAAAAACATAACTAATGTTAACGTAAATAAACTTTAACATAACCTATAATCTAATTATTCTTGGTACAATATGTAGGCCGGAGGATATATAGGGGTATATATATGTTTAAAATTAATTTAAAAGAAATTAAAAATATATATATATATATATATATATATATATATATATATATATATATATATATATCGTGTTAACGCCGTAGATTTCTGCAAACTCAAAACGACAAAGCAAAGCAGTGGCTGTGATAATCTTGACCTTGACTTGATGTCGCTTGGTTTGTTTGTTTTGGAAAAAATCAAGGATTATACATTAAGGGAAAATTACCAATAAAAAAGAAACAACAAACGTTTTGATTTAATTCGTGGTGTGATACGCCCTCTTGAAAAGAAGACTGCCCGCACTGTTTTATCTCGGGTTTTCTGTTTTTTTTCGTTTTCATGTCACATAACTAAACGATGAACGGTCTTCTTCAAATACGTTACTTAAGTTACACAAAGAATTCGTTTTGGTTTTTTTTTAAAAAAAAGAAGAGAGGAAAACGTGCCAGCGTTTCTTTGCAAAGCCTCGAAAGGATACTGAAAGTTCCTTTCCTATTTTTTTTAATTCTTCTTTTTTCTGTTTATTTCTATATGATGGCAAATTAATTAGAAAACACAAAAGAAAACGCAACAAAACATGCAGCGAAAAATATATTTCAAATGTTATGAGAGCTGTCAATGGAAATAATGGACCGAATGGCTTAGGCTTACGAATTTTGTGAAAATGATCTATATGTGACAATGAGTACTTCATTATTGGTAACATTATTGGCTATTTACATGTTAGTCATGTTCGTTTGTGAAATAAAGGTGGAAGGACAGAGAATTATATATTCCCAGTGTCACTAACTACAGGGTTATGCCTACAAACCTATCTGACAAATTATATTTCTAAAAAAAAAAAATGAAACAAAAAGTCCAACCTAATGAGTGGTCATGTGACCTTGGCATATTTCCAATAAAATGCCAACGTGTTGCCCTGTAGATACATGCACCCTGTTGTTTGGCTCATTGTTGCCACACTTGTTATTGTGAGTAGAGTAACTTCCACCTTTAAGCATGACGTATGAATGCTATTAGTCGTCTCATGCAAATGATGCCTGATAATGATATTATACAATTTTGATTGTTTGATCATGGTTCGATTGTTAGTGTTACGTTACACTACAGTTACGTTTCTGTAGATACTTTTTATCTGGTCTATTGTAAATGATTGACTGGAATAAAACACATTCTTTACGAGAATTAGAGTACGTGTAAACTTTACTTTGTGTTCGTGAAACGTAATTTGTTGTTTCCAATTTACTTTTTGTTGTTGTTGTTGTTGTTTGTGGGATGTTCAACTAAAACTAAGAGTGCTCTGTTATGTTTGTGGGTAAAAATAAATAAGTTAAAAAAAAAAAAAAAAATAATTGAATAGTTAGCTACTTTCATTGAATTGGAAGAAAGGCTTTAGGCGCTGATATTTGTGACTATTGTGAATGGTCACAATAGTCTTTGTAATACTAACTTCAGACCTGTTTTAACAACACCAGTAATCAAAATTTGTCAATTGTATTGACTTTAAGTCCAATTAATAAATAAATTGATTTGTAAGGCTTATATGATTTAAAGACTTGTTTATATGTAATAAATCCACTGGATTTAAGCTGTCATTCCGACTGGATTTATAGCGTATAGCGTAAATAAAAATTGTATAGCGTAAAATAATATACTCCGAAAAACTATAAAAAGTTTATTTTAATCACCCATACCATAGACAATTTTTATAAGTAGACTTAGAATAAGGACCTTAGCAAATTTAACTATAAAAGTAGGTTTCCACCTCTGATTTGTGTAAACACACTATCATCAATAGATGTTGTCAACGGTACAATTTTGAAAAGATTGTAAACATATTATTGCAGAAGTCTACCTTGATAATTCTGCAATGCACACGTGGATCTGGAGTTATCAATAAAGAGATGGACCAAGTCTGCGGCGGGATTCAGATTTGTTTGTCCAACGTATGACAACACAATTAAATATCATATTTTCCGATGAAAATAGGGCTCGCTGTGAAGAATATAGGTAGACGCATTTACACAGCTGCTGGGACAATGAACTGTCAAACCCATTTTGGAATTGAAAATGCTGAATGAAAACTTATTTTATTTTTTAAAAATTTTCGAAAAGCGCGATAATAACCTCCAAATAAAGTCGTATAAGAAAACATATAAAAATTTGAAGAAATATTTAAAATTTTTTGACATATCAATGTTCCCAAGCGTTTCTGTTTAATGCCAACAGAGAGCTGGGACAATAAACTGTCAAATCAACTTTGGAATTGAAAATGTTGAATGAAAATTTCATTAAATTTGCTAAAATTGTTGCAAAACGCGAAGAAAACATATAAAATTTTACTTATATTTGAAAAGACATTTAAATTTTTTTGACATATCAATGTTCCCAAGCGTTGGTGCATCTACCTGTATTCTTCAACCATGGCCCAGTGGATATTATTTGACGTATACGCTATGAAATTGACATTTGAGATCACGTGGATTTCATAAATCTAAATGTCAGGCGTTTTACGCTTTAAAGCTATTCTTCCAAAGGCAAAAAATTCAACAACCAAAGAAAAGGTGAAAAATTTACAAATGCTAGCTAACGAGTTTAGAGAAATGAATGGAAGAAAAAATTTATAAAACTAAAAACTAATATAAATAGAAAAATATTATAATGTAGTCTTTACAAGATAATAGAGAAAATAATTGTTTGATATTAGGGGGGTTTATAAGTTATATAGATAATTTTTTTTTGAGGTTAAGAATTAAGGATTTGTTTGCTCTTACTTGAAAGACCGTTACGGTGGCCCATAGTATGTTGTTGAAGTGTTTGCGATCACATTCACACTGTGGATGTTTGCTGATTATTTCGGGACATGTACACTCCCTTTCGAGACCGGTTTCGTCCATAAATTTACAAAACTTACCGCCGAACAGATACATGCCCAGTATGCTGTTGTTGTCGGTTTGTTTGTTTATTTTGAGGATTTTGTGGTTTATTGTTTTGTTGTTGTAGTTGTTGGGAGTTATGTTGTTGTTGTTAATATTATTGTTATTATTGGTGGTGAGTGAATGTTGCACACACACGCACGCACAAAGAGATGTTTTGTTTTATTTTTTTGTTTTGGAACACACACAAACACACGAGTTGTGGTGAATTATTTTGATTACGTGGTGAGTTTAGTGATAGTGGTACGAGAAAACGAGAGTTACGAGGTTACGAGTACAAGTATATAAATATTATTTAGTTGAATTTTGTTTTTGATTTTGAATTTAGTTTGTTATTGTAGTAGTAGTAGTAATTGTTGTTGTTTTTTGTATAATAAATAACAATGATAGTAATAATAATAATAAAAAATTATATATAATATTTATATATAGTTATTTTTATGTCTTATAGTTTAAATACTTTGTTAATATAGTACACAAGGAGTAGTTTTTGTGGAGCATTAACTTCGCAAAACAAATTCTCAAAAACCAAAATGATCAAGAGATCAATTTAAGGAATCCATTTTAATTATCAATAAAAAAAGACATTTTTTATCTTTTTTGATTCTATCCAATATAGTACATTTTAAAGACAAGAATTCGTTAGACAATTTAAAAAATACAATTAAAAGTAAGCTCTGCTTTAAAATAGCTCTTGAAAGATGGATTATTACAATAAAAAGGGAAAGTGTAAACATAGTGTATTGTTTCGTTACAATAGCACTCTTCATTTACATCAGACAATAACAATTTCCGTTATTGTCAGTTTGATGGCAAATGGGGAGAGAGGATCCCCCATCAAACTTTTAAAAACAGTAAAAAACAAATATTCTAATTAGCCGGCATTAAAGTAGGTTTCTCTCAATCGACTTTTGTCCTCTCCCAAAAAGGCGGAGAGACATATAGGGTTCTATAGACAAAACATTTTAATTAGCCGACATTGAAGTAGGTCTCTCACAATCGACTTTTGTCCTCTCCTAAAAAGGCGGAAAGATACATAGGGTTCTATAGATCTATTTTGGTTTTTAAGAATTTGGTTTGTTAAATAAACGTTTTTGGGGGTTTTCTTTGCTTAACTGCGAATTATTAAGTGTTTTTTGAATATTGTTGCTAGTCACACAATGAATCCTGCTAAATTTATTTACAAAATCTCAAATGTTGTTAATGGTTGGTAGCACAGTGTTCGTTTGGACGTATTTCCTTATGTGGGGGGTCGACAGGGTTTGTTTTCATATGGCAGTGGTGGATTCAATGGAATGTGTAGGGGTTAATTGGGGCGGGGTGTTCTATAATTAATTTGGTTGTGTGTGGTTTTGAGAGGTGAATGTTTTTTATAGATAGGTTTGAAATTAGCTAATTTATGGTTTTAGTGAGTTGTGGCTTTGGAAAATGAAAGTTTGATAGACACAGAGTTTTGTGGGCGAAGTTATGAGGCACATGGATTTAGATGATATTGCATGCAACAAAAATACACAGATTTTTCCATCAATAAAAACACGACAAACATCAACAATTGTAATAAAAAAGAATTTAAATATTTCCATATGTTTTGTTTGGAAATTCAATATATATTACACTTACCTTTTAGTGGATGGTCTGAATTGTTTATACCTACATTCATTCATTCTAATAGTCCAGAACTAGGAGAACTATGTTTTACAGGGGGAAGGGGTTGTTTTTTTTTTTTTGGATAATTCAAGTAACTACTGGGGAAGTGGAGATTTGAAATTCTATGGCACGACTGCTAATGGTCTAAACTATATTCAAAACCTAGTTAAGTTCGTAGCACTGCAATTTTCTTATTCTTGTTTGCGTTAATTTCACGTATTTTTTTCTTGGTCTTGTACACAGAACACACCACAAATTAAAATTCAATCCCTTAAAAAATTAAAATCAAAATAAATTATAAAACAAAGCATAAACAAGCAAACTAAGGGTAATGTGGAAGATTTGTCGCTGGTTTTTGGGGGGTTTGAATTGAAAAAGAAGGGAAATAAATAAAAACTTATTCAAAAATATAAGGTCCAATCATTCACAGTCCATGGCTAGGCACACTGACATGCCAAAATAACAACAAAAATGACATTTATTACACTCATTCAAAAGGCAAAGTACATTAAAAAATATGGGGGGAACAGATAATTTGTGTCACGAAAAATAAAGCCAAACTCAATGGAAGACATAACCTAAAACTTAAAAACAAAATAAAATTAAATTGAAACGGCAAAATAATTATATTTAGAAAGTTGTAAATTAAGAATTAAGACATTTCTTGTTGTCTTTGTAATAATACTATATGTTTTTTGTTTAATATATATTGTTTTAAGTTTTAGGTGATACATTATTTAATGTTTATATATATTTATATAAGTTAGATGTATGTAAGCAATGTATGATATATAAGTATATATATATATATGACTATTTATTTTGTAAGCATTATTGGTTTTATTTTGTTTTTTAATTAACTTTGATCATCTACCTGAAACACTGTGACCAGCGCCCACAGCAGGCTGTCGAAATTTTTGCGATCACATATCCGGTCCGAGTCAATTGTTTCGCAGAATTTACATCCAAATAGATTCATGCCAAGTATACTATAAAAATTCATTTACGTTTCGTTTTTTTGTTTGGGTTTTGGTTTTTGAAATCGAGTCATTAGCATTAAAATTAAAATAATTATTGGTTTACGTATTATTTTACGGTTCGTTTGTGTATGTATTTTTTCCATTATTTTTTTGTTAAGTGTTAAAAAATTAATATTTCAAAAGAAAATAATATGTATTTTTAACAAAGAAATAAACATATTTTTAATATATAAATAATTTTTAGTTTTATTTTTTGATTATTATTTTAGTGTTTAGTTATTGTTTTTTATTATTATTAATGAAACGTTTTAAAGTTTAGTTAAATAGATTTATTAATTGTTTGTGATTTGGAAAATAGGTGGGGAAAGTTGAAAAGAAATAGAGAAAGGAGAAGAAGAAGAGATATATGTTTGAAAATAGCTTATTTGGAAATTGGCATATGCCATTTTTATTTTGAAGGGCTAAGCAAGTTTGTGACTAAAACAAATTACAATATAAATTATTAAATTTTTGAAATAATACACATTTTTTAAAGATAATCGTAGTTTTGTATTATTTTGATGTTGGGTACATCACTTTACCGTACAAAATGCAATTAAATGGCGTGCCTTTGTGTGTGTCTAAAATTATGGCGTACGACAAATGTCAAAATATTTTGCTTTAACTTTACAACACAAAATGCAATAAAATGACGTGCCTTTGTGTGTGACTGAAATTATGGCGTACGACATTTGTCAAAATATTTAGATTAAACTAATGAGCTGTTCAGACAATCCAAAACATACGATGTTTTTGGCTATTTCTAAACTATTTTTAAGAAAAGCAGAGCCTGTGTGTGCTTAGATAAGATTATCCAGATTATCGAAGGCATCTTGTAAATTTCAAACAATGTTTCTCAATCATGATTTATTGTATTTCAGAACCTGTCATTTTAAAATTGTTAGACTTGACAGGTTTTGAAGCAGAGCAAAAGGGGTGTAAGGATGACTTATCGACGCCAAACTTTTGGCGTCTAATACAAAAATGTCATGGCGTAAGTAAAAAAACTCAATGACTTTCCTGTTATACCCTAAACCGACGGCAGCCTCAACATCCATTAATGGTCTTAATGTAGATTAACTCGTTCATTATTCCCATTGTATTGTAGAAGAATACAGGTAGATGCATCAACGCTTGGGAACATTGATATTTCAAAAATTTTAAAATGTTTTTTTTTTTCAAAACTAAGATGATTTTTATAAGTTTTCTTATAAGACACCAATCGGGGTGTTATGGTATGTATTTTTAAACCATTTTTACAAATTTCAAAAAATTTTTAAATAAAATTTTTAATTTTAAAAGTGCTTTGACAGTTCATTTTCCCAACAGCTGCGTCGATGCGACTAACTGTATTCTTCTACCATTTCCTATTGTTAATGTACGAAATGAAACTGAATTGATACAACATTAAAAAAATTCATATGGCAACGCTACCGAAAGTCAATCAGCTGTTGCATGGTAGAAGAATATAGGTAGACGCGTCGACACAGCTGCTGGGACAATGAACTGCCAAACCAATTTTGTAGTTGAAAATGTTGAATGAAAAATTATTTAAATTTGTAGAAATTCTTGAAAAATGCATATCATGACAGCCTCCGATTGGTGTCGTATAAGAAATCTAATAAAAATCTCTTTATTTTTGAAAAAAAAATTTTTTTTGGCATATCAATGTTCCCAGCGTTGATGTATCCACCTGTATACTTCTATCATGAGCTGTTGGCAGCCTCAACTTCCATTATCGATGTCAATTCCATAGCGTATACATCAACTAATAAACCACTGGATGTGTAAATACGATTTACGTGACGTATACGCTATGGAAGTGAAGGTGTAAGTACATAAGAAGCTTGAAGTCATGACAAGGCATATTTTGTGATATTTCATAAAGGGATTACAGAGCCGCACTAAAATCTTGCCGTTATTTTCCATTATAATTTGACATTAATATGCCTAGCCATGACTTTAAGCTTTTTATGCACTTGCACCCTTGACATTAGAAGACGAGTGGATTTCGTAAATCTAAAGGAACTTCAATTTTAAATTTTCTGTCACATAAATACTTAAATGTAGTACACACGCACCATTACAAAATAAATAAAAACAGGAGCTTTAGGTTGACTTAGTTCAATTTCATTATTGATACTTGTTAACCCTAACCTCCTTAGTTATTTTATAAAGAATGCACGAAAGTCAAAGCTATTCTAAGATTCTAACATGGGAGAAGAATATAGGTAGACACGTCGACCCAGCTGCTGGGACAATGAACTGTCAAACCAATTTTGGAATTGAAAATGTTGAATGAAAAATTATTTAAATTTGTAAAAATTGCTGAAAAAGCGTATGATAATAACCTCCGAATGACGTCGTATATGAAATCATATAAAAATCTACTTATATTTGAAAAGAACTTTAAAATATTTTGACATATCAATTTTCCCAAGTGTTGATGCATCTACCTGTATTCTTCTGCCATGGATTCTAATGTTTCCCATTATAATTTTCCTTCACAAATCAAGACATTTATTGTTTTTTTTTTCTTAAAAATATTATTATATGAATATTTTCTGTAATGTTTTCACCAAATTTGCTTAGCCCTTTTTATTTGTAAATAGTTGCAGAAATAATAAACGATTTGTGAGTAAATTTGCAATGAATAAATTAAAAAACATGCTAAATATGACGTTTAAGATATAGTTTATTGGTTTAAATGATGAAATTAAAAATAAATATTATTTATAAATATGATTTTATAAATGACTTATTGATTTTTGTTATTAGATAAGCAGGTGTGTTATTTATTTTTCTATGTTTTATGGTTTTATTGTTTTTTTTTGGGATTTTTCGTTGATAAATATAAATAAAACTTTCTATTCTATAAAAATGTTAGAATACTTATTTCGCAACAAAAGCAGCAATAAGTAGCTGAAAACGTTTGTTAATTAGTAGGTAGTAATAGTAGTAGAAGGAACATTTATGAATAAACAGAGGGGTGTGAACACAATGTAAGATATTTTATGTTAATGCCAAATCTCTTAATTTTTGATTGACATATTTTATGGATATTCGTGCTTTACTCGACGTATACTCTAAGAAATTCACAATCTAAATAATGAGTTTTATATAAAAACTTGTTCGGTTTTAATTATTTATCCTAAGTATAAGGTCCCCCTGCAATACCAGGTGACTACCAAATGTTAGGTCAAAATGCATTATTGTGATCGAAGTCAAAGAACAAAAAATAAACAAATAGCAGAAAATTGTAAATAAAATTTGACATTTCATCTGGTTTTTAAAATTTGCAGGAACATCTTGTTATTGCGTCATGGGCACGGCAGAAGAATACAGGTAGATGCATCAACGCTCGAGAGCATTGATATGTCAAAAAAATTTAAATATTTTTTCAAATTTAAGAAGATTTGTATATGTTTTCTTATATGACGCCATTCGCAGGTTATTATAATTCGCGTTTTTAAACAATTTAAATAATTTTTCATTCAACGTTTTCAATTCCAAAATTGATTTGACAGTTCATTGTCCCAGCGGCTGTCTTCTACCATGGTCATGGGCAATAGTAAGTATTTTTCTTCTTTTCACCCTTAGTATCATGTGTTAATAGCATTTTTTGCCAGTGCACCATACGGCAAAATTTAAGGTGAAATGGTACATATTTATTATCAACGACATCTCTTTCAGATGCTATACGCCAAAAATGTAAAGATTAGAAAAAAATAGCATGATAGAAGAATACAGGTAGTCGCATCGACACAGCTGATGGGACAATAAACTGTCAAATCAAATTAGGAATTTAAATTTCTGAATGAAAAATTGTTCAAGTTTGTAAAAAAATGCATATCATAACAACCTCCGATTGGCGTCGTATAGGAAGACATATACAAGTCTACTTATTTAAAAAAATAAATAAAAATGTTTTGACATTCAATGTTTCCAAGCGTTGATGCATCTACCTGTATTATTCTGTATCTATGCTCCTTCGTAGAGCAACAAAGGAGTTTAGGTTGACTTGGTTCGATTTTGGTCCTTCGCTCCTTTGTTCTTTTCCTATGAAGCCAGCCGATTACTTAAGCCAGTCATAAAAGCTTTTTATGTATTCTCACTTTTAGTTTGTTGGGTGGAAACTAATGCCATGTTTACGTTAGAACTTTTTGTGGGGTTAACCAACTTTAAGAGGATTTATTTGAAGATATGATTTGAACAATAGATATGAAAATTTTAATCCAAATCCAGTGGGTTAGCCCATTTATATGTAAACTTACTGTAACGTTTAGCTTTAAAATAATGAACATTTTCGGCATCAGCCATGGTAGAAAAATTCAGGTAGTCGCATGACACAACTGTCAAACCGATTTTGGAATTGAAAATCTTGAATGAAAAATTATTGAAATTTATAAGAATTGTTGAAAAATACATATCATTACAACCTCCGATTTGCGTCGTATAAGAAAAACATATAATGATCTACTTATTTTTGACAAAACACTTTAAAGTTTTTGACATATTATTTGATTTTTAGATATTTAATTCGACCTTTATTATTATTTATTGTTACAAATGTAAATTTAATAAAAAAAACGAGCTCGAGATCTTTGTTGTTGTTTAATTATTTATTATTTTCGATATTTCGTCCTCCAACGGAAGACATCATCAGGAACAATACTGTTTAAACATATAACAAAATTTTACAAAATATCGCCAAGCTTCGACGCCGACCTTGTGTTGTTGCCATCTGTTTTGACATATTAATGTTCCCAGGCTTGTTATTGCATCTACCTATATTTTTCTACCATGGCTTCAACGAAAGCCAATGACTTTAAGTGCGTTTAGACATACTAAATCGTGTGTCAATTCCACTGTCTATACGTCAAACGAAGTGAATTTCGTTTGACGTTTAGACAGTGAAATTGACACTCGATTTAGTATGTCTAAACACACTTAAAGTCATTGGGATTGACAGTTGAAATTTACTGCTGGTTTTATTTGGACGTATATACCGTTTTAAGTCTAAACCGTTTAACCAACAACATATCTTAATACAAAAAAACATATCTTATATTGTGAACACACCTTATAATAGCGAGTACTAATAGTGATAATAATGATATTAAATAACAATAAACGACAATAATCGTAGATATTTCTTCGATTAACTTGAAAATGAAATAACTTCTGAAAGAGAAAACTACTTTTTACTTGAAGTTACAACAATGATCTAAATTATATCACTAACTATAAGAAGTTATTAACTTAGAATATCTCAAATACGCTCTACATTTTTTTTAATTTATAAATCGGCAAGCCAATTACAATCGCTCATAAAGCAATACCTTGGTTTATTTTGTTTAGGGTTTAATTTTTTTGAAAAAAAAAAAATATATTTTCATTTATTTCTGTTTTTTTTTTTGGTTTTAAATCGGTTTACTTTAGAAAGCTAATCTAAATGCTAAAAATTACACACAATAAATTATTAGGTTATACTTAGATGGAACTAAATGAGCAGTGAATTGAGCTGAGAACACAATTGTATTTTTTTAGACGAGTACGAGAGAGAGAATGTTAGTTGTGTGTTTCGGAGTGAGTAGACAGACAGCGAGAAAGAGAGATAAAATTGTGTAGAGAACGAGAGGGTGAAAATACAAATAATGTGTTGCCAAATGTTTGGTGTTACAAAGAGAGGAGTTATTCTGGAAGAAATCATAAACAATTAACAAGTGTACAGTGATAGAGGAGAGAAAGAGCGAGAGAGGGAGAAAGGGTTATATTAATGTGTGTGAATGGTGTTTTAAATTTGCAAACGAAGCAACCTCTTGTGATTAGCACACAATTAAAGAGAGAGAGAGAGAGGGCTAGAGACAGATAGACTCAAAGTTTATGAGAAATTTTTAAAAGACAAACTTTGTTAGTATTTGGATCGGTAGCGGGTAGGATTTAAGCAACACGAAGGTGTTCACGAGTGTCTTCCAAACCAAATAGCAAAGTGGACAGACCTTTAAATTTGGGGAGGTGTGTTAAAGTGTTTTTGTGTTTAATGCAGGTGATCTTTTTTGCCCGTCTCATTGCACAATTTGTTAGCAAAAATACATAAACCATAGAAGAATACAGAGGAATTTGTTCTTTGTTTGAAGGATTATACAGAAAATTTTCTTTGGAATCCATAAAAAAAATATTAAAGTTTCCAAAATATATTAACAAATATTGAAGTGTAAAATGTACGAAACTACAATTGTTGGTGTGGCTTTTTTTTGGAAATGGAAAAAAAGTTTAGTAAAGATTTTTTTTCGTGGAAATGAAAGTATTGAGAAAAAAAGGGAAGACATTTTGTGATGGTTGTTGAATGTTTGTAATGGCTTAGGAGGAGTATGGGCGGGGAGGGTATGGGATAACGTACACAAATGTTTTGACCTTGGGAGATAAATGCATGAGATCCTATGCCATGTTCACACGTAACATGTTCACTTAGAAGTTTGGACAGTGGACTTGGATAGGGAGAGGGTCATGATTTACACAAATAATTTTGTGAATGTCTATGCAACCTAATAGGCCAATTATTACCTAACACAGTAGCTAGTTTTTTGGTCTATATATTTTGTTCTAAACTACTTTTATTTCTTCGTCGAAATGGGGGGAGAATTAACTACAATAAAGGGGTTTCTGGTAGAATTGGGAAAAAAGAACCGTAAGAAAATTTGATGGGAGAAAATATAACAGCTGTGCAGGATGGATGCCTTAGCTGATTGAGTTTTCCCAAGTTATTTTTAAATTAATGAATTTTTTTAAAAATCCTTGGTCAGAATATGGAACAAATATTACAAAAAAAGAAAAAAAAAAAAACAAGTAAAAAAGCAGATAAGCTCGGCCGTTTCGAACTTTTAATACCCTCCACTATATGAAAGGAACTTGAAATTTTTCAAAAAAAAAAACTAAAAACATAAGTCATGCATAAGTCATTTTCTGCGATAGGCTGTAGTACCGATTCTGAACTTTAAATACGAAATTTGAAATAATTCCGGTGAATAATATCGCAAAAATCATAAAAATACCGAATATTGGGAGGTTGCGTTAGAAGGGGGGCTATACGAAAGCGTGGACCTGCATACGCAATTTTAAGCATAGCCTGTAGTACGCATTACAAACTTCGAATATGAAACTTGAAACAATTCTGGTGAAAAATACCGCTAAAATCATCAAAATACCGAATATCGGGAGGTACCATTATAAGGGGGGCTATGCAAAGACGTGAACCTGCATACGAAATTTTTAGGCACAGCCTGTAGTACCCATAACAAATTTCGATTACGAAATTTGAAACAATTCGGATGAATTATGTCGTTAAAATCATCAAAATACCGAATATTGGGTGGTGCCGTTATAAGGGGAGCTATAGGAAGACATGGACCTTCATACACAATTTTTTGTCATAGCTTGTGGTACTTATTAAGATCTTCAATACGAAATTTGAAATAATTCCCGTAAATAATGTCGCTAAAATCCTCAAAATACCGAATATCGGAAGGTACTGTTATATGGGGCCTATGTGAAGACGTGAACCTGCATATGTAATTTTTAGGCATAGTCTGTAGTACCCATTACAAACATCGAATATGAAATTTGAAAGAATTCGGGTGAATTATGTCGCTATAATCTTCAAATTACCGAATATCGGGAGGTAACGTTATATGGGGGCTATACGAAAACGTGGACCGATATGGCTCATTTACGAACTTAACCTGCCTACTGGGAAAATACATATGTGTGCAAAATTTTAGCCTTCTAACTTAATTCGTTCGAAAGATAGCGTGATAAAAATAGTCAAACAGATGGACATTGATTCTAATAGGTTCCCATCTCTGATTTCTGTATAAACAATAGACTTGTAAATATAAATTTTGACAATGAGATGTTGTCAAATAAATAATTTTGAACAGAAAATTGTAAACATATTATTGCATGACTTTCTTTCTTTCAGACACCCAATTTTTGCATTTGGGCGCCAAATATTAAAAAAATATTTTTTTGTTCGAAAATTTTACAAGTGATCGAAATTGGGCGCCAAATTTATCAGCAATATTATTTTATCTACTATCGATTGTACATATGAGCGGTTGGTTCGGTGGTTGACATATATGCCTTTAATTTTGAAAGTGTGGGGAATATTCCCAAATTGGGCGCCACAAATGTTCCGCTGACATAATTGTTCTTTTTCAATTCCTACCAGAAACCATGGACATTTTTCACATACCATACACACTTCTTAAATTTATAGATTCTTCTAAGTAAACACGGGGAAGGGGGGACATCTTATATACTATTTCAAAATTACGGAATTTCTTTATGTTTTTTATTCGCTCTTTTTTGGCAATGATAATATGAGGGTTTTTCTTACAAGGCAGTCTATTTTTTGGGTTAGTTGTTTTTGTACAAGGAAAAATATCATATTTTTAAATATAACCCTGAACAGCAGGATATCATTGTTATTGTGTCAATGTTGTTGTTATTGCAAGGAGAGAAACTTACCTAAATATGAATATGAACAGGACCAAAAGGGAAAAGAACACAGCCACATTGTCCATGGTGCGCAGCATGACAAATAATTGACGTCTCAAATTGGGCATAAAGCGTACCAGCTTTAGGATGCGCAGCAGACGGAAGGTACGTAACACCGAAAGGCCGGAACCACCGCCGCCGGTGCCATTGCCCAGAAATTGTTGGCATATTTCAATGGCACTAGAATGGGTCAGACAAAAATATACTCAAGTCCCGTATTGCTAAAACATATCCCACCTACCTTAAGATCACAATGACACCATCGAAGACATTAAAACCATTGGCTATATAACGAAATGGTCCTTCGGCCACCACTTTGAGTAACATTTCCACGGCAAATATGGCCGAGAACACAATGTTGCTGGTCTCCACGATGACGGTCAATTCCTCGGGTTGATTGTGATATTCAATGCCCATGGACAGGGTGTTGATGAGAATGGCCAGCAGAATGCCCTGCTGGAAATATTTATGTTCCACCAAACGTTTGACATAACGTCGAGCAATGCTACAGACACGCCAGACACAGCGATACACTGTTATTATGGCATTCATCACCTTCGAGCGTTGTTTCTTTTTCTTTTCATCCAGCGGCGACAGGGCATTCTGGTAGAGATCATAACAACAGGAATAGTCTTCAATGTAATTGCCGGTATTTGTCTTGGCATCACGATCACCTCGTACGGTACCGCCATTGGAGGTTTTGTGGTGGCTGTCACCACCGCTTTTGTGTTTACTGCGATGTTGTGATGCCTGCACGGGCTGTTGTTGGTGCTGCTGCTGCTGTGACAATTGTTGTTGGGCCTGCTGTTGCTTGGAATTTTCCAGATTCTGTTGGTTTTTAATGGCCTCAGCTGTGTGGGGATCACAACGTGCCAGAGAGGAGTAAAACGATTCCAATGTACTCTGACCCGTCGGCAGGGCAGCTGAAAATGCCACAGAAAATGCTAAAAGCTCTTGACAAGTCATGGCGTCGTGTATACCCAAATCAGAACAGTCCGCATAAGGATTGGCAATGCTAGCCAGAGTTTGTGGTAAATTCACCTGAAAATAATGCCGTATTTATGTTAGAACTTTTTTGCAGGGTTAATTAGGAATTATTTGAAGTATAGCTAATGGAAATGACAATTTTAAAACAAATTCAGTGGCTTAAGCCATTTATACAGGGTGAGATGAAAAAACTGCAACCAACTTCAGACAGCTTTCATTTCTAAGCCTCTCGTCCGACAGCTGTTAAAATTATTCCAGTTACAGCTCATTAAATTGTTTTCAAGCGTACAAAAGCATTTTGGTGCGAATTTTTCAGAAAAAAAGTTATTCCGGATGGAATTCAAGCGCGATAGTGTGATTTCTTTATATTTGGCACGAAAGCCACAAGTGGCTATCGTTAGAGCACTCCAGCATTTAAATGTGAATAAATCTTTTGTGACTCGTACCATCGCTCGTTACCTCGTGAAGTGGACGGAAGAAAACAGCAAACTTCAGCAGAAATGGTTCGAGAAAAGTAAAGAAGCGACTTGATCGAAACCCGCGTTGCTGTGGCCGAAAAATGGCTCGTGAGCTGAACAATATTCCATTCGGCAAATATTGAAGAATTAGCTCGGGGTAAAGCCATTGAAATTCGAAGAAATGCAAGAACTTACACCGCAACAGAAAGAAAATTGACTCAAAAGAGCTAAAGGGTTGCTTCGCTTGGCCGAAAGTGGTGAACTGCTGTATTTGGTTTTCTCCGTTCTTCGATGAGAAAACATTCGTTGTCCAGCAGTTGTAAACAAACCAATTGATAGTGTTTACTTGCCAAAGAGGTCAGCTGAAAATGTGCACCTTCGGTTGGCCATCAGAACTCAAGCGCCGGGCATGGTGAGGGTGTGGGCCTACATAACAACCGATGGTCGCTCTCCGCTCGTATTAATCGAACAGAATAAATGCCGAAAATTATCGCGAAAATATTCTGGAGGGTGTATTAAAGCCTTGGAACTTGGACATTCCAACAGCACTTAGCACCATCGCACTCAGCACGCGCCGCCCAAGAATGGTTACAAAATGAGGTTCCCCGCTTCATATCCAGAGCACAATAGCCACCAAAATCTCCGTTGGACGACTACTGTGACTGGAAAGCAAGGTTGGCACTTAAAATTAACAAAATGTCGATCACCTCAGGCAAGCGCTTCGCCGGGAATGGGCCAAAATACCGCAGAGCAACATTCGGGCAGCGTGTGACGGTTTCATTGGCCGTTTGAAGGCCATAATTCGTGCCAAAGGTGACCAATTCGAACAAATTTAAACTTATTCTAAAATTTGATGCTATTTCTGACAATATTTGCTTTTATTCAAAAAAAATTTAAAAATGTAAAAATTATGGCTTTTGTAGTTTTTTATCTCACCCTGTATTTGCAGTTTTCTATCTCACCCTGTATTTGCAGTTTTCTATCTCACCCTGTATTTATGTGCATTTTTAAAACAAGTTTTATTTCATATTGTCAACACCAAGTATGTTTACACTAGAGCTTGTTTGTTGTTTAAACATCCTTCATGGGGATTTATTTGGTATTTATGCAAGGGATTTGGCAATTTAAATTCACTGGGTTCATTTAATTCGGCTAACTGTAAATGTATTCTTACTTCCTTGCTTCTCAAATAACAACGCCACTTTGAAATGCCAACGGCGTTGTTAATTATGACTTGGCGCCGTGACAGAAGAATACACAATGAACTGTCAAACCAATTATGAAATTGAAAATTTTGAATGAAAAATTATTAAAATTTGTTAAAAATGTTGAGAAACGTATATCATAACAACCACCGATTGGTGTTGTGTAAGAAAACATATAAAAATCTTCTTTTTTTGAAAAAAAAAAAAAAAATAATAATAAAATAAAATGTTTGAAATGTTTGTCAATATTCCCGACCGTTGATGCATCTACCTGTATTCTTGTACCATGATTTGATGTTTATGCAATGGATTTGCCAATTCAAATCCACTGGGTTTATTTAATTCGGCTAACTGTAAACGTGCTATTATTTCCTTGCTTCTCAAATGGCAAAGCCACTCTGTAATTCTAACGCCGTTGTCAATTATAACTCTGCGCAATAAATTCACATTGCAAACAGCTGTTTATTTTTTTTAACTGTAATTTCAATTACAAATATAATGATAACGTTGTCTAATTGTGAGAAATAAAAAAAATTGAATCTTTTTCATCTTAAACTCACCTGCCATATGCTGCCATCTCCAGCCTGAGTCATTTTCTCCGATGAACACACCGTTTTCTCTGTGGTGTTTGCCGGTGCCTCCTTTAACGCCGGCGGTGTATGCAATAACACATATTCATTGAACATAACCGAGGGACGACGGCTGCCCGCCGTGGGCGGACTCAAAAAGCCCGAGGTACATGGATGGGTCTATAAAAATATGAACACATTCATTATTATTCTCAATCTTTACAAATTTTCAAAATTTCACTCAAATTACATATTGAAAGGATTAGCAAATTTTTGTTGGTTTCATTTTTTTGGTTAATAGGGAGAATAACTTCAAGGGGAATATTTACAAATGGCCAGAATTTAATCGAATTTCTATGCTTTTATTTACACATAAGAAAGGGAAATTTGTTGTAAAAAAATTCATGTTTGAACAATAAAAGAGAAGTATTTGGTTTAATACCTTGCCTAGAGTTCCCAACTGGAGCTGTTTGTTTGTTTTTTATTAGTTGCATTAGTTACATTAGTTTAAGAAAGGCGAAAAGAGAAACATTTCTTAGTTACATATAAAATTCTCTCAAAAGGCTATCAACTCAACATTTAAGATTAGGGGGAGAGAGAGAGAGAGTTGTTAAGTGTTTGGTATTTTTAATACTCTCTCGTGTGGTTGGGTGAGTGAATGTGTTTCGAATACAATCATTTGTCAATTAAGTGTTGTAAGAGTAGATCTCGGAGAGTAAATGACATAAGAATGTCATTTTCATTAATGCAAAGTTTCAAAATGTGTAAATACTTGTGGAATGTAAACATTATGTTATCAGACGGAATGGGTTTTACACATGTGCTGTTAATTTCATTATGCATGTGTATTTTAGTGTGTATGTCAAAATTGCCATTTTACATATGATTCATAATTTTTGCCATCACACACAGACATATGTTTTTTATTTATTTTGGTTACATTGTGATTATATTGTATTTTATATATGTAGAAAAAAAATTATAATACTTTATGGATGATTTTTTTTTACCGCAAATTTCATTTTTTTTTATATTTTTACCAAACAAACAAGCAACATTTTGATTAAATTATATTTTTCCTTGTCGGCTTAATCCCTTTATTGTTGTTTTTATAAAAACAACGTTTGTTTATTTGTTGAGAACGATGAAAATAGGGCTCCCTGTTATCGAAAAAGAATACAGGTAGTAGCATCGACACAGCTGCTGGGACTATGAAATGTCAAACCAATTTTGGAATTGAAAATTTTTTTAATGAAAAATTATTCAAATTTGTAAAAATTGTTGCAGAATGCATATGATAACGACCCCCGATTTGTGTGTTATAAGAAAACATATAAAAAACAAATTTTTGCTGTTAAAACACTTTATAATTTTTGACGTATCAATGTTCGCAAGCATTGATGAAGCTACCTTTATTCTTCTAACATGATATGTTCATTTCTCATGCATTTCACAATTTAAATGTCCTCTATGTATCACACGATGTGTGCAACTTCTACATATGGAAAATTTGACATTACATATCGACTAATTGAGCCTTTAAGTACTAAATGTTTAAATCGGATATTTTTTTATGTGGAAAACGGGTATGACATTACCGTTTTCATAATTTTTGTCATATATAAAGGGATTTCAGAGCCCGATTCGAATTTAGCGTCGTTGACCCTTATGATTTGACATTTGACATCCACATAACAAATCGAGTGGAATTTAACTGCCAATTCCATTGCTTATATGTCAAATGAAAATCGCTGGATTTGAAAGTCGATTTCATTTGACGTATGCGCGATGGAATTGACAGTTGAAATCCACTCGATTTAGCCAGTCAATGACTTAAGCCCGTCAAAAAAAAAAAAAACCTTTCACATATGTATTCGCACCCTAAGCCTACGACACAAAAGCAGCTTGGCATGGAATATCTTGTGACAGATCATAAAGAGTTGTCAGAGCCGCATTCGAATCCCACCGTCGTTTTTGCCTACAATTTGGCACTAATATGCCATGCCATGATGCCAAGCGGCTTATGTACTCTCCCCTTTAAGGTAGCTTAGCATCTTGGCTTTGCATATTAATGTTAAATTATAAGGGGAAACGAGGCAGGGGCAGGATTCGAGTGCGGTTCTGGCATCCCGTTATGATATGTCACAAAATATGCGAAGCGAAGGCCTCAAGTTGCTTTAAGTTTCTAAGCAACCAAATTATTGAAATAAAATGAACTATTGAACCAAGAGGAACGATTTGGCTAATTGAACGATGGAACTATAAAGTGTTAAGGAACTAGATGAACGACAAGTTCCCTTTGAGAAAATAAGCGAGAAAAGTTTATCCGTACAGAAAACTATGATTTATACGCTTAAGCTCAAGGCTCAAGACTGATAACACCTCAAAAACTTTGTTTACGTTTTCATACGTTGAAATGTAAATGTCATGTATTTTGACAATGCCTAATAGCGCGTTCACACATAAAATCTATACCTGGGGGATGTAAACGTACTTTAACCAGTTCATACAGTTTGCCAGCTAGACGGTGAATCAGATGGTCTTTTTAGGAGATTGATCAATCACAATAAATTTAATGTACGTCAGGTCATTGCTATTGATCAATTATCTCGGTGAACCCAATTTAATATTTGTATGTAAACATACTTTAAGCAGTTCTTGCAGTTTGACAGCTCGACGAAGAATCAGCTGGTCTTTTTAAATGACCAGATGATTGGCGCTTGATATGACATTTAAACAAGTATCCGAGCCGGAATTCTTTGTGTTTTTGTTTCTAGTTTCTTAATGTGAGAAATTGAAATGAAAAATAGGGGAAATTTGATTTCCTCGACAAAAATGGCTTCTGTAAATCTCTTCAAAATAAATGCAATAATTTTCAACAAAATTCTAAAACTTACAATCAGTTGATCTGTTTCCATTAGATTTTGTGGAAATTTCAATAGAATGGTTTTCTGTTGTTGTGGCTGCTGCTGCTGGGGGCCAGGAATTACTTGCAACTGTTGCTGTTGTTTGGCCATTAAAGACTCCGTCTCTGGTTTTGTGGCATTTTGAATTCTTTTGTTATCGCTGCCATTTTTGTGGCCTGCTGTGGAACCATTGTCCAAAGATTGTACGGAATTTTCCGAGGACGAATGATGACGGCCTGTTTGGCTATGACTGTTGTTGCCGTTGTTCAGGCCATTTATTAGGCCCATTGGGGTTTGAGTAGTTGTTGTTGTTGAATTGGAACGCTGTTGCTGCTGCTGCTGGCCCGCTTGCTGTTGGACCTGTTGCATGCTGGCCGCTGTAGTTGTTGTCATCTGTTGTGACTGATTGTGATGATTATTGTTGTTGCCACTTAGATTGTTGTTGGAGTTGAGTGGCACCATAACCGTTATCATTTGATCTTGTATATTGGAAGGTTTTCGAGGTGGTCCTGGATATTTGGGGCATTTCGGATGATGGCATTTAATGCGGGATGGAGAAAATGTCAAATTATCGGCATTTGGCAAGAGGCCTTCCTTGCGTTGCTGCTGCTGATATCTGCCATGAGGCGTGGAGAAAGGTAAAGAAGAGCAATTACTAAAATTTCCAAATAGGGTCCGCAAAAAATTAACTAAGAAAAAAACTTGTAAAGAAGTTGTCTTCACAACATTTTTTTTAATTGTTCTTTTTTTCATTTGACAAAATAACAAAAATTGGATCTTGGATTCATTTGATTTAACATTTCAGCAAAACTAACTAATGAGGATTAAATGGAGGAGACCTCGCATGTGGAGGCCATATATTAATAATGGAGCTAGCGTTGATGTTAAGGTGACTAACAAAGACATGCATGCATGGAGTATGACATGGGCCATGGTTTGGCAAATCTTGCCCAGCACTGGCCTTGAGTTGTGATCGGTTGAAGGTAGTGGTTGTGGTGGCTCGTGGTATGTTGTGAAGAATGCGAATCTAAGCTAAGCTAATTTGAAACTTCCAACTCAGCTTCAAAATCATATTTTTGCCAAGGCATGCAAAATCAAGATTAGCACCGAATATGCCATAAACTGAAAGAAAACTGAACTGAATTTGAAAGGAAGAAGAAATCAACTCAAATTCAAATGGGAAACGGAAAATTTTTGTTAAATAGCAACAATGTTTCTTTTTTGCTTTTTTTGGTTGCATTATCTATCTATTTAAATATAGCACTGAACATTGACAATGAAGAACTATGATCCATTAGTTACGATTTTTTTTTGATTCCAAAAAATGTATTCATTTTTTTCAATTTGGAATTTATTGGAAATGGATATGGTTTTTAATTATTGTATAAAGAAAATAATTTGACAAATTCCAGTTTCCGTCTAGAGTTAGTTAGTGAAGGCAGCATATTGTATATATAGAAAAAATAAATTTTGAAGCTCTACTCTAGGTTAAATTTGTAGATATTAAAGGACTGTCGCTATCGGTAATTTGTGTAGCTAGGCGGGAGTATATACAAAAATCGGGGCAGCGGAGCAGATAATTATGGTGGAGGAAAATGGAATCGTAATAAGAATTGGTATAAGAAATATCGAATATTTGGTCCCATCAAAATTATCCTGACTCCGTAGCCCCAATACAAAATAAGCTTGTAAGGAAAGAATTTGGAACTTGGAGATTTGGTTATAATTAATGGCATTATTTTCGAATTGTTTGGATTTCCCTATATGTTGCAGCATATGTTTCAAGAACTGTGTTCCTTTATAGTTTCCCTATTAATGTTATATTCTATTTCGTTGCAGATAACCGCAGTTGAAAAGCAAGTTGGACGGATGATATCAGATTTTAGCATATTTGCATTTAAAGTTATTTGATTTGAAATTTGGAATGTTTTGCCCACCAGGATGGTAAATTATATGGTAATAAGTTAGTGGTAATAAGTGTCCATAGAAGAGAGATTTTAATTAAACATCGAACAAATTTTAATACCAAAGGAACTCATGAATTAAGCAGGAAGAAAGGGCTCAAAAAAATTGACCCTCTAAATTGCAAATATTAGTATGCTCGTGATATGCGAAATCACCATGTGTGTAAACTCTATAATAAATGTTGAAATACATATAGCGGTTCGGAATTATCATGGTAGAATAATATAGGTAGACGCATCGGCACAGCTGTTGGGACAATGAACTGTCAAACCAATTTTGGAATTGAAAAAATTGAATGAAAAATTATTTAAATTTATAGGAATTATTGAAAAATGTATATCATAATAACATATGCAAATATACTTATTTTTGAAAAAAAATGAAATTTTTGACAAATCAATGTTCCCTAGCGTTCCCTACTTGTTTTCTTCAACCATGGGTTCGGAATTATAAAGGTTAAAGGTGGAAGTACATAAAGAGCTTTTCCGACTGGCATAAGAAATCGCCTGGCTTCTTCGTAGAGGAAGAAAGGAGTTTTAGGTTGACTTAGTTCGATTTTCTCCCTAGGCTCCTTTGTTCATTTCCGAAGAAGCCAGCCGTTGACTTAAGCCAGCCAAATAAGCGCTTTATTTATTCCCACCTTAAAACAGTGTTACACAATCCTGATTGGCGGCGTTGAAAGTGACCATCCCGCTGCTAGCGGTCTCGGGGTCTGGTTCTCAACCGTTAACTTTTTAACCACCTCAGGACGAACACGAAATTGGAACTTTACACATCACAAATACAATGCACTACCCGAACACAACACCTGCTCAAACAAGGGAGATTTAATGTTTCTACTCCCGCATTCTCCCAACCTTCCATGGTCTTCAGGGTTCCTTTTTAAATTAATTTTCTGAAGACCCCACACACACATTCACCCCCTTACCTAGTTAGAAAATTGCCCTATTAACAAAAATTTAACAACAGATCAATATATTAAATGTGACTTTGGCTTGAAAATACAACACTGTTGCTACTTATAGCTAATAACAGTGTTGCATTTTCACATCAAAGTTACTATTCAAGCTTTTTGATCTATTTTCGTGTTAAGGGACAACGTCGGCAGTATTCGAGGTTGGCTCTGAAATTATTACCGGGTACATTTTTTTGTAATGTCAATTCCTATTGTTTCAAATTGGTTTGACAGTTCATTGTCCCAGCAGCTGTGCCGATACGACTACCTGTATTCTTCTACATATATATGTCAATACCATAGGGTATACGTCAACAAATATCCACTGGATTTATGAATTCGATTTACGTGCCGCTATGGAATTTGTATTTAAAATCGAGTAAGATTTAGTAGTCTGAACGTGGTATAAAACGTCAACTTTTAAAACGCCGTTAACACATGACAGCTGCAATTGATTCACATTTTCTTTACGTTTAATTCACAATGACAATACAGCTGATATCAGCAAATCAGCTGGTCTTAACGGATGACAAAATGAATAGACTATGTGCCTTTCCATGGTAGAAGAATATAGGTAGACGCATCGACGCAGCTGCTGGGACAATGAACTGTCAAACCAATTTTGGAATTAAAAATGTTGAATGAAAAATTTTTTAAATTTGTAAAAATTGTTGAAAAATGCATATTTTTACAACCCACGATTTGTGTCGTATAAGAAAACATATAAAAATCTACTTATATTTGAAAAGAAATTTAAAAAATTTTGACATATCAATGCTCCCAGGCGTTGATGCATCTACCTGTATTTTTCTACCATGTGCCTTTCTCTACGTTTGGCAGATTTAAATATAATACCCACATATTCAGAATGGAAAACAGTTTCTCAAAACATATGCCGAATAATTTGGAATTTTCCGATTTGTGAAAGTAGGCTTTCAATTCTCAAGGGTTTTTAATGTACACAGGTTATTGTTTTTAAGGACACGTGTGCTGAGTATTCGTGTTTGTTCGTTTAGATTAGTTTTTTTTTGGTATATCAAGTTATGGTTTGTTGGGTATGATGTCCAGGGTTTTTTTTTTGGAAAAATACACAAGGTCAACAAACTTAAGGTTCAAACCAAAAATAAAAAGAAACAGAAGAACTGAAAAATAAGGAAAAAATCGAAAATACATCGAGCATACTTATATAATCTGTACTTCTTTATCATTCGTCGTTTGAAGCGGCGCCACAGATGAGCTATGTATTTGACAATTTCCGCATAACATGTGGCCGGTTCGGAGTTGTTCGTGCTGGATGCCAAGGTGGAGGTGGATGTGTAGCGTGCCCTCTCCTGGCGCATACGTTCCATTTCACGTTTCTTTGTCTCACTAAACTGGGTGGCAATGACGACAAGGCATAGATTGATCATGAAAAATGAACCGATCTGTAAGAAAGATTAGAAAAAGAAAAAAAGAGAATAAATTAGGATTTGTAACAATTTTATTTCCCTAGTTAAATGAAAATTAAATTATTTATTCAGTTTGTTTGGGGTTCTGCAAAATTTCAAATTCAAACCCTTTTATGTAATGACTATGCATTCATATTTTATGACTTCCAATTCCTTTGTTCTGCTGTGTTCACAGTTTAATCCCCTAAGTGTTGTGGTGGTTGCTGGGTTGGTGCCAGTACTTTTTTTCTTTGCTTGATTCCAAGGCAAGGCATTCATTGTCTGTCCTGAGAACGACGTTCCAGCCGATTTATTCAATTCATCGTTGAAGTTTACAATATTCATGCCACTTGGAAAATGGTTTTGGAACTTTTTCATTTGCAAATGTGTTCAACAGCATCAGAGGGTATGTCAGGTACAGACAGACATATCTACATATACTCTTGAACTTTACAAGATTTCGCCATCGTTGTCGTCTTCGACGTTGTTGTTGCTTCATCAGCCTTAACAATCAGCATTCAAATCACATACTTTTGCCTTGCCAACCTTAAAAAGTTGTAGGGAAATGGAAAAAGTTTGTTTCCACCCATACAGAACCCATACATGGCTATTGCTTAGATATGGCTGGTATTTGTTGTGCATGGGAAAACATCTTCGGCTTTTTCTCCTTCTTCTCCTGCTTTCGCGTTCTCCTCCAATACACACATATTTTGAATTCAATGATTGCTTTTCCTTTTGACTTTCTCAGTATAATGGAGAGCTGTTTTGTTCGTTATTAAGGAACAATTCATTCAACAAGTCACCCACCTGTCATGCCAAGCAAGTTCTCAAAGAAAGAAAGAAAGAAATTTTGCCATAGCCATGGCCATAAAGAAATGAGATGTAATGAAGCGTTCAGTTTCCATGAATGCAAAATAAAAGAAATATGCATACATAGGTGGAAACGTTTTATTTGCATAATCCCATTTTTAGATACTTCTAAATGGAAAGGCTGGGTCTTGAATGGAAAGGCAAGTTTAGAAGAGCAAGATTCAGAGAGACATGATAATATTTGGCATTCAAATTTTAAATGGTTAAGGCCTGAAATCAAGGGAACGAATTTGGAAAAAAAGAAAATTTTGTATGGCTCTTTCCATTCGATTAAATGTTTCCGTTAGTGAAAGTAATTTTTGAAAACCTGAAATGCTAAGCTCTGTCTTAGAAACTTTGGAGGTTATTTCTTTTGAAATTCCCATTGACACAAATCTTGGAAGAGAGTGGGAGAACACTGTCGGTATAATTCTAATGGTGTAACAGTTTAAATAAGATCTATAAGAGCGTATGAGAGAATTGAACTGCTATATTAGTGGAATATAACATATCTCTCATGGCAAAAGAATATAGGTAGACGCATCGACACAGCTGCTGGGACAATGAACTGTCAAACCAATTTTAGAATTGAAAATATTGAATGAAAAGTTATTTAAATTTGTAAAAATTGTCGAAAAACGCGTATTATAATAACCTCCGAACGAACGTCGTATAAGAAAACATATAAAAAATCTGCTTATATGTGAAAAGACATTTAAAATTTTTTGACATATCAATGTTCCCAAGCGTAGGCATAGTTGTATAAAACCATAGCTAAATGTAAATTGAGGGATCCCTACATTTTTTCTGTGATGGCAATACCATCCATTGTCTCCTTTAAATGTATTTTCTAGTTCGAATGATGATCCGCCGCCGCTTATTTTATTTTAGGTCTCTGAGCTATTTCTATTTTTAGGCTAATAGCTACTACTGAGGTAAGTTTTCAAAAAGAGGTAAAAATATGTTATTGTCAAATCTGTTTGCAATTTTCAGGGAAGCAACACCTCCTGATGATATAATAATATTGAATGTAAAAATCCGAATGTTACAAAGGCCAGGAAAGAAGTCAGTTTTATATAAAACAATTACATTAGAGACTTTTACCGGGATCTCTTCCTTAAGGTGATTATTTGTATTTTACAAATCAAATTTAATTAAATTTTTTATTTTATATCTTTTATATCTTTTCAGTGAGACGAATTGGCAATGGAACGAATATGGGATATCGGATATCAACAGAATGGATATACGGAACGGAATTTAACATATTTTCATTTAAAGTTATTTGATTTTTAAAAAATGGAACACTTTGAAAGTTATGTTTTATTTACTAACAAATTTATGGAATGTTTACATTAGAGTTTTTTTTTTGTTTTAACCAAGATTTTATTGACGTATATGTAATAGAATTGGCAACTTTAATCCACTGGGTTTTATAAATTCCGTAAACTATAAACGTAGTATAACATCCTAAACAATAATAGCGTGTTTACATACAAAATCGTTATCTAGATTGAGCTAATAATTGATCAATCACAATAAATTGTATGTATGTTTTCCATGCTAAAATTGATTATGATTTGTCAATTATCAGGATTAATCCAGATAAAGATTTGTATGTAAACGTAATTCAAGATAGAGAATCAGAATTGTATCAAGCTCCCATATTATGCAACCTTGTGATTAACAATATTTGACAGTTTCTGCTATAATTTAAGAACAACTTTATTGTCATTTGATTCTTTGAACAGGTTCTTTCAGAAAAATACCTATCTAGGTCTACATCAGTAGACTTCAAAGGTAATCTCATGCAATCATTTAAATTCCTTTACATATACGTCAAATAAACCCTAATGAAGGAGGTTAATCCTGAAAAATGCTCTAACGTAAACATGCCATTAGCCCTATAAGTAATGTGAGACTAGATTGTGGAATGATTGAATTTAGCTTCAAAGTATCATTTTTCGGTAGCCTTGTTTAGTTAATACACATGCCGAATATTGTCATCCCGCATTTTCTGACGAATTGGCATTAAATTTATTATTGGAAGTAGTAAGTAGTAATTTTAGAACAGTCTCCATATTGTAGGTTATTGTGAAGATTTTGGCAACCAGCGTCCAGCTGATTTTTCTGGGAGTTCATTTCTTAAAGGCTGACTCAAAATAAAACACCATTCAACACCACAATAACTAACAGCCCCGAGAATTTTTTCTTAAGATGTATAATAAAAACCATGGTAAAATTAAGAAGGTAAAGTCGTTTCTAAAAAGACTATCCATCTCGGCATTTTCTGTAATTTACCTTGTCAAATTTTACTGAATAAGAAAGGGTTCCCTTCCCTTCAATGAATTTATAAATATAAATTTTAACAATGAATTGTTGTCAAATGAATAATCTTGAAAAAAAATTGTAATCATACGATAAAAACTCTATTTTTATATGTTTTAACCCAAAAAATCATAAATAAAATCCGCCTTTCCGAGATATAAAACAAATAACTGTTTTTACGTACCAAGGAACGACGTAAATATGATATTGCTTTTTTTTTTGTAAAATACGCCATTCGTCGTACGTAAATATTTTAGGCATGACAAGGTTGAGTTGCAAAAAGGGTTGCCATATTCAATTTATCAAATGAGTATAGATTCTATGTTCTGTTTATCTTTTGTTAAATTAATACTTACAACAATTAATAGCACAAAATAGATCCAATCCCAAAAACTGTGTGCATCCTGTACATAGTACATAATATCTGTCCAGCCTTCCAAGGATATTACCTTCAAAGAAAAAAAATAATTTCAGGCATAATTAGAAAACTGAGTTTCATTGTCATGATTTTTCCATGGTTGAAGAATACAGGTAGATACATCAGGGCTTCTACAAATTTCAATAATTTTTCATTCAAAATTGTCAATTCTAAAATTGATTTGACAGTTCATTGTTCCAGCAGCTGTGTTGTATTCTTCTACCATGGATTTTTCGCAGGAGACTTACCAAAAATATGGCCACCCAGGCCATGCCAATGTTATCAAAGGATATGGTACCCTGAAAGGGATTCAAACCCATTTGGGTGCAGTGTGAATAGTATTGATTCCAATTGACGCATGATGTATTGGTGGGTAAATTGTCTTGCATAGGAATGGCGGCCTCTGTAAAGGGGGAGGGATTTTGAGAAATATAGAGGATGAATGTACCAGATTATTGGACCTGACATACCTGTACAAATCATGGGCCCAATACGATACGGTGGCAAATCCGAACACAAATGCATGCCAGAATCTTCGGGCTTGGAGCATATGTAATCCTGTTCCTTGGAAAACTCATAGTAATAGGACACACTTGATTGGGGGGTTTTTGAGGTTAGTTTTTTGATTGTTTGGAAATTGGGAAGTGTGAAAATAGAATAAAACAAAACAGAGAAAGAGAGCCAGAGATGTAAAATTCCATTTTGATTACGCAGTAAAAGTTAAAATACACATACAACCAATATTATTTGATAGATTAATTAAAAAAATATATTATTTTTAGTTTAAAAGTTGTCATTTTTAGTTGGGGTTATCCTTGGGGAAATTGTTAAGTGGGAGTATTTTTGGTGGGTTAAAAAGGTCTAATAGTTGAGAGAGAAATTTATAAAAAAATGTTTGAATTTTTGGGAGAATTATGCAAAATGCACACACATACACATATGAAAAATACACACTCGTGAAATAGTTGTTTGTTTTTTAGAGCGAGAGAGGCAGAGAGAGAGAGGGAGAGACGACAATTAGGAAATCATAGATTAAAAAAAGGTTTAAGAGAAAGTTAGAGGAAGTATTAAAGGAAAAATAAATAATTGAAGGGTTCAGGGGCGGTTTTGGGGTTGCTCACAGTTGTGGTGCAGAGTCGCCTAACATGTCGGCCTGTAGACGTCTCATTTGGTCCACACCCATGCAACTGTGTTTTTTTCTTGGGGTTTTGGTTACTCTAATCAAAAAACTATGTTTTGGGGGTAAGGGGTGGCAGCATAACCCATGGTTGGTGGGTGCGAGAGGTTCCAGATCCCTGGCTTTTCTTTGCTGTCTTACTCAACTAAACTATTTATTTTTAGGTCTTATTTATTGTTATGATGTGGGATTTTAAAGGTTGGTATTTGGCTTGACTACATGGAGGGCAGCTCGGAGACTTAACCCTCACCAGGCTGTGTGGCTTGCGAATGAGCCCCCACAATTCCTGTCTATAAACTAGAACTAAACTCATTTTCATTTTTTGTGATCGCTTTGGATTTCCATGAAACAAACAGCATGGACCCATGGCCCAGCACAGATGATGATGGATGCTATGTGGGTTTGGTTTTCTTTGGCTACAACAACACCAGGTTACATGGCTTGGCATAAGTACCTTTGCAACTTAAACTGATGATTTTTTCTGTAAAAAGCAGAGAGAGAGAGAGAGAAGACAAGAAGACGAGACAAAAGGAACGCCTGCCCATGGAGACGTTCGTCTTCTGTGCTCGCAAAAAACCTACTTAAGCAAAAAATAAAAAAGGAGAACACAAAAGAAAATATAAAAAACAATTTTCAAAATAGAATGAGAATAAAGAACAAGAAGCAGTCGCGTAGCAGTGGCCGGGGCAGATGCCAACAAAAACATATATCCTTGCTATTGCTGTTGTTGTTGGTTTCTTGCGGGAGAGTTGTTGTAAAAAAAAGACGGTAGAACACAAAAAAGCAGTCGAATAGAAAAACAAAGACAGATTTATATCAAAGCTTAACAAACAAACAAAAGTAGTGACAACTGGACGGATACTACTACGAAAACAAAATACGCACAGACACACACAAAATAGAGAGAGAAGTTGGTGGGAGTAAGGCAACATGGATTTAACATAAAAAATGCTAAATAGTTTGGAATTGTTCTTTTATATAAAAAATTAATCAAATACAACACGACTAAGTAAGACTTAATGCGACACCTTCCCATTCACCCAGAATTGGGTGTGGGAACGAACCCAGGGATAATTGGTTGTGGTGTTCGTGTGGGGTTGACTGTTTGTGTAAGAGTTCATGTTGTGTGTCTGTGTGTGTGTGTGTGTTCATGAAATGTCTCTTCTGTGTGTCTATTTCCACTTGAGGCAAACTATTTGTTGCTGCTGATTGTTGTCAGCCAGAAATGAAATCATTGAAAAGGATTCTCTCTCGAAAAACAAAAAACGAAAACGAAAACAGATAAAAGCCATAAACAAGTACTTAAACATAAATGAATGTACCAAAGTTAGAAATACTGAAAACTAAACAAAAGTTGACTAGAGTTCTGTGGAGAAGTATTTCTAGTAGTGGTGGTGATGGTGTTGGTATTGGACGTGTTCTAAATGCCAGGGAACTGCATGATGGCAGGACGGACAACAAATATGTTACGAAATGGGCGTTAAAAATTATGCAAATCCTAGTTGAATTTATTAGAAAATTTACATGAAATAATTTGTTAAATACAGTCTGTGGTGTTGTTGTATTTTTTGGAGAAACTACAAGTGGGTATTTTTTAAGTTTTAGGAACGTAAGAAACTGTTATACAAACATGTTTTCGAATTGTACAATTGGTTTTAGTTCATAAGCAAAATTTAAATATTACATAAAATATAGCAATTTTCGTTGAAAATTACGACTGTATAACAGTTTGTGCAAAGAAAATTTTGTATAACAGTTTTTCGGTTTGTATAACACATTTTTGCTATTCTAGTTTATGAAACACAATTGTATAACAGTTTGTGCAAAGAAAATTTTGTATAACACATTTTCGCAATTTTACTTAAGAAACACAATTGTATAACAGTTTGTGGAGAGAAAATTTTGTATAACAGTTTGTTGTAAAACACTTTTTCGATTTGTATAACACATTTTCGCAAAATTTTAATTAAGAAAAACAATTGTATAATAGTTTGTGTAGAGAAAATTTTGTATAACAGTTTTGGGTATAACACTTTTTAGGCTTGTATAACACATTCTCGTAATTTTCCTTAAGAAAAAAATTTTATAACACTTTGCGCAAATAAAATTTTGTATAACAGTTTTTTTGTATAACACTTTTTTGGTTTGTACAACACATTTTCGCATTTGTCGTTAAGAAAACCAAGTGTATAACAGTTTGCGCAGAGAAAATTTTGTATAACAGTTTTTTGCATAGCACTTTTTAGAGTTTTATAACACATTTTCGCAAAGAAACGGTTTTTTATGCACAGAAAAAGCTGTTATACAGTCTGTTTTACAAGGTTTATAACAGTTTTTAATAGGAAGAGTCATATACAATTTGTTGTTCATGAGGAAAGAGAAGAAAATATTGGCAGATCTTGATTATTTTTGAAGTTTTTTTGTCTAACTCAAAATTGTTATTGACATCGTTTGAGAGCACATATTAGCTCACTTTCACTTGGGAGCGAAAATTGCCCGAAGAGTGGATTTTTTTTCGGAGACTACTTTTTACACTTTTGTTTTGTGTAAGAGGTATGACAAAAACTAAAAAAACTGATTGGCAAGAGTAGAATCTGCTCGATTTGGAACGAATTTTGACATCCGATTCGACATCAAAAAAAAAAATGGTTTGTTTGATTTTTTCTGCTATCACCAGCACTTCCTCTCGAATTCGAGTGAGTTTCACTTCTTGAGCAAATTCGAGCGAGTTTTTCGGAGGCCTGAATTATTCTAAAGATAATAATTTTTCACAAAAATAGGGTCGTATAACAGTTTCAAATGCAAAGGTGCAAATTGAGTTTATATCGGAATATTTTACAGAAGTCAAGTTTTTTAAAAGTTTTTAGTAGAAGTAAATATGGACACACATTTCTATAATAGAAAAATGTTTGTGAAACAGTATAACAGTTATTGTATTTCAAACAAAATTGTATAACAGTTTTTCAATAGAAATAAATATATTCATACAATTTTTATAACCGAAAAATATTTTTGTAACAGCCTTAAAAGCGTAACAATTTCTGTATAACAACTTTAATAGTATGGTACTTTTTGTATAACAGCTTTGTTCATAGACAAAGTAGCTATATAATTTTTTTTAATATGAAACTACCGGAAACATTGCTTTTTTAGATTCGAAGTAAAGGTTCGAATTGTAAGTTGTTGAACTCAGGTATAACAGTTTCACTTATAGCAAAGGTGTTGGAACGTAATCTGATTGCTGTTTAGAAAATTGCTGTATAGCAATTATTTCATTAGAAAAGTCTTGTTGAAAAGATGACCTTTGTAGAAATAAAGCATTTCCCTTTTAAACGCATTTCAAACAAATTGTATAACAGTTTTTCAATAGATGTAAATAAGGACACATAAATTTTAGATAGCTTTTAGAGTATAAGATTTTCTATATAAAAGCTTTTGTACCATAAAAGTTTTTATATAACAGCTTTAAGAGTATAACAGTTTTTGTGTACCAGTTTTCTTGAAAAACTTTCTGTATACAAGTCTCTCTACAAGAGTTTGTGTAATAGTTTTTTTTTGTAGTTTCAGTTTTTGTATAAAAGTTTTTTTTTGTATAACAGTTTTTATATAACAGATTTTTGTATATCAGTTTTTGTATAACAGTTTCTGAACCAAAGTTTTCGTATTACAGTTTTTGTATAACAGGTTTTGTATAACAGTCTTTGTATAACAGTCTTTGTATGACAGTTTTGTACAACATTTTTGTTTAACAGTTTTTGTATAACAGTTTTTTGTATAACAGTTTTTGTATAACAGTTTCTGTATAATAGTTTTTGTATAACAGTTTTTGTATAACAGTTTTTGTATAACAGTTTGTTCATAAACAAAATATCTATGTACCATTTTAAGTACGAAATTTTCGGAATCTTTAATTTTAAAATTCGAAGTTGTACAGAATTGTTACTTGTAGAACATATGTATAACAGTTTCACTTTTGGCAAACTGTGCTGAAACTTTTTTTAATGATTGGTTTTCCAATAAAATAAAAATGTTTACATAAATATCATTTCAAAAATTCCGTTTTTTTGCCTTTGCCAAAAATGTGTTATACATATTATATTGACCTCTTCAGGATCCAATAGGTATTGTGTAGTGTTTTTTTTTTAATGTTAAGCATATTCATGGCTACGGTATAGGTAGCTTTTTTGATATTACAAAATGTCTCAAATATTGGGGAAATAAAAATAAATCTAAGAAAATAAAAAATAAACTACAGTGGACACCAAAAATAGGTATGTAATTTGTAAAATGTTACAGCTATCAATTTATCCATGATGGGAAAAAAAGAGGAAGCAAGTAAAGCACAGCTTTACACCGGACACTGACCAGATTGAGAGTCTATGTGCTACAGACTGAGGGTGAGGGGAAAACAACGA